TTTCGCTAAAACTTTGATGCGAATTGGGGGCCTCTATCAGATATTATTTTGTCGTAAAGTCCAAAACGTTTGAACACATGGTTCCAGAATAGTTTTGCTACTCCTTCAGCGTCGATTGTCTTGTTGCATGGTATGATGATTACCCCTTTTGTAAGTCCGTGGTCTACTATGACCATAATAGAATCGTATCCGTGTGATATAGGAAGGTCTGTAATTAGGTCGACTGAGAGTTGTTTGAATGGTAATGTGTGGCCGGATCTGATTGGGTTTAAGGGCGGTATCGTGGGGTGCGTGTTGATTTTGTTTTGTTGACATGCCGCGCAACCAAGAACAAAGTTACGTACAAATGCGGCTAAGCCGGGCCACCAGTATTCTCTAGATAAAAGTTCCCTGGTTCTTAATATGCCCGGGTGTCCAGATCCCGGTAATTCGTGGATTGTTTTTACTATATTTTGTCGTTCTTTGGGTGGTACATACGTCCGTCCCTTGTAGGATAGCATTCCATTGCTAAACTGCCATTCTTCGATGCGTGATCGGAATTTATACGGGGTTTTTCCATTCAGGGCGGAGCACATGTTGTTAACTAGGGTGTCGTCTTTTGATGCTTGGATAAGTCGACTCTGGAGTCCGGTGTCTATTAGTCGGATAAATAAATTATCAGGCAATAGGATTCTATTGTTGTTATCCTCGGAGGTGTCTGGGTCATCTTTTCGTGAGAGAATGTCCGGTATTATGTTCTCCTTTCCAGAAATGTGGACCAATAATATATCATATTCTAATAGTTCCGCTGCCCATCTGGCCTGGCGATAATTTAAGTTTTGCGCTTGCTTAAAATAGGTTAGGTTTTTATGGCTGGTGAAGATAACTGTTTTATGGGGAGATCCTTGAATGTAGTGTTTCCATTTCCTTAACGCTCGAATGACAGCAAGTAGTTCCTTGTCGTGAATGTCATAATTCCGTTCTGCGTCATTTAGTGTTTTTGATATGAAGGCCACTGGGTGTAGGTCTCCATTTGCATCTTTCTGCTGCGCTACTGCTCCCGTGGCTTTGCTTGACGCATCTGTGGATATGTAGAATGGTTCTTTTAGATCCGGCATGACCAATAGCGGTTCCTTTGTGAACTCATTTTTTAAGGTTTTGAATGATTCTTCTTGTTCCGTTCCCCACGTCCAGCTCTTCTTTCCCGTTAGTTGTGATAATGGTTCCGTCAGGTGGGAATGATTTTGAATGAATTTCCTATAATAGTTACAGGTTCCCAGGAATTGCAATGTGCCTGTTTTCAGTAATGCGTGGCGACGTTTTTGAATGCGTTCTTTCTCGATATCCATTGTGGCTTCTTCCAATTGCCGGTTGAATTGTTCATCCTTTGGTGTAGTGTCGAGATGTCGCCAATTTAGAATGATATCTATCTTTTTCGGATCCATTCTGACGCTATTTTCCGATATGATGTAACCAAGGAAGTCAACTTCAGTTTTCTCGAAAAGGCATTTTTCGGGTTTGAGATAGAGTTCGTGTTTCTGTAAGTGTTTTAATACTTTTCTTACTAGCTCTTTGTGCTGATTGAGTGTTTCTGAAAAGATGAGAATGTCGTCCATGTATATGATAATCCATCCCTCCATGATGAAGTCCATGAAGAGTTCGTCCATGAAGGCTTGGAAAGTACTAGGGGAGTTGCATAGTCCGAAAAACATTACGTTTGGTTCGAATAGTCCAAGTGGGGTTACAAAGGTGGCCTTCCATCGGTCTTCGGGTTTGATACGGATATTATTGTAACCGTTCGGGAGATCAAATTTTGTGAAGTATTTTGCCCCTCGTAACTGTTCAATCAAATCTTCTATTTTTGGTGGTGGATACGCGTTTTTGATCGTGAACTTGTTGAGATATTTGTAATCTTGAACCGGTCTTAGGGAGCCGTCTTTCTTTTGAACGAAGAATACCTGGGCGGCTTGTGGAGATTTGGATCGTGATATTTTCCCAGTTCGGAGGTTTTCCGTGACAAACTTTTTCATGGCTTCTTTTTTGTTCAAGTCGAGTGAGTATAATTTCCCTCTTTGAGGAACGAATTCTGGCTCCAGTTCGATCTTGTGATCGTACGGGCGTTCTGGTGGGAAGTTTTCGGATTCTTTTTCGGAGAAGACCTTTTTAAATTCCTGGTAATCCTTTGGTATGGGATTGGTTTCAGTTTTTCGGATTGATACTCCATTTGGTAGGTTGATCGTTCCTTTTCCCCAATCAATTTTTGCCTTTTCTTTTACGAGCCAGGGAAGTCCTAATATGATTCTATCGTGGCCGAGATCGGTGACGTAAAAGGTTTCGATCCTCTTTACTCTTTGAATGGAGAAAGGGACTATTGCCTTGTGGGAGATTATCCTTCGATTGGGCGTTCCATCGACATTACTTGGGTGGATGGGTTCTTTCAGGGGTATGGTTACCAAACTATTTTGTCATGTGAACCTCCAGTCTATGAATAATCCTTGGGCTCCGCTGTCGATCAGAGCATTTGTTTCAACGGTTTTGTTAGGAGTTCGCACGTTTAATGGAATAGTGAATTCAGATTTATTTTCGTTCACTAAAATTACGGGTGCTATCCTTGGGCCCGGAGGTATAGACGTTGTTGCTATCCTCCGATTTAAAAATCCATCATTTCTTCGTCACTTTTTCCCATCCTCATCCTGAGAATTTTCATTAATTCTTCGGTTGTGAGGTTGTCCCCCGGGGTTGCTTCTTCTTCCTTCTTGTCTTGGGTACTGTTCTTCTCAGTTTGAACTTCTCGTACCTGTCGGTTCCTCCAGTTGTTATTTCCGTTGTTTCGGTTCCCCTGTCCACCTTGGTTATTGGTGCGGGGATGGAATTCCCTATCATTTTGCATGTGTCCCTGTTTGTGGCATTTGAAACATAGCCCCTTTTGGCGATGTTCTTGTTCCTGCTCCTTAGTTAGGCGTACCGCATCAATATCCATTGCCATGGGATCGCGAGCTGGTTTATGGTTAGTGTGGGAGTTGTTTCTATTATTATTGTTGTTTTGTGATGTGAATCCATTGTTTCGGGCATAGACCGGAGTGGATCCTGAGATCAATGAAATGAGGCGTCTCTGATTGGTGCTTGTTTTTGCAGCTGCTTGTATCCATCCTGCTAAAGTTGCAGGGGGTGATTCTCGGTTGAGAATGGCTTTGCTAATAGGAGGCAGTAGTCCCATAGCAAACCAGTCAATGAGTGCGTTTTCGTCCGTAATTCCGCTTTCGGTAGACACCATCTGGAATTCTGATATGAACGTGTCAATGTTCTTATTTGGGATGTTCGCTTGTTTTAGGGTTTGTAGCTTGAGTCTGGCTGCATTCTGCGTATCGTGGGCAGTGAAAGCTTGCCAGAATTCTTGTTGGAAGTCATCATACGTTCCCCATGGCTGAATTAAAGCGGCTTCCGCAGGTTTGTTTGCGTTGGTTAGGCGTGCTTTTTCGATGATTTTATTGTTTATCTTAGTATAGTACGCTTGTGACCATGTGGCGGCTGTTCCCTTAGTCATGTGGTTGAGACAGAAAATGGTTTTGGTTATGTCTTCTTTGTAGATATCTTCGTTGACTGTAAAGTACGCCGTGCATGTCATGAACCATCTCATCGCATCATTTCTATTTCCATCGAAGTGGGTTGGTTCTCCGACCTTAATTTCTTTGGGAGCGGCGTTAGTAGGCATTGTGGATACAGTTGGAGTTGGTACTCTAGGTGGAGTTGGTGCTCTAGGTGGAGTGGGAATTCTCGGTGGAGTTGGTACTCTAGGTGGAGTTGGTATTCTAGGTGGAGTGGGAATTCTCGGGGACGGTGTAGGGGATCTAGATAGAGGTAACGGAACTAAAGCTTCTTCCGATAGCGGTTCTGTTGTGGGGTCTTCTTCTTCGGAGGTTTCTTCGTCTGATTCTTCCGATGTGGTTTCTTCTTCGTCTGAACTTAGTTCTTCCGATGCTTGTCTGGGTGTTTCAAAATTAACTACGTCTGGTGATTGTGGTCTGGTGGCTTGTCGAGATGCTGTTCTCGAGTTTCTAGATTGGGGAGTCTGTGGTCCTGGGACGGTTGTTCCGCTTTGGGAAGGTTCTAAGTGACTTAACCTTTCAAGTTCATTTGTTAGCCACTGTTGTTGAGCTAGTTGCTCGGAGCCCTGTTTGTTTTCCTGATTGTTCTCAATGTTGTGGTAGCGTACGTAGTAGTAGCTAAGAAGAAGCTAGTCCTTTTGTTAAGACTGCGTCTTGACCTTATATGGAATCCTAGTCGTCACCGTGGTTGACGACGTCAAAGGTTCATGGTTGTCGAAGAGGACAATGTCGAAGGGTTCTTAGTAAGTCATCAGCGACGATGCAGTTCTTAGTCTTAGTGGTAATCTTAGATCGTGTACTAGGTAGTATCGAGAGTGGTATCAGATTGACTAGTATTCCTAAGGTAGGACTAGCTTGTGTTACATGGGCGAGCAGAGCGAGCCTTATATACAAAGATACGAATGCGCACAGGCCAGTTTCCCGATATATCGTACAGGTTAGAGGTCCTGCCTCTTTAGGTAAGAGAAGAAAAAGCGTGTCATAACAATGGTTTCACAACGAGTCAGTTTTCTATGCCCTCTAATCCTTACTCTCTGATAGGTTTTGCTATCTATTGTGTTTTGTTCCACCCAAATAAGTCCCAAAACCCATTACTCCCTGATATCCCATATGTCGGAAATTTACCTTTTTAGTTGCAAGCAATGCCACTGCTCCTAAGGTTGAAACTCTGTTGGAATTGGTAACAACAGCTTGGAATTTCTGGGCTGTTGCTGGCAGTGGCCTGTAAGTGATTGAGATTGCAATTGCAATCAATTGTAAGCAAGCTGCAAGCATATCTGCAGGTGCTTGCATGTTCTCAACATTGTCTACATGCCTACATGGTTTGTTTAGCCATCTTTAGCTCAGTGCATCCATTTTTAGACTGCTTTTGCAGCTGAGGATTCCCCGTACCCCCAACAAAACACTTGTTGAGGTCATTCCAGCACCTGATGAAAATGGAAAAAGGGCCTGCCCAACATACAGCCAGCACTTTAAGCCTCATGGATGGGTGACCCATACAAAGGCTTGTGAAGAAAATTGACGTGATTGAGTGAGGGATAAAAGCTTTCAGAAACAGATGCAAAAAGCAGAAAAGGCCAGTAAGTCTACAGTGTATAAATTGCACATAAGTTACCAGTTCCAAACTCTTATTTTTGTATACTTGTTATGGTACAGCAATGAAGAAAAGTCTTTATGATAAGCTTGGGGGGGTATCACCAGGGTGTAAACATTCCCAAAATGGAGGTGTGTTTATTGATTCTCTCTACAATTTGTGTTTCACAGAACATTGTATAAAAAGACCTCTTATCTGAGGAGCCGCTGCAACTAGCACATGCACAATTTTGATGAGTTCCAGCCAGGTATGTCATCCTTTTCCATAGTGTCTCAGTACTATTCTAATTGTTTTCCAGATGATGAGGTTCTCCCCATGCATCATTCTTTGGGGAATGATATCTGGCTAGGTGACATTCAAACTATCTATCACCCTCAAAGTGGGGTTTCACCCACGTAGGACAATGGTTTATGTTACAAACATCATGCGTGACCTCTCTCTTTGTTGCATGTGAGCAGATCCTGGGTGTCAGGGCTGAGCCGAGGCAGCCTCAGCACACTCACCCACTCTCCCTTACGCTCACGCTTCCACCCTCGACCACAACAACCAAATGATGTGCTTGATGCGCCAGCACGTGTCACCAACATCAACATTGTGGATAGCTCACACATGCTCATGCATGCCCATGTACGCCACCTCAAGGAGGACAACCAATGCCCACAATAGCCACGCTACCAGAGGTACAGCAGCGGCAGACCACAGCCCCTCCTTGGCTGGACAAGCACACCAAGCCTGCAATCTGACGCACAGAGGTACAGCATCCTCCCCCACATTCTTGGAAAAGTGTGTGGAGCGTGACACAAGACACAAGGGGAAACTTACCAGGCACATTGAGAGAAACATTGAGGGTTTAAGAGGAGAACAAGGATTAAGGGGGCAAGGTAAGTGATACTTGGCTAGATTTCAAATGCGGACTCACACATTGAATTGATAACTCAAAGCAGCAGCCTATTACCTGATCTGTTGTGGTTATGCAACAGTGTTCTTGAAGTGCAGGGGATGTGACAGGTCAGTTCTCCAAGCAAGAACCATTGTTTGCCCACTTTGCAGTACCCACAAATTATGCCCAGTCTCCCTCATTCCTCCACCAAAATTGACTGTGAAGGGATTTGCACACTTCAGAATGACAGTTTGGACCCTTAGAACAATAGTTCAACCCTGTGGATGACAGTTTCAGCAGCATTTTTGGATGAGTGCATCTGCCTGCTTTCAAATATCTCTTTATACTGGGCTTTCTCTCCTGCTGCTGCTGTCACCCTGTCCCACCCAAATGCATGTACCAAAGCTACCATGGGCTTGTTATGTAGTTTCTTTATATTTGCAAGCAATATTGCAGTTTCAATACACCAAAAAAACACAAATAAGTTTGAAGAAGCAGTAAGATCTGCCCATTTGCTAGTTTTATTATGCCCTTGTAGTAAGATATCTGTTGATAAGTAACAAATTGCAAGCAAAAAACAGTCACCTATGTGATTGCCTAGCTACAGCCTAGCTACACAGAGAACAGGCAAGATGATCTCGAGCTACACAACGTGGTGGTGCAGGCACAAGCGCAATCAAGTGTGATCAAGTGTGATTAGATGGTGATAAGCCCCTGAGCCGTGAAACCATCCTTCAGTGACAGTTTTGGCTGCAGCCAAGAACCACTGTGTGGGGGGAGCATGACATGCGTGATAGCAAACTGTTGTTCTCCTGAGAGAAGTGAATGCACACCAACAATTGAACAGCCATCCGAGTTCAATCAAAGGTGTCAGCCTGATACAACAGCAACTGATCTAAGTAGAGACAAGTTGCCTTGGACACCTTGGTGCTCCAGGGAGGACTTCAAACTTTCTGAGTTTGCAATTGAGGTAGCATTAACATGTGATCAAACAGATTGGGTGGTCAAGCTTATCCACCAGTGTGTTGCTAATCTAGGGGCCTTCATGTTAAATGGACATGATGAGATGCAAGGGACATTTGAAGTGGCATCTCAGATATTAACACCAGTGAGCTTGTGAATGTCACACTATAGCAGAAACATGCACTAAATCTACTCAATCATTTTTGCAGTTCAAAAAACATGACCTCCTGGTCAGATTTGAAGAGCAAAATCAGACTTACAACTTTGAGGTCTCAGGCTGTTCATTATTGGACTGGGTCCTTGATCTCTTGTCAAACCCACAGCTACAACCCCATTTTATTTTTGATCTACAGCAAGTATCAAAGTATGATGGCAAGAATTTTGTACAGCTTATTGATGATCCATGGACTGCCAATGACTTCTGAACTGTTCAGGTATGTAATATATAATAAGTTTCTGGTGATTTTTATATAACTGTTTGCTAGTCACAAATTCCTAAGGGAGGAAAACTGCTAGCTTTCATTTTTTATGCTGACAAAACAGTAATGTCATCATTTGGCACCCAAAAAAGGTTGCCTAGTAGTTTCATGGTGTGCAAATCTTCCTGCAAAACTTCAAAATAAAAATAAAAAAAAACCTGGTGGCAGTCAGGTTGTGGGGTGGCTACCAATTGTGAGTATATTGCACTTGTAAGGCAGTAGCTAACTGTTTCCTCTAATTATATAACCAGGTTGCCAAGGATGACAAGTATAAAGGAACAACTGAATGGGCAAACTTCAAGAACATTGTATGGCACAAATTATTCAAAAAGTTATTTGAATCACTGGGGGGGTATGCAAAGACCGGATTCTGGTTTGAACTATGTGATGGCTCTCTTATGTGGCTGTTCCCTATCATACTCATCCTTTCAGCCAACTGTGAAGAGCAGTAAGCTCTCATTTATCTTACTGTAGTTTTTTGACCACAAGTTCTCACCCCTCAATCTCCCATCACTGCAGGACAGTTGGGGTTTAACTTTGGATCACAACCTTGAGACTGGTGATAGACACTGGAGCACTTTTGCATAAAACAGGCATCAATGCACACAATGCAATCAGGACTTGAAGCAGTAAGTATGCATAGCAAAACTAACAGCAACAGCAGTAACTTATTTGTTTGCAGCTGTCCTACCAGCATGCCAGCTATCACCACCAAAGCAAAGTGGACAACACTCTTGAAGGTAGAGATTGAACTGATCACATGCTGAGTTTTGACTATGGCTGTCAATAAAATTGTTGAGGTGTTCCTGAAAAAGATGACCAAGTGCACAATATCAGTGGTAATCATGCTGAAATCTGTGATGCAAATGATCCTGTACTTTGTCAGTAAAATCTCATAAGAAAATGGCAAAAGCTCACCTTCATCATTAGCAAATTTCCTAGACAGGAAAAAAGGTTGTGATGAGGATACAGCTGCCAACATTAGTGATAATCATCCAAACTGGTTTATGGTGGTTATATGCACTTGTAACAACAAGTCTACTTTCACACAAGCACAAGACAAGCTGCATCCTCTCATAATTGATTGACAATGAATTGGGAAGAGATCTTGTTGGGCTAGCAATACAAGATTATGAGATGATAATAAGATGGCACTATGCATTCACCATCCCTTCTGAGCCAGTTATCTCATTCATCAACACACAATCTAGTAGCAGTAATGTGACAGTGGCCATGAAAGAATGCATTGCATGAGCTACTCACACTGACACAAATCTATGTGCACTCCACCATTCCCCTCACACACTAATGCAGGGCAGGCATCCAGAACATCTGTGCTGCCACCAAGTTGTTATCGTCCACAACCTCCATGGCATTGGCTTCATCATCTGGGCCATCATTACCAAAAATATGTCTAAGAAATAGAATTATTGTATTAGTAAAACCATGCTCCAGATTAGGGAGATATAGGAAAACATACTGCTGCCACCAGGTCAGGTGATTGTCATGCCAAACAGCATTTGCAGCTGGTGCCTTGCAGAGAGGCTTGAGAATCCAGTTGTAGAATGTCTCCAAGAAAAGATCCTTGTTAATGTTTCTCTGACCCCACTTTGGAATAGCCAAGAGCATGAAGCATACCTTGAATGTATGGCACATAATCAATAATCCTCTATGATTGACAATAAAGGAGGATATACCAGGGTGGCCACATATGCAATGGATGACAAGCTGACATGTCAGATATTGTGCAGGGCCACATTACCCTGGTGCCCACCTGAACCTCCTGCATCATTGTAGATGCCCACTGTCAGTTGCAACAACAGGCACTACTAGTGTAATACCAAGTCCCAGATGTTGAAGGTTCTCCTAAAACGTACATCGGTCTGGTTGTTTAGGGTGAAGTGGCTCTAGTTCAACCAAATATAGATAGGAGTAATGTAGGAGTAATAGAGAGGATTGATAGACGAAGATTACTGATGGAGTAGGGAATGGGAGTAGCGATGATGAGGGATAATAACTGAGGATGAGGATGGAGTATAGATTGATGATGAGTAGCAATGAGGATTAGATTGATGATGAGCTTAATGAGTACTGACTTCACACTTGGAAATCAGGGAGGAAGATGTCTCTCATTGCACAGTCTAACTACTGGTATATATACTACTGAGCCTTTGCACGTACGTGTATAGTAAGGGCTATGTGTATAGTATTTGTAAGTAGGGCTGTAGTGCTGAGTAAGAGAACTGAATAATATGAGAACAATTTATAAGAGCCATGAGAATGCTTGGTAAGAACCACAAGAACAAAATACAGTGAAAAAGAAATAGCAAGGCTGCACTCGTGTAGCATTCTTAGTAAGTGCGAGAACAAAAGACAAGGAAAAGGGAAGTGGACAAGTAAGCAAGGGGAAGTAGTGGTCCATAGTCCAATCAGAACAAGGCAAGTGAATAAGCAAGGGGAATGGCTGATAAATTGAATGACAGATGCAAGAAGAAGATAGTAGAAATAGTAAATGTGCTCACAAATCCAACACTGCCCTCCACTCCTAGTGACTCATCGATGACCAAGCCAGTGGTCTGGAGGCTGCGCTGACCAAGCATTGAGTAGAGTAGTGGGGGGAGAACTACTGCAGGGGCCTATGCTGGAACATTGGTGGCTTGACAAAGGAGTGCTCGTGGTCAATGGCTGTTGAGTCGATGGACATCCTGTGAGTGCCGGACAATGTAACCTCCATGAATGCTGCTACAAAGTCTTTGCTGGTCTGCAAGCTGATGGGGTGGAGGGCATGATAGATGCTGCGCCACACGAAAGGAAGGTTGCGGAGGTGATAAGGTACAGCTAAACGAGCAATGCAGTGGAGAGGGCGGTGCTCTGTGGTGTAGATGTTGAAGACAATGTAGTCTTGCTTGTAGCAGCAAATGGAGTGGACAGGCCCACTAGTGGCCTTAGATTGCCCTTTGCCTGAAGCAAGGAGGATAGTCATGTTTGACTCAAGGCTAACTTTGAGATGGTCATAGAAGCACATGCGAGGGTCTGCCACAAAGAAGTACTGATTGGCAATGCAGTGAATGAAGGTAGTGTCAGGATACATGTGAGGCTCCGGAAATTGGCAAAGAATGTCACAAGAGTGGAAGATACTGTCACTGATGAGCCACACAAGGAGGACACAGTAGAGGGCGGCAACGAATGTGACTGAGAGATAATGGTCACAAGAGTGAAGAGGAATGGGTCCTTTATGACTATGCCAAGCATGGTGATGAGAAGAGACTTGGTCACGCCCTTCTGGTCTCTTGGTTATGAGGTGTATTCTTGTCCTGCGTATCCCTGGGGTGCATTGGCAAACTGTATTAGTGCTCATCTTGAACCATATCGTGGGCCAATCACTATTGGTGCGTGATACCGCACTCAGAGGGATAAACATCCGCCCAGCTGCAAATCAACTGCATGGCATGACCAATAACCTTGCCAGAGAGGTAATCATCCAAGAAGAGGTCAGCAATGTCCAATATGAACAAACCAATGCTCCTGACCAGAGAATTCCAGCTGATGATGTCAGGGAGCAATGCAAGGGTGGGAGGAATGTGGGTGAATGGAAGCTGGACCGACTGAGAGAGGATTGTTGTGTTGGCCCACTCGAGAGCACTCTTTCACTGAGGCTTTGCTGTCACAGTGGGAAGAAGGTCCTGCCAGAGTGGAGCAAACCACAGAGGGGCATTCTGTGGCTTCCCACCAACGTCAAGGCGGAGACTGCACAAACCGCGCTCCCACTGCTCTCAGAGGACTGAGTGACAAAGAAGGTAAGCATAGGGGGAAATGGCAATGGCCAGAACATCCCAAGGACCTGTCGCTGGCAAATTGGGCCAGAAAGTGTTGGTAATGGAGAAGGAAAAGTCCAAGCTTTGGGGTGGGATTGCCTCCAGCAGGGGGTTAGCAAGTAGGGTGTGGACAAACTGTAAAGAATTGATAGGGGAGTGCTGATACAGAGGGGGGACTTTGACCACTATGAAAAGGCCAGAGAGCTCTGCAATGCAGTTATCAATAGATATTACAGGGGCCATAGTAGCAGTAGAAAAGGTACTAAGATGGGAATTAAGAAAGAGAGAATGTTAAGAATGATAGACAAGGTAAGAATAAAGGGGGTTAGAGGATGATAAACAATATGTGTATGAGTCAGTTGGTGAACCTGCGTTTTCTATGACCATCCAAAGCTGCCTTTACACACTTCCGAGTGTGATCCCCTCAACCCAGCAAAGGTGTGTTATCTGCAAAGATGAGGGAAGAGTGAGACCTATGTCACAACTTTCTCACAGGCTTCTGTAAGCTTTGGTAACCATTAGAATGATGTTACACATTTAATAGCATCAAAGTAAAAGGCACTTGCATTAGAATGCTTTCTCATCGGCAGGTCTGGCATGTCAAACAGCCGAGTCTATCATTGCCATGCATCACTATGCCATGGGAATGGGCCAGGCCCATCGGACCATTGCCACATGGCAATGGGCATTTTGATGGACCACAATCACATGACAATAGTTGTGCGAGCGCGCAAGGCACACATCATTGCAATGAATGGCGATGATTGGGTTTACATCTGAAAAAGGCTAACCATCCAAAGAGTGGTTTTTGAACGGCTACAAATTTCACTAGTAGATTATTAGTATTGATTGTTACTTATCACTTACCTTTTACTTACTATACTACACTATACAATGCTCTTACATTACTAGTAACCGTGGTATATTATATTAATGGTGTTACCTGGATTCAAACAACAGCACTCTAGGTATTACAATCTATTAGTAGCAATTGGCATAGTTCCTGCTAGGCCACAAGACCTTGTAATACCAGGGACATGTAGCTCAATAAGTATACATGCTACAGAGATAGTAATGACTTTGTGCGGATAGTAACTTAGATTATCACGCTGATTTTTGCACAATAGTCGCACAAAATGGCAGAACAATCAACATAAGACATTGTGAAATGTATGCTATCAACGACAGTTCATATACAGGCATGATAAGGAAAATAGAAGTGTCACTAGTGGACTACTGATTACCCTGAGTGCATCTACCACTGCGCTTTGCCATCTCGGCAACCTCCAGCTGCTGTTCCTGACCTTCAGCCTCAGGTGTTCTTGCTGTTTGACGGGTTTTGCGGGCCAGTTTGGTGGCGAGAACATCGGGCTGAGGCACAGCAGGGGCTGCAGCCAGCGTGGGAGCACTCTTGCAGGGAGCCGCCAACGCAGAGCTCAAGGCAGGTTGCTGGGGCATGGACCTCAATGCGGATAAGGCAGTGCGAGAGGTAATGGCTGGCGTGTTCACGCCCAAGATCAACATCTGACAAAGAGCAGCAGCCACAGCAGATACAGAGCTGTCCTCAGCAGGAGTGACATCGGAGCATCTGGGATCAGATGAGGTGGCGCGGGTCTGGAGCTTGTTGCAAAGGGAGTTGGCGCATTCAATTGGTTTACGAGGCGCTGCACGAGGGGCCAAGGCACCCAACTTGGGAAAGAGAATCAAGTCCCAATAAGCTAGGAGCTTATTGGTGACAAAGGACGATCGCGAGTATAGCTGAGAAGTCTATAAGAGCGCGAACTCACCGGGCAGTTAGTGTTGAAGGTTGAGTTAGTAGCTTGGTAGCTGGTAGGCTGACGATGGTAGTCGTTCGGTGGAAAGAGAAGACTTAGATGATATTCATGGTAGCGACTGTATATATATGACAGGAGCGTGTGAAGTCACTACCGTATGCGTAAAGCTATATAGTCCGAGTCCCACGGTAATGTAGGACGGCTACGTAAGCTATGAACGTGGCTCTATGCGATGAACGCGGAGCCACACGAATGCGTGAGCGCTAGAAGTACCAATGAGATACCTAGCACCAGAATAGACGTATGAAGGCGGTGTTTACTTGTAGACCTCGTAGAGGAACATCGCCGTACAGGAGGCTTCTGGATGAACCAATAAAGCCGTAAAGGGTCGAATACTAGACGTAAATCTGACAATTGGTCCATTCAATGTTCCTGTTCAGAACTGAAAGGTACTTATCGACCCGAGCATCCCAGTCGATGTGCGTGACCCTACCTGGGGAGCCGAACTCGTTATCCGGGGTGAGGCAATGTAACACCTAGGATTAAAATTATTTAGTGAGCATATCAAACAGTAAGATCTATGCAGACGTACCAAAACCGCTATGGTGGCAATAAGGCCCGGAGTGGTGCCTTTGATGCCCCACCTCTGAGCTTTCAGCCTTGGTCTGCCTGTGCTGGTACAACCGGTTAACGTGGTTGGCCCAAATAGAGCTGCCTAGCTGCCTAACACATATATTCAGCATATAAATACATAGAAAAGGGAATAGAGCAAAGACTTACCTTGAGTAACAAATCCTGCCTAAAAAGCTCATCGAAGTCAGGGAAATCGGGGTCTTGGAATAAGATTCTTGGAAAGGTGGGGACAGCATCAGCCTCCAAATCCTTCTGCTGCTCGCTCTCCTCAGTGTCGGCGCTCTCATTGGGCACCTTGTCTTTGTTGTTGTTTTTGAAGGGATTGCCCAGGAGCCACTTGACCTTGGCATCCTTCGCAAGCTTCTCTGCAGATGAGAGACCAGCGCCACCAATGTCGAGTTCGTTGAGATGTGCGGGATCTGATTTTTGGTGCTACTGACGTATTGCCCAATCTCGGACCTAGCACCCTCAAGAAACTATGAACATGTGTGAGATTAAATAAGTCGGGACACGACAATTACAGTTGCTCACTTTCAACTGAAAGTTTGGAAAGCTGGAAACAGCTTTGCGAAGGTCCGGGGATAGAAACTTGACAAATTCAGTAACCAGACAGCGCCATAGTTTGGCAGGGCTCTGAAACCGCTGTGGGTGGCAAGGATCAAGGGGCTCCACATTGCGAAGGGGGAAGAGGTAGTCGGGAACGCTAAGGCGAAATAGGTAGATGAATATGCGACCAATGGTGACAACTTTGGACTCGATAGAATTCTTTTTCGGCTTCGACTTTGAGGCGGCAAGCTCGTCCTCCAGCTCCTGGATGCAGTGGTGGAGCTGCAAGACCGTCAAGGAGGACTTTGATGACGAGTCTTGCGCGTATTTGAGACCCTGAAATAATGAGTCAGTTGTAATTGAGCACTTCAAGTGATGTACCGAGCGTAACTCGGCAACGGGCGTGGGGGCAGCGTCCACATCCATGATGCGCTTCTGCATCATCTGTTCCTCCATTGTTGCGGGGTTATTCACTTCAGCGGCATCACCATTGCCGTTTGCCTGGTCGTTGTCTGTGTTCTCATCGTCGTCGGACTCAATATCTAGCATCACGGCTTGGAAATCCTCTTTGGCTTCAGCCATGATGGAGAGGAGCTGGTGATGAGTGAGCTGTTTGTGTAGCATGGATATAACTTGACGAGACCTCATCTGCAACTGTGGCCGCATGGAGGATGTGAGGATGCATGACACAAGCAGGCAGCCAGCATGAAGCCGCATGGACATTGCCATGATGCCTTGTGTGGAGGTTCTGCTGGACTTAATCACACCTGTATAGCACGCCGGAATAATTAGACACTGCGTGATGAGAAAAGAACTGAATACGAGGTACTTATGGTCTATGTTCATTGGTGGAAGGTGACACTTATAAAACACATGTCTAAAGTGTAAGTGGTTCAGAAGTCTCTAGAAGATCTGGAAGGTACTCACCTCGTTTATTCGAAGGCAGAGCACCGTGATGCCAGCATCAAAGGATGCTTGATGATTGCGGCTTCAAGGTGAGGTTGAGCTGTGGTGACGGCGTGTGATCGCATGTGAACTCGGTGTTCTATGCCCACCAAAGTTCACGAGAACGCGCTGGAGTAAAAATAAGAAAAAATGTGATGTGAGTGTCCATTTTTTGTATGGCCTGCAGTCTTGCATGTGGTGTAGCTACAAGGGACCCCGCCTGGAGCTTGATTGAGTACCTGGAAATAGGGCCAAGGGTAAGTGTTCAAGCCTCATTGAGGTTGCGAGGTGCTACTGAATGTTAATTTCAGCCTACTGAAGACGTACCAGGGGCTGTTTTACATCTATCTCCACAGGTTCGAAGGGAGGTAGAAGGGAATGAGGTGATGGAGTGCGGCACAATTGTGTTGTGGAGAGGGATGTGAATGGCACCATCCAAAAAAGGCGTTGGAGGAGAGCTCCACTTCGTTCCGGTTGCAGAGCGACTGTGAAGAAATACATTTCCCAGGAGAGTGAAAGGGTGGCCTGGGGAATGGTTGTATAGGAGCTGCTCGAGTACAAGTACTTGCCGGGCATCAGTTGCCTGAGGTACAAGGTGGCATCTAGGGAGACGAGGAAAACAAGCTGGCCACTGCAAATACGATGTCAGGTGCAAAGGTTGGAATATACCAGCGAAAGAAATATACTGACAGGTGATGAGTACACCGTAGGGCATTCCTGCGGGTACTAGAGATGGTCAAGGGTGGAGACTATGTTGTAATAAGTGAAGGGGGCTTCATGAAGCTGAGGTTGAGAGGCTTCTCAAGGAGTGGCATCCATTTGAGAGTGAGGCATAGGAAAAATTGTGTCGGTGTAGTGTGTGGTTATTTGCAAAGCAGACGAGGCGGGTGGCTGAATAATAATGATACTAGGGACGTGGAGAAACTGTACAATGTAGAGAACTGTCAACCTGATAGCTTGCAATAGTTGCCACCTGCATAGAACAGACAAGTTATATTAGGGCTAGTCAGAGAGAAGAAATTTATATATATCTCACCAGAAGCCCACTTTTTTGCAGCCCAATCCACTTTGTGTCCTTCATTCAAAAAAACATGTTCCCATCAACGTAGTCATAGACAAGGTACTTGTCGGGTCACTGGAAATCAGGGAACAGGAGGGCGCCTCGGATGATGGAGTCAATGGGGATTACGAAGGCATCGGAGCGGGGCTGGGCCTTGACTTGAAGGAAACCAAGGTCAGTGTCAATGCAACGAGTGCAACTGCCCTTATCTGCATCCACCACAGCAGTGTACCACTGTACAAGGACTGCATGGAAAGGCTTGCTGGCTGCTCCAAGCTCGGGGACAGTGAACTTGAAAGGGAAAATCAAATGAACAATACCATATACGTCTGGGTTGCCATCAAGGTGAGCAATCACACAGTTGTACCTTGGCTTGTCAAAGAAGCTGGGCATGCACCGGAGGAGATCTGTAGATAGCTTCCAATCTTCCTGAGATTCGCAGTTGACCTTCAGATAGCGGTGCTCCTGAACCTGTGGGTGAGAAATAGATTAGTATAGCAAATGTTTAGCTAATTGATCTTTGGAAACTCACCATGAAGTGGTCGCGGATCTTCATGGCATTGCCGCTGTACTTGCGATCCTGAAGGCAAATGTTTTTAATGTAACCTTTGAGAGCCTTGCGGAAATTGATGAATGCCCGATCCCGAGTGCAATGCGAGGTAACGACTTCTTTGACCGTTTGAGGTCGGGAGGGCAAGCCAATAGTAAAATGGCCCGCGAAGTCCGGACCAAGCCAGTCATCATGGTCATTGGAGATCTTGCTTTGAGCCTTGTTTCATTTGTCTTGAGCCTGGATTTGTTCCTGTACGAGAGAAACAGCCAGACGGTGGTCCTCCACCCTGAGTAGCTGTGATCATATTTTGTTCCTGAGGTTAGTGTCAAAAATGCCTCTTGCTAAACCTAACTCAGACAAACAACGCATTATTTATCGCATTCGTTTTTGACATGGCCAGGCTTTGGCCCTATCTATTACATAAGCAGGCACATGACCAAGCACGTGATGGGTCTGGACCATGACATCATATGACGCAAGGATCACACAATATGGTGTGCTTGTATTACTAAGTACTTGTATTCCTAATTAGGCAGGAGCCCTACCTTTAGTTACATGGTCTGTGCGCAGCTGTCCAGTAGTATATAAGACTGCAATCAATGACCCAGAACTCCAAGAGAGTTCTTTTGGGATTTCCCCTTAGCTCTATTCGCAAACCTAAGTCTCAAGTCCTCTTGTCGAGGCATCTACTTCTGCCCAAGCCCCATCTAGGGTTAGGGTTAGTCTTTCTCATTACCACCTCTTCCTGTTCGCGTGTGCAGTGACTCCCCTAGTTAAGGGTCGCTCATAGTTAGCGTGACATCTCGGTAAGATATAATGAGACTATGTACTTGTTTCTTGGTCTTCTTACCGTTACATCAAAGAAAATAAGATTCTTTGAATGGAGGGTGTACTCCTTCATTGACCCTTGTACTTGAGTGGCGACTGGTACCCTTCTTACAAAGGTCGTTGACGGCGTGTTTGAGGATGGTGTGGTTCTTTGGAAAATCCCAGATAGTTTTGATGTCTGATATCCTTGATTTTGCTGCTTTTGCTGCCTCGATATAGACCTATAGAGATATAAGAGGATCCCTCAATTGATGAATATACTAGTATGAAAGCCTACTAATGTCCGAGAGTTTTCCATAACGCTCAACTTCTTTATCCAGGGCATCTAGTGTCTCGTCCGTCTGAATGTCAAGACCGAAGTACAAGTTGATTTTGACACGACAGTTGAGTAGACAGAGAAATGCATAGAACCCGGGTGATTTGGACCGTTTGATGATGTTATGAGCTACGAATAGTTTTTGCTATAGAATCTTATCAGTATGTAAAAATGAGAAGCTGTCAATAACTTACTCGAGAGATATCTTGAAATTTGTTACTGTCACTGAAGGAGATGGTACTGACCCCTTTGAAGTAGGCAAGACCACACCAGCTCAGGAGTTGATCAAACCTGCGCGATTGAAGGATAAAAAAGGTTTGCAGCAAGATTAGGAAGTACTTACTGCTTGTCTAGCTTCCCCAGGTACTTGCGGCTCTTTTCGAAGCTGCCGAGAATCTTGAGGAGCTCAGGATAAATGTGCTTTCTGTATACACCATGGTGGAATGCGTGCAGGTGATCAACAGTCACTGCATCGGCGGGTTCAGAGCTGCGAAGCAGCCAAAAAGCACTCTATATAGACAGAAAGCTGAGCGTAGGACAGGAGTGTCTGAGAATGATTAATTAACACACCTCAACAGGCTGCCGGCTCTCCTTTTCAAGCGCAGCTTTTGCTGCTTTCTTCTTAGCCATTCTCCCAAGGTAAAGTCTCAGTATAGAGACTCAGCAACCTTAGCAGAGTGCCGAGGATAATCCTCTGACCACCTGCTTTGGCGCTCGGCTGGGACTAAGCAAACTGGGCACGGAAAATTAGACATCATCCCACAAATCAAGGCCATTACACATCTATGGTGATACAGGTATCAGAAATGGATAAGATGGTCAAGAGGAACTCGTCAAACGTACTGCTCTTTGTAGTCTGCTGACAGAATGAGTATCACCAGGAATAACCAGCAAGGGATGCCGTCACAACAATCTGAGAAGTAAAAACCGTTCTGGGAGGAGTGCTTTGCCCCAGCAAACATCTTTGCCACTGACTTGTGCCAGACAACACGCTTGAGCATTGTCCAGCCGAGGGTCTTATCTTTCTCTGCATCCTCTGGAAGCTTCACTGTAGCTACATTAATTGAGTGTGTGCACCTCAATAATGAACTTACAAAAGGTAGCCACCCAACAACACGTCTGCCTCCCACTCCTCATCCGTTTTTGAATGTCTGCTGGAAGATTTGCACATCGAGCAACTATCGGATATCCCTGTACATTCCCGGCACTGGACGAGCAGGTTTTATCAGCATAAAAAACATAGGCAAGCGGTACTGATGGTCCGTCTGCGTATTGGGGCAGCGACTCCTTCTCATAATTTGGGTTAAACTTCGCCATGGAAGAGTATAATGAACTAACCTGGATATCCCACCATTGATCTGCGGTCCAAGGCTCATTGATAAATCTCACATAGTGGCCGTCATCACCCAATTTTCCATTATGCTTGTACATGCATTGAGCATCCCATACGAAGTGCGGGGCGAGCTGTTCGTTATGGAGGAGATCGAGGCTCCATTCCTATAGATCTCGACGCTTGTGCCATAAAGTTCAATTTGATTTCGTCTTTTTTGTAGTCAAGATGAATCGGATATTCCTGGAACTAATACACAAGACATGTGGCTGGTATACATGATGACTGAATGGTATACAATATCAATTAACTCACAAGCATAAACTCCTTTGCCACCTTGTCGCAAGTCTCCCGCAGATCCTTGGCCGTTTTGAAGGTGATATCCTTCTTCTTCTCTGTTGTCTCCTTGATGAGGGCTAGAAGGCGGCTCACGAGCAAATCAGAGAAGTTGGCATCCACGGCAATTGAGGCGAACTTGCTATTGTCTTGCATGCGAAAGGGGAACCAGGGCTTAATGTCCTCTTTGACCTCGGGTATATGCGACTGGGAGCGGAACATCTCGTATGAATTGTAGCAAGTCGCCTTGGCCCGTCAACTCTTCGGGTGAAACTCGGTCTTGAATTCCATGGGATTGCCACGCAATCAAGTCAATGAGAAGTTCATTGATATAGGCAGTGGTAACACGCATCTCGAGTCCACCATTGACAACTCGGTATTTGAGCTCGATAGAGAGTCTGAACCTAGAAAGAATATAGTCAATGCACGAAACATGAATGAAAGGTGATAAGTATGTACAAGTTTGTAGCTTGTCTGCAGAGTGATCGGCCAGACCCTGATTATTGATAGACTGTGTGTCATCCTCCGAGGCCTAATCTTTGAGGGAATGAACACCAGCGTCGAGAGGATGCTGGCCATCGAGAACACGATTGTTGGGACCCAGGTCGCCGAGAGTGGGTTCGTTGGCAGCAGGATCACCAAGAGGGTGGTCATCAATTGGGGCATCGTCGAAGACTCAAAAGCCCGGAGCTTCCGTGGCAAGCTCCATATACTTCATATGGATGTCTGGTACTTCTGTATAACGGTGTCAGGCAGAATACTTCACAAATAAATAGCAAATGGCACACTGTTGTCGGAATTGAAAGTCATGGTGCGGGTGGGGATTGAGGTGGATGCTTCAGCGATGGCATGAACCTCACAGTCAATTCGCTTTCGTACTATAGAATTGAGAATATCAATAGGGCTGATCAAATAGACGAGGGCAAATGTAGTGTACCTTTGTGCTCTCTTTTCAAGAGACACTCTTCATATATCCTGTTGCCTTCCTGCTCCTCAAACTCCCGCATGCACAACTTGATGTGAGTCGCCATAGCGCCCTTCGCCTTTGCATCAAACATCTTCATACAGTGTGAGTTGGGGCACTTGACCCGGTTGGGCGTCGAGCGTGCAGCCACATGATCATCTCGCCTAGACCTGCAACTGGGGCCCATTATGGTAGACAATGTTGAGAACAGGACTGGGTACTGGTCAAAGAGTGTTTGAAGCCGGAGATGTCGATGGGTTTGAAGAAAAGCTGATGGGAAGATGGATGAAGATGGAAGGAAGATTCCGGATCAGTGGATGTCTGATATGGAAAAGCAGCTCTTGGGCGAGGGTCAGAGAAGATGCTTAGTTGATGATGAGAATCCAATAGAAATGAATGAACGTGAAACTGGTGGCATGCATACAACGTTGAATGCTCAAGCAAATCTACGTGTATCCAGTGCGCCCACAGCACACCATACTCACTCAGGGGTTGTGATAATAGCCATGCATTCAAATTCTTCCTAATGGGGAGAGTAACCGCATCCCTGGCATTGCAATACCCGCTGGCTTCATTTGGGTACCCTCAATGTCATTTTGATGAGATTCTCATCACCTCGGTGCCTTAGCTATGGCCTCGGCTTCATTAAGATGCAAGGAGAAGCAACACTTGGCTTAGTGATGCTGGCAGTCCAATTTTAAGAGCCGTGACCATCATGGTAACCCATGGGAATGACTATTCTAATCACATCACCAAAATAGCTCGAGCAATAATAAAGCGGATTCATTAGAATGCCCTTTAAGGAAGTTCCGACATACAGGCAATCACAAGACCAAAGCCCCACTTACCTTGAGGCAAATGTGATGTGCAGTAAGGCAGATGGCATGTTGGGATGAGAAAAAGGATGGCAGGCAGGGGATGTTGTCATCAAACAAGCCAGAAGAGCAAAGGAAAGCCAGTGAGAAGGTGTGTACAAGGTGCAAAGATGAGGTAGATTGGGGCACAGCCAGAAATGATAAGGAATGTGGCCATCATATGGCCAGATGTTTGGGTCTGAGTGTGTCATGTGGGGCAATGTCATGCTATGTCATGACCAGTGAACCAATATCTCATGGACTTTTGTCCTGTCTCTGAGACCCCTGACAAACTTATGTCCCACATCAACCACTCCCACAAACTAAAAAATGGGACACACCATATATGGTAGTCAAATTCCCATTCTTCAGCACAAACTTTTGGTCAAAGATGTACAGTAGTATTCAGTGTAGAGATGGGGATTAAAAGAGAGAGAATGTTAAGAATGAAAGATGACATCAGTAAAATTACACCTTGCTTGTCATATTGGGCTTGTTTGGGCTTTTTGTCTGGTCCGACAAGTCTACAAGACCACATAATCACATTTTACAATTGTTTAGATTATTAGTCACAGAATATCATAAAGTATGCAACAGGGGTTGGCATGTGTGAGAAAGCAAATATGGAAGTGAGTCAGGCCGTAATCAAAAGAATTTTCCGACAAAATTTGAACCCTTGACCTTGTAAAGCTTCAATTTTTACAGCACATCACCTTACCCGTTGCACCACTGTGCTGTTGTAGTGTTTGTTATTGCTAGTACATATAACCAGCTATTGAGGGACCGAGAGATTTTGTTCAAACACTTGACATGGGCAGGCTTTGGACGCTAACGAGGACAAGAGCAGCTTGCTCTTTGAGTCATTCTTCCCACCCCTGCCGGAGCCCCCTCCCACAACATACACAGACGCCCCACTAGGACAGTCACCCTACCCGGAACTCCCATTCCTCACATCACTGACAAGCAGATACACCGGGTAATACACCGCCTTCCCAACTACAAGGTGCCAGGCCCTAATGGAGTTGGCAACACCGTCTACACACACACCGCCAACATACTAGTCCCGTACCTAGGCCCCCTCTTCCACGTGACCTTCAGCCTGGAAGCACCACACCACCATCATCCTCCATAAACCAGGCCAACCAGACTACTCCACGCCCAAGGCCTACCAACCAATAGCCCTCCTTGACACCCTTGCCAAGATTCTATCATTGTGCGTAACCAAAAACCTCACCTTCCTGGCAGAAACCCACAACCTGCTACCACCGACCCACTTTCATCAGGATTTTGACACATGTATTAACCGCACTTTCCTGACTTTACCAGAGTGAACCTACTTTCCCAAAATTTGAAACCATAATTCTGCTACATTTGAGGATCCAAATCGGTTTGAAAGACTCGTAGCTTACTCTTCGTGATGAGATTTGCAGCTTCAATGTCACTGATGTGGTTTTCTAGCCAAATATTCTCTAGTAAAGAGCCGAGAATACCAAAAAAGTAGGTTCATCTCGGCAAAGTCAGGATAATGCCGGTAAAGCGGCTTGTCATTTTCCTGATGTTGGCGGCCAGCCCAGACGCATGACCACAGACTCGGTCCACCTCCTGGCAAAATTTGCACATGACACATGGAACGGTGATGACAAACTGTTTGTCTCCCAGAACTCTGGAGACTGCTCAGGGTTCTCTTGTAAAGTTCAACAAGCATTTGACGGTATGTTCAAACACCTGCCTTTGAACCTGATTTCACAGCTAAGTCCACTTATGTGCAGGACTATATAGAAGTGGCAAAGTCAAGCGAGATTGAGGGCATCAAAGTTGACTGAGGCTTTCCAAAAGCACACTACTTCAGACACTCACTCCAAGACATTCGAAACAAGGGTGCTAGCCAAAACTTCAACACATGGCCAAATGAGAAGGTACACATGCCTATGCAGGATTTGCTACCTCAGACAAACAACAAGGAAGCACCTCTGCAGGCAAGTCTTTCAACTCTAGCAACTTAATTGCGCTTTTCCCAACTCATACTTACTCATTTGATTAGATCCTGTGTATTGATCAGCGATGGCTGGGACTTGCACTTATGCAAGACCAGCTCAATGAGCACAACAAGAGGATGAAGGTGTTTGCTGAGAACAACAGCAATGGCTTCAAGAAAGAATGACGATGAATCAAACAACTATACTAATTTTATGTCTCTCCCAGACAAGTTCCATATTGGGTTCCCTCAGCCTTCTCGAACAATTGACGAGATACAGTCCCTGCCTCACAATGTTGGTGATGCCGCCCTCAAAGTGTTCTCAAAAGCCCTTGAAAGGCTCATCAACCGCGAGCTCCCCCTGTACTATACAACCTACAGTCCATCCATGTATATTTGAGTCTGCACGACCACATTCGAGGTATGCTATTATCTTCATTTTTTGCATTGTATGAGTGGGCCGTCCAACTTACTCACCTCAACAGATCACGAAATATTGTTACATCAAGGTTAACTACGTGTCTGAAGAGACCTGGCAAACATGCACTGATCAGCTATGGTGCAATCCCTTGTTCAACAGGGAGCGCTGTTATGACTGCGTCATGGTCCAGTGGACCAATTCTCATGTCTTCTTTGCTCGGCTTATCCTCATTTTCACCATCCAAATCAAAGGCATATGTGAACTGGTCCCAGCTACACTCGTGCAGCCATACACTGCAGGCCTGTCTGGGTGCGAGCGGACAGCTGACAAGGACCTTGGCCTCGCTTGGGTCAAGGCATTACCACACAAATGACCCAAGGTTGTGCTGCTGACCTCAATCATATGTGGCGCCTTGTTGGCTCCAGACTTTGACAATCCCAAGGAATACTTTATTAATGATTATATAGATGGCAATATGTTCCTCCGGATGAAGGACTGGGAGCAGTGAGTTGCCTCTATCAAATTCTAACACAGATTATCTAAATGACACTTTTATTTCACTCTCCACACTAGACCTCCGGCGGATCTCTCCGGGTGATAGTGGGCCCTTGCTTGCTTGCTTGCTTGCTTGGCAGCAATGCAATGGCGGAACCATTCAAGCTCAAAAGCAACAACATTGTGGTGCATTGACCTTTTTCCCTCACTGCATATACCTGCTGCTCACCTCCTTGTTCACCGCCTGCCTGCCTCTTTATTGCATGTGTCAACTTTGCATGGCCCACAACATCATTACTGCACCCATAGGAATTGGTATCAACATTATAGGGAAGGACAACGAGACAGTGCTGCACCACAAGGCCCGCATTGTCTGCGTCCTCACAGAAGAGGATGTCTAGATTGCAGCATGGTTTGAGCAAATGCACACCTCTTCCTCAAACTCCAACACTTCACCTTCTGCCACTTCTCCTTCTCACATGATGCTGCAGCAAAACAACTTCTCTTTCCAGCAGCAAGGCCAGCTGCAGCATTGGCCAACACTCCAGAACCCCGCTCTCGGTGGCATGGGTGGCATGGTGAACATGCGGCCACCCAACAAGGGTGGTCTCACCTTCAACCACATTCTCAGTTGACTACAGGGTGAGCTCCAGAAAAGCCATGATACTGGCACAGAACTGCACTCCCTTTCAAACACCATAAACAATGTTTGCGATACCCTCGGTGGTCAGCTTGTAAGTCAATTTCATTTCAGCCTTGTGTACGAAGCAGCTGGCTGATCAGTATGTTTTCACGCATACAGCCCCCAAATCTCCCAACCAAAAAGCAAGACACACCATATTTGGTAATCATATTTTCACGCCACCCCACAAACTTTTGGTCAAAAAAGACAGTACATTAGGAGTACTTCTGTAGCTCCTGTACTTGTATTTAGCTTCTGATTCTCTATTAAATAGCTTCTGTTTCCCTCAGCCTTGGATTGGGTCTTCTGACTCATCCAGTGGTCTATCTGGCCATCTCATGTCTTATTATACTGTTGTGGACACAACAGGGGCGACACTCTAAACTCCTAAATAGCTCCGAAACTTCGGAGGAGGTCGGAGGTGGGCGGAATGGAGCGGAGCGTAGGGGCGTAGAAGTGTAGGCGTACAAGTGGCTGAAACCACAAGGCTAGGTGATGGAGGATCTCAACGAGTGCCGGCGGTGAGCACGAAAGCACTAGTCCCAATGACCAAGTCAATAAAGCATGCTATCTACTACAAAGTGAATGCGCACCTAGTCCCAATGACCAAGAGGTCGAGATGGGGGACTAGGATGTGAAACACTCAGTATATAAACAACTCCAGCAATCTTCGGATCCTGATCATGCTACTGATAACCATCTGCTGTCACGGAGGTAGTACAGCGCTGCTGTCAAGCGTCCGCATGGTCTGCACAAAGTCCGAATGTTGTCGGGAGTAATGCTCGAAGGGAAACATAAGAGGTCCGAGGTAACTCCATGTCGAAGATTGAACGCGAGTATAACTGAGAAGCCTATAAAAGCGCAGACTCACCGGGCGTTAGTTGAAGGTTGAGTTAGTAGCTGGTTAGGCTGGTAGGTGGACGATGATAGTCGTTTGGGGTAGAAAGACACTGTAGATTATATTCGTGGTAGTGACTGTATATATATGACAGGAGCGTGTGAAGTCACTACCGTATTTGTGATGCTGTATAGTCCAAGTCCCACGGTAATGCAGGATGGCTACGTAAGCTATGTACGTGGCTCAGTGCAATGGACACAGAGCCACACGAATGCATGAATGCGTAAGGCGCTAATACTACCTACTTGGGTACCTAGCGCCTGTGTAGACGTATGAAGGCGATGTTTACTTGTAGACCTCGTAGAGGAACATCGCCATACAGGAGGCTTCTGGATGAACCAATAAAGCCGTAAAGGGTCGAATACTAGACGTAATTCTGACACTCCAGACGTGGAGCAAACTCCGAAATCTTTGGAGGGTCCGGAGATGACCGGAGGTGCGCGGACCTGGCTCTAAGTGTGGAAAGGAGAGAGAGGAGGAAAGAGAAAAGAAAGAAAAGAATAGGGGCCTTGGTTGTCTTCACGACATATACTATCTCAGTGTTGGCCAATTATGTAAACATAATGACAGGGTCACAAACTCAACAAAGATTACAACTAACTGTGACGGGATTACATATGTAGATAAAACCTTACAAACAGTAATATAAAATGACACATCATGATGTGAGCAAGATTGAACACCAATTTCAACATGATCTCCCTGACGGCCTCCTTATTGCATATAGGCCAACATGAGTCAAACCTCAGGTACAAACCACTAATTCTATATGATGATGCTTTATGTGCATGAATCTCATGTCAATATACTATCACAGTGTGTGGGGTCTATAGTTTACCTATAGCTGCTATCCATGCACAATACCAAGTCAAGCTTGCACCTCCATCCAAAGCTTGCATATTAAACCCATTCCTTGTGAAGAACTTCCAGCTTGCCTGAGGATCTGACAATGCCAGGTTTGCATACAACACACCCTGCCATCCGCCAGGTGCCTGCTCGGCCCGTCCATTTGAAAAGAAGGCCTCCCACTCCTCTTTTACAAAGGCAGGCGAACGGATAAGGGGGGTATATGGCAGAAGCGGGAGCATGTGAATGCCATGAATGAATGACGGATCAGCCCCAAAATACGTTGTGTGATCTATCTTGTTCTCAAACAGCTGATTGACATCACCCGGATAAACACCCTCATTTCCTCAAAAAACTCGAACTTTGCACTCACAATACCGCCAACCATATTCCCGACAAAGCGCTGCGGCTGCACATCTTTTCCTTTGGTCGAGCCACCATAAAGAAAGTACGTCTTAAACACGTTAGCTTGGATAGCAAGCATAAGCGTGCCCTGGACCTCGAGCATAGAGTCACCAATAGTAGACCCCCACATCTTGATGGCATAACTCGCGAGCGCATCCTCGGACGTGCTCTCCTGGTCCTTGCCATCCGCACTCGGAAACAGACCTTTGGCCCAGCTATGGCCGTGATACCAGTCAAACGACCTCGACTTAGGAAAATGCTGATCAAGCTGGCCAACTAGCGAACCGGCATAGTCACGCAGGAGCATGTCGACCCAAGCCCTATTCGTGCCCTGAGACAGCCAGGCAGGGTCCAAGTGCCCGATGACAGCAGCGGTATAGACGAAATAGGAATAATGAAAATGATGGTCATTGTAGTACCCGTTGCCAAAGTCCACGAGCGGGTCGTGCGAGTAGTACACGGCCGACGAGACCACTCCACCCCACACGGCATCGTACACGAGCGGCACCGGCTGGCGGTTCTCGACGAAAACTGCGAAGCACTGCTTGAGCTCCTGGAGGCCCATGTTCGCGAGGCTCGCGTCCTTGCCGAGGACGTGGACGGCGTACGTGAGCGCGGCGAACTTGGCAAGGCCCTTGCCACTGAAGTACATGCTGCCCAGGACCGTCTGCGCGTGCATCTTCTGGGCGAGCTCGCGCGCAGCAGCACCGCGGATGAAGGCGGCGGCCTGCTCGGAGACGTCCATGATGCTCCCCTGCGACGGCGTCCACGGGGCAAACGACAAGTCAATCGGGAGACTGGACTCGCCGAGTGTCCACGCATCACCACGAACTGCAGTCGCAACGCCCTTGGTGGTCGTCTGCAGCTGTATAGACGTCATAGAGATGTCACCCGCCTTGAACAAGGTGTCGACATGATGCGGGAGGGCGAACATAAGGAGCGAGCGCTTCCTCGTGAGCGGACCCTGTTTCAGCCAGGTGAGCGTATAGACGCCATCCCTAGCTGGATCGAAGCCAGCCTCTGCCGACTGCGCATACACGCCAACGCACGCGTTGTACAGCGCCTCAGCCTGCGTGTCGCCGACAGGAACCTTGCAAACCTGAACAAATCCATCAAAGTGCGAAGGGCCGACCAGCACGTTGCGGATATTGAGCGAGAACGTGTCTGCTCGGTACCCTCCCTGCGTGCCCGTCGGAACGATGTAGATGAGCCACGTCGTCTTGTCTGCAAGAACCGCACGATACTTGTACACTTGCCCACTGACGACCTCGCCCGCATACAGCGCGCTCTCGAACCCGACACCGCTTGATATCTGGGGCGTCGCATCGCGGTAGAGGGCAGTGACGAAGCCCATGCCCTGGACGAGCGGAAACGTGATGGTCGGGGTAACGGTGGACTTGTTCGGGAGGAGGTTGACGTTGACAGACATGTCCCCGAGAGAATCGGTGGTGAGCTGGGTCTCAGGGGTAAGCTCGCGGGCAGAGAGGACGATGGAGTGGACGCGGATGGGGTTGTAGAACCACTTGGCGGGGTCGCCGGGGCCCCATACGAGCTGGCTCTCCTCCGTGTGGCATACTGCGAGGCCAAAGCCCGCTTCTGGGCCAGCGCCTTTGGCCCAGACGAGCGAGTATGGGTGGGTGAAGGAGGGATCTGTCTGGGCTCCGAGAAAGAAGTTGGCGTAGAATTTGTTGGTGGGGATGGGGAAGGTGGTGTTGGTGATGCCCAGACGGCGTACGGGGTGGTCATATCTGTGGGGGATCTGTGGGGGAGGAGGGACAGCGATAATCTGGGATGGCCCGCCAGATGCACGGCGCCTTCGGAGGAAGTTGGACATGGTGCTGGGCAGTTGTGGTGTGCTGGTCGAGTCGATCGATCTAGACGAGACCGATGAGCGCCGTCGGATGTTCATGATGTCGATGTCGATGTCGATGTCGACGACGATGGAGGCCTGCTACAGCGAAAGAATAAGAAAGTTGGAAGTGGGGAAAGGTGGACGCGTGAGCTCATCGATATTGTATCCGAGATTGAAGCTGAAGATTCGTTTACTCCGCTTATGAGCACGTTGCTGATCGTTGCCAAGTTCCAGACTCTTTCCTTCTCTCCTTCCCTTCTTCCACATCCACTAACAACCCAGTCCTTTCCTCAATTTCTAGGACATATTGAGTTCGCTCGATGCGCTCACCTTCATCACAACTTTTGTAGACCAACATATCTCGGACTCGATACTCTGTAACCACCTCGTTAATTCCCGTCGCATATCCCACCAAGCCATGTCTCCAGCAGCCCTCAACGCGTCCAACGACAGTCCTTCACCCACAAAGCTCAAGACCAAGTCGCCAAAACCGCGTCAGCTTCAGCTGCTCGACTCCAATTACTCTCCCAACCCTTCCACGTATTCGCAGGTCGAAAAGTCTCAGCGCAGGCACAGCTCCATCGCGTACAAGACGTCGTCTCCTGTCCCCCAAGAGTCAGACGTCTCTCCGTCTGTCAACGCGTCTCCTTCTTTACGCGCCGAGCGTCGCCAGAGCTCCATCACCTACATATCTTCTCGCGACGTCAACGGAGTCGTATCTCCCTCACCTCCGTCCTCCTTCAACACCAGAAGACCCCAGAGTTACAGCCATGCACCCAGAGACTCTCGCCGGCAGTCATCGATATCCTACATCGCGCCTGGCGAAAATTCTCCCGAATCACCTCTCGGTCGACCAGGATACAAAAGGGGAATGTCGGAGAGCGGAAATGGTGTCTTTGAGTTGGAGCGCGCCAGCGGTCAGGGAGAGAGCACCAGCAAAAGGCAGAGCCTCAGCTCTGTCGCATCGGGTGCATCAAGAGGTCCTTTGACCCTCACAGAGCAGTACGTGCCGTGTTATTATTCTCAAGCATTGACTCTGAATAATAATTACAGGCATGCAGACCTATTGCGCTCAATTGCTCAACACGAGTCGCGTCGTATGGAGCTGAAAGGCCAACTAGAAACCTGCGAGGCGGATTTGGGTAAACGTGAGTATTAACTTGACATCTTTGTCGGCGCATATATCTAACCCTCGCAATTTCTTCAGTAAAACGACAATGGGAGCGTATCGTTCAACGTGGAATCAGCCCGAATTCAACTTTCCACAATCCATCGCCCGCAGATACATCAGGCGCAGTTCTGGGAGGCATCCGCGAAGGTGTTCAAGAAGTTGGCCGTATGCTTGCCATGGGTTTGGCCGACCTTTCGTCCCCGGCGATGCCCATCACGCCACGGCATGCGACACGGGAATCCGATTCCTCTGCGTCGTCAGCCGAAACCGCGTTCTCCACTTTTGGGTTCAACGACGGCCGTGGTAGCAGCGAATGGGGCGAGGAACTCTCTCCAAAAGACGGTCAATTCAAACCTAGCCCCCAAATCCCCGTCGAGAATCTGCCAGCAAAGGTTACTCGGCGGCGCTCGGTGAAAGGCAGTGGAGATCTGACGTCCCGGAGCGGCCAGCACGCCGCTTCCTCTTCGACGTCGAGCGCGATTGATCCTTCGATCCGCGTTCCTGCTTCTCCTGTATTGTCATCCGCCGTACCAGAGCCTGATGAAACACACCCGTCGGCGAAACCGGAAGGGTTGCACATCGACACCGCCTCTCCGAAGTCGAAACGCAACAGCCTCGCCATGTCGGGGCTCCCGCCCCCGAGCCCGATGCCGGGCCTGAACTCGCTAACGGTCGTCGGGAGCAGCACTCCCATGTCCTCGTGGGCCGGGAGCATCGGGAAGCGATGGGGCGAGCTGACGAACGGAGGGTAAGCACTTTCCTTGTCGCGACTGGCCCGTTGCGCGCAATGCGAGCTGACGCCGTAGCCTCCTGCATCAGGTCGTCGAAGCACGGGCAGAAACGTGGCTCGTCCCTGTTCTCGGATGTGCTCTTCTCGGATGTCTCGCAGAGCCTCGCCAATGCGTTTGGACCTGCATCGCCTTCTCCTGCCACCCAGTTGGCCATCCCCGGAGCTCGTACTGGAACATCTAGCAGCAGCCGCAGTCATGGTCATAGTCACAGCAAGACGATGCCCTCACCTGCGCCGAGCAGCCGGTCGTTCCTGGACGACGACGATGACGAAGGGCAGGCGCTCAACGTTGGAAGCGTTCTCATACCTGACTCGGCGCCGAGCGTAAAGAGCAGATCGTCGGGACCCAAGACTGTCACGCCGAATGCGGAGACCGACTTTGACGACGACTGGAACTGGTAGATCCAGTCTGTTATTAACTGTTAATAATTTTTATTGACTGTGCAAAGCCGCTCGAAGGTGATGGCATATAGAAGATGTGGTAAACTATGTAACGATCTCACGACAAAGTACGATATAAGCTCGGTAGGGCTTTGGTTTCTCTTATTATGCTCAGTTAACGGTGTCTGTGCTTTGGATTGGCATACAGTATATCCCATTGTATAGTCTTGATTTGGATCACAATGAAAAGGCGACATAATAGTGTTGTTTTTGGATTATCGGGGGAATGACGCGCTGTTGTCGGGCAAGGCCGTGAGAAGGAGACAAAGCAGGGCGATCTAATAGTAAGCCCCTATGAGGACGCGATTATAATTGTCCAATAAGTACAACGGCGACATCCGCCCAAGGCGTCTCTCTGCAATGGCGGATGGGAAAAGAGCAATGGGCGGTCTGTGCAAATTTTAGAGGGTGGGCATTGTCTCCGGTCACGCGTCTGGCGTCCAACTGGTACGCCTCCTGCCTTGAGCTGAAGCAGACCGAAGCGGTGCGGCAGCTGCCTTGAGGCGGACAGAATTGTGAGTGCGGCTTATCTCGCGAGCCGGGCTTGGTTTGGTGCTGACGGTGGATTATAGCGGGACACAGAATACGTACAGCGGGACTTGGCGGGAGGAACACGTTTTAGCTGCCTTCTCGAATCTGGAACCTGCCAGCCCAACAGTCGGCTTCTCTGCGGGATACAGGCACAACAACGACATCCCTTTTGTTGTCTATTCGTCCATTCACAGTGCATGGACACCTCGCTCCAACGCTTTTCTCATCTGACATACGCGCAACACACTTTGCACCATCTGCCCCACACCGCCTGGCTCGCATAAGAAAAGGCACCAAACACGAACGGCCTCACGGCGAGCGCGTAATCGCGACTGAGCTCAGCCACGTTCAAAGATCACCGCTTTAATTTTTGCGCTTCAATTCCGTACGTCTCCTTCGCTTATATTAAGATCGAATAGCCACCTAACCTCATCCTCCCAACCTCTTCCCCCGCCCTCCCCCAACCCGCGCATGTCCCTCCCTCCACTCTCAAATTCATCCACTGCCTAATAAACACTCCTCGACTCTCCGATCGTTCCTTGTCTGCCTACAACATGGCCCTGATGCAGCGATCTTCAAGTCTAGGAGACCCAATCTCCAACATGTCCCAGCCTCAGGTGGGTTGGAATCCCAACCCCGCCATCGGTCAGCAGCATCCGATGCCCCCTGGCTGGCAGGGCCCTTGGCCCCCACCGGCCGCGGGAGTACAGCTCCCTCCAGGCTACCCCGGTCCTCCACCTCCACCCCAGGGCGCAAACGCGCCTCCCCAGTGGAAGGCCGGCTTCTGGTCATACAACCCCGCAGTCCAGGCCCCAGGCTGGGCTCCCGGTGGCGCATGGGGCGGCCTCGCCGCTCAGCAGCAGGCCCAGGCCAACTACAACCCCTACAAGCGAGTCCCCCGCCCCGCTTCACCGAGCTACTGGCAGACAAAGCTGACGGACAACGGGCTAGGCCTCGAGGGCATGGTACCCAGGTGCGTTCCCCTTTCATCATATCCTGGGTCATATGTGGAGCTCATCACCCAAACCTTCTCTCGCCTTTCTTTAGGACCGAGAGCCATGCACCACCCCCCGAGGATGAGAATGCTCCACCTCAGACCCCCTGGATATGGAACCCACCCAGCCTCGTCCAGGACCCCGACCGGGCCACACCCACTCGGGACTTCAAGGATCGCCGCTCGACGCACGATGGCTCGCGCCACGTCCCGAGTCGGCTGGGATATCCCAGCCAGCTAGGTCCTCAGGGTGCTGCTCATCAGCACCCCACAGATCGGAGTCTTGATCTATACCGACAAGACGTCCAGGATGGCAGCGGCCCACGACATCGGACGCACTCTACGACGGTCCGCCATAACTCTGTCGACAGCATCCAATATGGCCAAACTCGCCCGATGTCCGCCGCCCCTCCCTCTCAGCCGGCCCCGAGACCGGAGAGCAGACAACAGACGTATGGGAGTGTGCCTGAGGCCGGTAAAACCCTCGGCCGGCCTACCGATCCCAACTCATTGTATCAACGTATGCTCAGAGGCGAGCGGCCTGGTTCAACCACGCCAGCTTCAGCGCCTCCATACCCCGCTCCTCCCCATCGATCTTCTTATGAAGAGATGCAACAGCCTTCGGATGCTCTTGTACTCCGTAATTCTGAACACGGGTCGCGACAAGATCTCCAGCCGACGTTCACCCCCAACATTGTGCGGACACCTACCCACTATCAGAGTCCACCCCACCCATCGCACCCGCCGCAACAGCGGAATAGCGGCGGCTCGCCGTCTTCAACGCAATCTAACCCCTCGCCTACCTCACGGAGCCCTAATTATTCTGTATATGGTCAACCCAAGACGTCGCCTCTCCGTACGTCACCGACTGCCCAGGCACTCACCCGACAGTCCTCGCTGCCCACCAAGTCGGAGACGCCTCAGCCTCCCACTACCACCGCTTTCGGCCTGACGCCCTTTCACGATGAGCCAGACGAATACGGCTACAAGTCCAGCTCTCATTCTAACAACTCTCTCTCCCGCAGTCGTACAGAACCGAATATTAACAGCATAAATAGCAAGCCCTCGCTTTCCACGATACCCGAAGGATCCCACCGCCGCAAGTCCTCCAAGAAGAAGAAAGAACAAGACGAAGAGATCTTTATACCCTCCCTCCCCACTCCTACAGAATGCGAGCACTCGCCCCAAGGCTCGTCCTCGAGCAAAGAGCGAGACCGCGACCACGATCGACACGGCTACAGGGACAGAGACCGCGACAGGGACAGGGACAGAGATCGGGACTACCACCACTCCCGCCGCTCCTCGACGCCCCACAACGCCCTCGCCCTCGTCCCCACGCGCGACAACCCCCTCCCTCCACCACCGATCGAGCGCCTCAGCCTCGAGACCTCTGCCCCTCCGCCGCAGGAACCCGCGCCGAAGAAGTACACCCGCCGCGTCCGCTGCGGCTTCTGGAACAGGCGCGGCGACCACCTCACCCGCACCGGGTACATCGTCTACGCGCCCGAAGGCATGGCGTACCCACCCGACCTCCGCGACTATCCGAGGGAGAACCAAGGCTTCAGGGACGAGTTTAATACCGTCGCGCCCTTTTCTGAACAACTTGTGGAGCTGCCGACATCCCTCCCATCTCGAGGAAGACCGCCCGCGCAACCATATGAGAGTGTGAGTCTTCGGCTTGGTTGTTCTTGGTAGGCCATCGCTGACAAATGCACGCAGTTCGTCGTTTGGACCTACGCCTAGTCCCCTGGTATTTTTTTACGATTCGCATAATCTATTGTTCTCCACTATCTCACTCTCGTGCTTATCTCTTGTTGTTTGTTGTTGAACACTACACTTGTAACTCGGCTTTCCTCCTCCTAGCGCTACATACGTTACACTTTTTAAGATACTTAGGTCGCGATATCCATGTACAACTAGCAAGTACACCACCTTCAGCATAGATGCTCTTCTTGCGAAACTGAACGTTCTTCTGAGTTGAATCGAAATGGAGATCAAAAGCAAGAACGAGAAAATGAAGGAATGAGGAAAACATGAGGATAAATACCAAAGCCCAATCATAATGATACCAAAACCCCACCAAAATCATAACCCGATCCCGCCGTGCTCCTGGCGCATATGGTCGTAGATGCCCTTGCCCTTGTGGAACGTCGCGAGACAGACCCAGCAGATGTGCGTCTGGCACCGCGTGCACGTCATGTGGTTGCACCCCTCGCTGCGCTCGATCGCCACCTTGCAGCTCGGGCACCGCTTCACGTCGTGCTGGTCCGTCCACTCCGTGAACAGCTTCTCCTCAGACGCGTCCCGCTCCGCGCACGTCATCCCGTCGTGCGCCTCAACATGGCACGCCGAGCAGATGCGCGCGAGGCAGGACGGGCACTGTAGGATCGCGTCGTGCGCCGAAGCTCGGTAGACCTGGGTGCAATCTGGGGTCGGGCAGTAAAAGAACTCGTCCGGACGCGCATGTACGAAAGCAGAGAATGACGCTTGAGCGATGGATTCGAACTCGGCAGCAGATAATAGGGACTGTGCGATGGACAGGGGGATGCACTCTGCACATGTGGCGTCGTTTCCCAGACACGAAAGAGGGAAAGACTTGCTGTCAACGGAGGAAAGGATGTAATCTGAAAGACATGATCGACACCAAACATGCCCGCACGACAGCGACGTGGGATCGGTGGGGTCTCCAAAGCAGACGGGACAGGTAGAGGTAGCGGATTTACTTGAGTTTTGCTCGGGAGAAGCTTGCAACTTTTCGATGAGGCGGCAAGTCGCCGTGTACAAGATTTGTTCGCCGAACACTACAAGACGCCGGTTGGGCGCATCGAGACGGCACCTGTCGCGAGCTAAGTCATCCTGCAGCTTGTAAACCCTGTTGCTCGCTATCATTGAGGTTAGCCGTCCGGACAGTGGTATTTCCCAACGTCTGCGCGACTGAATATACCGATACTTGCCCACGATCCGACGACATATAACAGTTCTTGAGACGATGGGGCCCCATACGGATATAATGCGACGAGAGCGATCCACGATAATCCGGGCAAGAGGATACTCGTTGTCGAGCATGCGAATAAACTCCACGCCTGCGGGTCGAGAGAAATGATCGTCCCATACAGGTACTTTGTCATCCACGACAGTCTCGCCCTTTTGTATACGTTCATACTTGACCTTGAGCACGCTGAGCTCCTTGGCGTTCTCTGCGCAGAGTTTGACCTTAACCGGACCCGACCATTGCTCGCCAGCGTTGTACACAGTCACACCTTGTTTGCGACCTGTGTTCCATGACCATCGCAGGTGGCTCAGGTCCCCGGCGATTTGCGTGAAGGTGCGCCGAGCGACATGATATTCCAAAGACTGAACATGTCGAGCCACGAGCAGAGTTCGCCCCAGAAATTGTGGCTTGCGTTCGTGAATGTGCTCTTGGGCGTAGGTGGCTTCGCGTGACGAAATGAATCTTGCTGTTGCTTTGACCGTGCCTTCGCGATACGGGGGTGGAATGACATCAAAGGACAAGAGCTCTCCGCAGTCCTCCAGCATTTTCTTGATGTTATTGATGGCTTGCTGCAGGGATTGGTAGTTGGGTCGCTCCAGCATCATCGCCTCCGCAGTGCCATATACTCGAAGCTCTGCCTCTTTTGTGTCGTGTGGTAATCCCTCGAAGAGTACATTGAAGGCGCCGACAGAAGGTAGGCCATCATATAGGGTGGCGGAGATGATGTGGTTTCGGAAGACTTTGCCGTCAGCGGCTTCAACCGCGTCAATAGCCTCTTTGAGGGTTGAGTATCCGACATAGGCCATGCGACCGGGTGCTTTCCATTCCAAGTGGACCGTCGTATCATCAAGAACGCCGTTTCCCCTGGTTGTATTGTTAACCGGGATTTTGGCGATGAGCTTAGCACCGGAAAGGCTATGCCCGTTGAGCTTTTGTGCTGCGTCGGAAGCCTCGAGTGCTGCGGAATACTGAACTTTGATGTAACGACTCTTGCTAAGAGTGACAGTGGGGTCTAGACCAAGCAGCTGGTCTACTTGACCAAAGGATTTCAAAAGTTTCTCTATAGCCTTGCACGAGACATCCGGGGGTATACCAGCAACATGAACCCAGCGATTTTCGAAGCCGGTAGCGATGGAGATAACCTCGAAACCTGAATCCAGTTTGACCTTTGTGTGGTCGAACAATGTTACCTGGAGCGGATCCGGCTTCACAGCGATGGAACTATCAGGAGAAGGTAGCTTTTGCTAAGCAGATACGCATTAGCCATGGATGTTACTACATCGACGTAGCGTTTACGCACCTCCTTTGCCGGAAGCTCATGCTGAAAGTAACAAACTTGCCGATCGCATACACCCCGACGAAGCCATAGATTGCAAACGTGGGGATATTTGACGTTCTTATCCGGCATCTCATGCTTCCGGGGACATGGATTTCGTTCACATAAACCAAAAAGCCAGTCCTTGCAGACGTGGGGAGGTGCAGAAACATGCAGGCGCTCGCATGGGTTATAAGGGCATCTACCTTTTAAGAACAACCAGCAGACATCACTGGACGATTTGGATTGGACAGCCGGAGTCGTCTACTTGAGCGTCAGCAATCGCGACAATACGATAGAGCGCATATAAGAACATGATCAGAGCTTACATCGGCAGAGCGTGTGATAGGTGACGGTAACTTGACGTTATGTAGACCCTGTGCGTCATCGACGAGAGGTACTTCAGGTAGGGTGCAACTGTCCAGCCCAGAAACATGGATGATATCCGAGTTTGTTTTCATATCAGACGGATTCTTCGGCGACCTTCGCTTCTACACGGTCTCAGAAACTTCAAGAGGGCTAGGAAAATCTGAACTCACTTTCTTGAAAGTTTTACGCTCAGATCCCTGCGATAATGCTTCTTTGGTCGGTTCCGCGGTGTTCTGAGAGGTGATCTCGGTACCTTGCCGCTTGACATCTTGTGGAGACAAGCTAGGAGCTCGTGACTGGATGGATCTTTGAGGCACCTCGGCGACCTTCCGGCCGCGAAGGGGTGTCTTGCTGGTTTCTCGCTTAGTGGCTTGCGAGGGCGTCTTAATGGCTTGATCCTTGTTGGCTTGTGGAGTAGCTTTTGTAGCTTGTCCCTTGTTTGATTTGGGGATTGACTCGGTCGGCGGAGGGAGATTCACCTGCACAACCTCCTGAGACTCGACAGAATTTGGCACGATAGGGGAACGAGTGTACAAAGCCCGGTCCACGAGAGCCAATCCTTTCCCCGAAGGTGCAGAACTCGGCATTGATGCTGTAGGAGCAGAAGAAAGAGCGGGCGCAATTCGTGCCTCAAGTTTCGGGTCACCCTTCGTGGCAACCTGCCTCCGAACTGTTCCTGGAGAATACCGAGAGCCATTAACAATATAGAAAACGCATAATTTCACGAGCGCTCACTTGGCTGGTTTATCTCGCGACATATACGAGCTATCTCGTCATCAACTACATCGCCATCCAACGGCTGTGCCACCTCTCTTGCCTAAAATACATAGATTAGTATTGTCAAACGGGATAGCATAGTCACTCAACGTTACATACAGCCTGATGTTGTGCCGCTTTAGGCAAAAGAGGTGGTTTTACGAGCGTATGCGGAGACGAGGATGGCATTGGGGCCCTTTGTGGCTCGCTAGGGCGTTGTGAAGGGAGACGCCCCGGAGATGGGCGAAGTGAATCTCTGTCAGTACCTGAATATTCAGGTGTTGACTGCTGGCCAGTAGGATATCCGGGGGTCGTAACTGAGCCGGTCGGATATCCGGCCGTATGGTGCTGACTTGATATGAGTCTAGAAGAATTGGGGTTGCTCGGTAGACTTCTCGGGCCCGTAGCGTTCCGCTGCGGTTCCTACGCATGAGTCACTAGAGCTAAGAGACCGGATAAAGACGAATTGGATGTGACTGCATAAGCAGCCATGGAGGGTGTCGACGCAAAAACTTCCAGAAGACTTACCTGTTTGTCCCTGTTCTTTTCCGCCCGCAAACGTGGAGGGAGCTGGTAACTCGCCGTTGTCGGGTGGTAAACATGGTTTGGAGGAACTTGACTTGGTGTTCGTGCTGGGAAGCGAGATGACGAATGCTTTAGAACGAGTTGGGATTGCTCAACACGAGCCAGCTGAGAGTGAGCAGTGTCGTTGTATGCGTTGTGCCCACTCTCAAATAGGGCGAATATGTCGCCCCGAATGGATCTAGCATGAACGTCCTCCCAGTGACGGGGCGCCTTGATATCAGAGTAAGCCATGTGCTCGCTACAACGTGCAGCGTCTCAACCGGCTTGCTCTGTCAAAGCGGAGGGTGTCCAAGGGAAGTCGGTGTGTCGTAGCGGTGGTAGGGTTAACAGCGCACAAAACTGCCATTGGGGGCCGCCCCAGTCCAATGACTCCATACTCGTTAGAGCTTAGGCAAATACGGGCTAAGTAATAGGAGCACACGCCGAACCAGTACCCGTTTTGGCTCCCACTTCCGCGAACAGGGGCTCGCTCATTGGTCGACCATCCCATACATCAGAACTTTGGAATAAGCTCCTCTCACGAACATACGACCATTCCTTCATTTGTCGGGCTACTCCAACGGGCGCCGTACAGCAAGATTGGATTATGCCGCTCGAGTTACTCAAGTTGCCGCCAAAACATCCTTCAGCGACTGTAAGCTCACTCTATGAACCACTACCGAGACTACTACTGAGATACACTTGAGTTTTCGTAACGAAAAATCGAAGACTTTTCCATGTGGATTTCGGATTTTCCCATAACAACCCAGGGCACGCACTCGCGGGTCAGTGCGCCTACCCACGAATGTTTGGTGATATGTTGCTCGTGTAAACAAACATGAAACCTCGTCGTCATCACCGAGCCATATTGGACGCATGACTGGCCTTGGCAGTTTTTAACTACTGGTCTCACTGACATGGCCCATCGTTGAACACAGACGTAGACTCGGGTTACAATTGTAGCGGAAGGCGGAATACTACTTAATACAAAACCCAGCTCGAATAGTGCCATATCGCCTATACTGATGACCCGATGGAAGCAGAAGAGCTTGAGTAAGAGAAAAGTTAATGCTTGCGAACTGTTGACGGAAAATGTCTGTGTAGCCAAGAATAAAACAGCCCCGAGTTAATTTAGGAATAGCGCCGGACAAGGCGCCTGAGTGGTAAAACCCCAGTCGAGAGAGGGAAAATCGACGTAGCCATGAACCAAGCCTAGAGAGCAAACAGAGGACAGCTTCCTTGCATCACGGAACATCCACAAGGGGTCTCCAGAGCCTTTCGGGAATCCGCGAAGAACGTAGACGGTGTTGATGTCTCTGCAACCGAGGATCTAAGCAGGAGTGAGAGGTCTGTGCCTGTGATGGCGCATCAGAGACATAGTCGGATCTGGCTTGAATCACGGAATGTTCTAGTTGAGGAGTTTGAGGAGACCGAGATTGGCGGATACCAGAGAACCGTCGACCTCGAAAGAGTAGCATAAGGCACTGACAATATCGTAAGCATTTGGTTAGTACTCCACCTTGCACGGAACATTACCATCGGAGCAGAGATAAGCACCCATGAGAGCCGCCAGATGATGCGTATAAGGAAGAAAGCTGCTGGAGTGAGCAGAGGACTCAAAAATAACGTCCCGCGAACATCTGTAGTAGCCAAGTTAGCTGCCTCATGTCAACGCATGACATCAAACCCAAGCACATGGCCATAGAGAGCTGAGACCGGACCAAGCTTTGGCCTGAATCCAGTTCTCCAAGCTTGACGACAGGTTGGCCTGCAGCATCGCCGCTGTGTTGTTGATCATTGCGAGATCGTGGCGCGTGCTATTGGTAAGTTCAATTACCGTCTCTATTAGCTGAGGGATAGCATTCGTCATTTGGGTGTGGAGTGTTTGAGCAAGCTTTGCTTGGTCCAGTGACGATCTCATCATCAAAGTAGACTCAGAAATGACGGGCAACATCAAACCGAGTGACTGGTGCAAGATGTGCTGATCAGTGTGTATGCGCCTCAAGGCACCGTCACCCTACCTCTTCAAGCTGAGTGAGGCCGTTTAGCACGGTGCTCCAATGTTTCTCCGTGATGACCTGAAAGTCACATTGAGATTTGATAAACGAGTTTCGGAAAGTCACCTGTACAGCAGTATCCAATATCTGGTTGTGACGATCTGCAAAGAGTAAAATTATGGAGTCTGCTTCGCGGGACAGTGTGTCGTGGAAGTTCAGTAGTGAAGAGGATAGGCTGGACCTGTGCTTTAATGAACGCAAGAGATGAGAATGATCGTAGTGGTCATGGCTAAAATTACCTGCTCTGCAATGTCTTCGAAAAACGGCCGAACCTATAGAAGAGAACATCAGCCGGAAAGAGGGATGTATTAAGCAGAGTTCAAAACCGCGTCAAGTGATTCCTGATGATCATCTGCAAATCGAAGATGAAGCTGTGCTAGCTTGTATACAGCCTGATCGAAGAGCTGGGATTCATTAGCGTAGTTTCCATGGTCTCCTAGGTTATCACACCAACTGGAACCATTTGCTTCTCATACAGATCAGCCACAGCGCTGACTGAAGTTTGCTGCACCTGCAGCAAGGACAGGCGTATCTCCGCCATAAGGTCGTGCATGTCCTACGTGTGAATGCATAAAATGCGTAATCACCGCCGCAGATCAACTGACCTTTAAAGACTGTTTGACAGAGTGATCGTTGCTTGCGGAACCTTTCTCCCGTTCCGTGAGCAGACGAAGCAGAGCAATCTTCTCCAGTGTTGCGTTCCTATAGATATCACGAGCGGCGTCTTGCGAGACCATCAGAGCTGAGCTCCACGATGTAATTGAGACATGGGTTACCTATCTCTCTCCATCGACTATGGACTAGGCATAGCTTGGCTGCGAATTGATCGAATGTGAGAGGTAACATAGACATGATAGGGTGATAGACTTGCGAATCTCGCGGAGATACCCGGAGTAGCTAGACCAATACTGAGCGCTCCGAGAAAAGGCCCTAGGAACTGGTCAATTGGTTTTCGTCAGGATCAGCGACCACTTACTCTACACAAGCGCTCAATTCTTGGTCCGTTGGTTGGTTTTCGTCTACGAAGGCAATGCACTCCATGGGAGGTGAGCTGTATCTTGCGGTGGCAAGTTCACACAAGGTCATGGCAATAGCGACTGCTGAAAGTTACGCGGACAATTTTAGGTAGTAGAGGCTAGAGATTTACCCTGAACTCGTTCCTGTTCGTGGATATATGCGTCTTCGCAGCTATTGTGGATATGGCTGGTAGCGACCTGGAAACAGTCCGACTCTCGAGAAGGCTTGAGAGCTTAGTCGCCGTTTGGAAGTGCAAATGAGGGCCCAAATCAGCGCATATACCCATGTGTTGATGCAAAAAAGGGGTACCTGGACTGGTGAAGATGGCATCCAGCTCTGCCTCGCTTGCGAAGGACCCTAGGAAGAGATCTTTGTTTGGTACGAAACCAAAACAGGCGAGCGATACTGGAGCCTTTCAGACTTACCAAGATGAGCTGTGTCATCCCCAATCTCCGTAGATATTCCGTATGCTTGACCCATGGAGGTTCCGGACGTACGCGGCCACCATCGTGAGGCGTAAGAAATCCGAGTACAGACCAACAGCGCAGCAAATGGGAATAACATGTCCGCAGATGACGATCGCTTCTCAGATCTCAACGATGACGAGCCCCTACGAGCCCACGCAAAGACCACGCGACACAAGCGACGTCGAGAAATTGAGTTGGACAGAGTCTGACAGCGTCGGGCAAGCGTCGGGCGAGTTGGCGAGATGGACAGTCGAGGGAACGATCAATGAATGGTTGTTAGGAGAGTAACCAAGCAGACACGAGACCGACACGTGGATTGCCCGAGAACGCCGGCATTCATCCAACTCAGGCACAAAGCCTGTCAAGAGCTGTCAAACCACCTCCGCACGTGGGCACCAAAGTGAATCCCTTCCGGCTATCGCCCGGCTAACATGCCCGGTGCGTTGCTCCCAAGTTACTCCGCTAGGTCACCGGGGTGTGCTTGCGGCGAGCGTTCTCCTTCCTGCATCTTTCTTCCCTACCTTTAGCGTTCATAATGTCTACTGAAACTCAGTCCAAAGTTATCGTTCACCACCTGAACGATTCCCGTTCTCAGCGTGTGCTTTGGCTACTCGTGGGTATTGACCTGACCTATCTTTACTCCCCAGTTCACTATTCTTGTAGGAAGAACTCGAAGTGCCGTATGAAATCAAGTACTACACTCGCGGTTCGGACTTGCTGGCGCCCAAAGACCTGCTCAAAGTGAGCCCTCTGGGAAAGTCTCCGGTCATCACCGACGGCGACATGAACCTCGCTGAGAGCGGCGCCATCGTCAGTGCGTCTTGTTGCAGTGTTGTGCCAAAACATTCGTTCATCATTTCTCTCATCAGCCTATTTGATCGAGAAGTACGGAAAAGCAGAAGACCAGCCTCCCACCACCGGCAAAGTCCATGATCTTTACTGTATGCTTGCTCCAGCGCTAAATTCGCGGCACACGCTAATCCACGGCACAGTTACCCACTATTCTGAGGGTTCACTGATGCCACTGCTTGTGAACAAACTCATCTTTCAAATTGTTCCTACGAGAGCGCCGTTCCTGCTGCGGCCGCTTTTGCGCATGGTCTTCGCCACCTTGACCAGCCAGCTCGTTGAGCCAGAATTGAAGAAACATCAGACTATGGCACGCTTCACCCCGCTAGTACTCATCTTTTGGGAACTGATGAATTTTCTCAACTGTAGATCGAGGAGCACCTCAGCAAGACTGGTCCGTGGTTCGCGGGCGGACAAAGCCCCACAGCTGCCGACTACATGATGGCATTCCCGCTGGAGGCTATCGATGCCGCCAACCGCGACAGCCTTGGACACAAATCCAGGGAGTACGTCAAGATGATTCACGAACGGTGAGCCGCTACATGTTTCGTGGTTAAAGATGGCCTAACGAAGTCAATAGTCCTGCTTACAAACGCGTACGTGTTAGTACATCTGGTTTCAAGCTTTAGTTCACACCTTTTACAGGCTTTGGAACGTGGGGGTGAATACAGCTACGCTAAACTGTAGTCCTCGTTCGGCTTGCCGGTCGTCGAATCATATATTCGATCTTGTATTTGCACGCCGTCCGTATCATGGAATCCGATTAAGCGGGTGTAGATTATGGGTAATACGCTACATATACACGTAGCACACGTTTTAGATCCAATCCTGTAGTTTGAAGCATGTACTGTATGTCCTCTAAACGAGACCGAAGCAGAAACGACTATATGATGGTGATAAGACAAACAAAAATGCACATTAATTAGTAACACAACGCCTGCTATGGTAAAAATCAACAAACAGAACATGGACGCAACGAGAAGAGAAAATGTACGAAAGCAATGCATGCAAAAGAGGAGAGAAGATGCCGATGAGGATACAAGTATGATCTATGCTAGGTGGTATTACCTTTTGGCTCTGAGCGCGACTAACGGCGGTCCTCGACTCGGTTTTTCCTTGCGTTAGTGGAACCAGCCAGCGCCCGCTGCTCCCAAACATGGCCCCCCTCGCCCTCGACCCAATCACCCGTGATGCGGTCCCGTTCAAAGTCTCCGTCGCGGTAGCCGTACCTCTCCTTCAAGAGGTGCAGAAGCGGGTTGCGGAGGGCGGGGTCCATCCGGACAGTTTCGCCTGGATGGTAGCTTCCGACACCATGACGTGACAAGCTTTCCTCGAAAAGGGCCTCTTCGTGAGTGCAGCCGCAGTTAAGGTAGCCCGGCGGGGCCATCCGCGGTGGGTAAGCTCGGCGCTCGCGGCGAGAGTCGTGCCACGAACACAGAGCATTGCCAGCGCGGTTGAGCGAGCAGAAAAGCCGAACACGTGCCTCGGTACGAGCACGCCACGAGGAGTGGAATGCGGTAGACTGGGGCACGGGAGTGGATGCGAGTTGGCCCATGGCCGATGGCGAGCCACCGGGGTAGCGGTACGACTGCTCAGGGATGGTGAGGCCGCTTGCTAGTTCGCCCTCGAGTTCTCGGATACGCATGCGGTCTGACTCGTTGACGAGTTCTAGCTCTCGCACTTTACGGCGCAGGAAGAGTATCTCATCTTCCAGGCTCGAACGTCGCGACGATCCTCCAGACTGTTGTGGCGGGTAAGAGGTTGGGTGCTGTGCAACTGAACGCGAGAGTTGTGTCGCGTAACCTCCCGATCCGGCATAGGGAGTTCCTGGGATGGCAGGGGAGTGTGGTGAAATCGATTCGGGGGATGCGTTAACCGATGCAAAATCTGAGTATTGCGACTGCTGGTAAGCACCTGGCTGGAGGGCGGATGATTGATAAGCGGACTGCTGGGGAGGCTGTAGCTCGGCCCAGCTCGCCTGGCTGGACACGCTGCCTCGGTAAACGTCACCCATTACCATGGCAGACCCGGAGGATTGAGGCCGACTTGGGTCATAAGCCTGGCCTTGGAATGACTAGTGCCGTATCAATTTAGTTACCCCTATAAACATCAACCGAGGCTGCTTACTGAGCTGACGCCTGGGTCGGTGAAAGAAAACGCGGCGGAGCCTGCTCTGCTAGAAGAGCCGACTCCTCGCATCATCTCAGGCGATGACGATGTGCCATGGTGGTGACCAGACGACATAGTGTGTGACGTTCTGCGGTAGTGCAAAGAGTTGGAGGGTGGGGGATACGGAGCGAAGCGCGTGTGGTCCGAGGTAGCGGAGCGCCGTCGAGCTAGAGATGGCGGAATGCTTAGGGTCGGTGAGGATGGGTAATGAGATGGCAGCGCAGGCGACGAAGAGGAGAGGTTCGTCACGTCTGGAGGTTCGAGCTTAATGATCGAATGACAGGGAGGGGAGCGATAGCTCAAGGGATTATAAGGCGCCGGTCGTCCGACCATTAGCCGGGCGGTGCAGATCACACGGCAGAAGAGGAGACGTCGTCACAAAATGACTGCTGGCACGGAAGAGCCTCGAGCAAGGTCAGTGACGGACAGAGCCACCTGGGCGGGTGCGGATAATGAGCAACACGAGAAAAGGTTCGCCCCCTTTCGACCCCCAGACAGGCTGTCGTAGCGAGCCAGTGAGGATCATGTTGTGAAGGCAAGATGATAGGACGGCGGGCTGCAGTGCATGGTAACTCTTGAGCAGTTCCGTAGATGCCAACCGATGTACAGCCAAATGATCGCAACCAGCCACGCACACGCCATCGCTAGGGGGGACCTACCACAAACAGGTTTGATCTGGTTCTACGAGCACAGATTATTGAGGCCGCAGGTGGCCGCAGCCCTTTCGAGTGGTGAGTAAGTACAGTATGTTTTTTGATGAGCAAGCAGGCTGCGAATAGACAGGAGGCTACAGGAGGTGAGTAAATTGCGCTGATGGAACGGCACAGCTCCTTTGATCGTACAAAAAAACATACCCAATAATACTCTGAACCAGTAAGTCTCTTTCTGGACGAACTTGAGCATTTGCAATCGGTCATTTTGTCGGGCCTAATATGATCATTGTCGACTTCCCGAGAGAGGCGCATCTGGGCGCGTGAGGAGGAGTGGAACCACCGGAGGATGATCCGTACTATCCGTATTCGCGGTGCTTGTATGTATGTATTTATCGTCTGGGCAACGACTACGTAGTGCTTTTCCTTGGGGAGCGGTTCTTGTGCCTGCTGGGACATAATCCCAGCTTACGAATGGCAGTCCTTCGGTGAAACACAGCGGAATCACAGCTACTAGTGACTATTAGTGAGTAGCGTTGGGGCGCGTGTCGCAGCAGACCATGCAAGGCTTCATGTATTTGCGCCGCATTGAAAACAAGCTGCGCATGCCTGATTTCCTTTGTATCCCAATCTCGTGTTCTGATGGAAATTGATTGGAACGATCGACACAGTAGAGCAAACCTGAAGTGTCGGACACGTCCTTGACAAGTTCTGGACATCGTATAGAGTACGCGTACAGCGGCACGGCACCTTTGGCGACTGCTAGCCTGATACATATGCATAGCGAGGGTAGGTTTGAAGATCAGAGTCTGACGCGGACGGCCGACGTCGAATTGTCGTCGAGTCGGAGTCCTGGGGGCTCCGAGTCGGAGCACTCGGTTAGGCATCTGATAATATAAATTAGCGTAAGTTAGAAAGGGGCAGAAAAGTTGGCAGAAACGACAACTGACAGCTCACTGACATGAACGATCGAGGCAAGATCACCGAGGCCTGCTCTACCGAGGTCCCAAGCTGACAGAGTCCGATGGTGCGGATGCAGATGCCAACGCATCGGGGTAAACGCCAAGTAACAAGAGGCTGATCTACACGCCACGACGCTGTACGTATGAACTACTGTCTAGTACTCTCTAATCTGTGCTTCTGCAGTACGTACAGCTAGGTACAGCTGCGTAGTAATCCCGGTACCATTAATATTCCAATGGCTCATGCCCGTCACCGCCGGTCGGAGATATTTTGGGGATATTAAGCAAGCACGTATCGTGCTAACATAGAATCGGGAACACTAACAACTTGCGACAGCGTTACCACTGTTTCCGCGTCCACTGCCCATCGCTTGCAGTTGTGCATGCTCTATTATTACGAGGCTACGTCTGCAGTCGATGGACCTTACAAGCAAAGCCTCGACGGTAACTAGTGGCCGGGCGGGAGCACCAATTATTATTCACTTGATAGAGTGGTGACATTTTTCCAGAGTTTGCCCTTTGGGGCGTTCAGACTACAGTGAAATTGTATGTATTCAGTCAGAGCACTTCATACCTGCTTGCACTAGCTGATAGTTACCTGCTTTCGCCAGGAATCGTAACTTCTCCAGTGTTCGGGTTAATCTCCACGAGTCTTGTAATCTCGACCGCTGGCCTGTTGGCACACCTAAACATTCGGCAGCCTCCTCAATGTTTGTTCCGCCTCCATGGATGCTCTGTCGCACTTACATTCTGAAAATGCGCGGAATAGGGAAACAGCGGGGTCTTATTTGCCCATTAGGCAGCTCTTCGGGCTCACAGCTGTACTGCGTGAGCTCCACGAGTGAACATTTCTCAGGAGAAACCGCATCTGGCTTTGTGATGTTTGCCATGCTGTCTGAATTCCACGGCCTAGCAAACTATGAGAGAGTTAACTGGGAAGGTTATGGGATCCGTGGCGTCCAATCAACTGCTTCAGGTGTCTCAGAAGTCACTGAGGCGAAGCACGGGCGTTGTCGAGACAGGCAATAATGGGTTCGCTGTCCGCGTTAGGGTTCGCTTGAGAGAGTTTGGGAGGAGAGTGGGATCATGGAGAACAGACTCGTGTTGACCACACCTTGGCCGCAGACGAGCTCTTCACGTGCATGAGTAAATCTGCATCAGGGGGTGTCCCCACATTCCCACGACACTAAAAGAGGGTCACATCGATTGCGATAAAAAGTCAGACTTGTATCCTTCTTCCGCTTTTTCTTCACCTCCACCATCTCTGCTTCCCTTTTCATCGTTCAAAATGGTTTACAAAGTCGCTGGTAAGTCCGTTGTGTCTAACGATTTGTTCCACAGTCTCATTCGTCGTTACGATCGCCAGATATCTCTCTCGCTGCCTTCGGCCGCAAGGAGCTCGAGATCGCTGAGGTATATGCGTCCCCAGTCTTGCATAGATCCATTCTTTATTAAAAATCGTTATTAGCACGAGATGCCAGGTCTCATGTATCTGAGGGAGAAGGTACTTCATCTTTTATATCGCAACGATCTCTTCCGAACGCGACTTGCAGTACGGCGCAGCCAAGCCCTTGGCTGGTGCTCGTATCGCTGGCTGCCTTCACATGTAAGAATACCAGAACCATTTCCCGTATTTTGTTTTCTCAAACTTATCAGGACCATCCAAACTGCCGCCCTTATCGAAACGCTCACTGCGCTGGGTGCGGAGGTTACCTGGTCGTCTTGCGTAAGCTATCTGTTGCGTGTAGTCCGTGAGATGCGGACTGATCTTGTTCCTAGAACATCTTCTCGACCCAAGACCACGCTGCCGCCGCGTGAGTACCTATCAGTCTGATACTTGCCATCCTTTAGCTGATATCTGTTTAGCATTGCCGCCACCGGCGTCCCCGTCTTTGCCTGGAAGGGCGAGACCGACGAGGAGTACAACTGGTGCATTGAACAGACCCTTGGCGCATTCGCTGGCGGCAAGACCCTCAACATGATCCTAGATGACGGAGGGGACCTTACCTCCTTGGTCCATGACAAGTACCCCCAGTACCTCAAGGGTCCGTCTACACCATCCGTCTCTGATTGCATCTAACTCATGGGGTTTCTTAGACATCAAGGGTGTGTCTGAGGAGACCACTACCGGTGTTCACCACCTGTACAAGATGTTCCGCGACGGCAAGCTCAAGGTTCCCGCCATCAACGTCAACGACTCCGTGACCAAGTCTAAGTTCGACAACTACTACGGTTGCCGCGAGTCTCTTGTCGATGGTATCAAGCGTGCTACCGATGTCATGCTTGCCGGTAAGGTTGCTGTTGTCGCCGGCTACGGTGATGTCGGTAAGGGCGTAAGTCATATCCCTCGATGTTACAAGCAGACATAAGCTAATCCTCCCCGCAGTGTGCCGAGTCCCTCCGCTCTTACGGCGCACGTGTCCTCATCACCGAGATCGACCCCATCAACGCTCTCCAGGCTGCCATGGCCGGTTATGAGGTCACCACCATGGAGGATGCTGCCCATCGCTCGAACGTCTTCGTCACTACCACCGGTAACCGCGACATTATCACCGCTGCTCACTTCTCCGTTATGCCCGAGGATGCCATTGTTTGCAAGTAAGTCAGCATCACAATGCATTTGGTTGTACCCTAATACGGGTTTTAGCATTGGCCACTTTGACATTGAGATTGATGTCGCCTGGTTGAAGGCCAATGCCAAGGAGGTCGTCAACGTTAAACCGCAGGTTGATCGCTTCACCATGGCCAATGGCCGTCACATCCTCCTCCTCGCTGAGGGCCGTCTCGTTAACCTTGGGTATGTGATTGCGTATACCTCGAAGTAACTTATCTCAACATTATTCACACAGTTGTGCTACTGGCCACCCTTCTTTCGTCATGTCGTGCTCGTTCGCCAACCAGGTTCTCGCTCAGATTGCTCTCTGGACCACTCCTGAGAAGTTCCCCCTTGGCGTCCACATTCTCCCCAAGGAGCTCGACGAGGAGGTCGCTCGTGCCCACCTTGCTCAGCTTAACGTCAAGTTGACTACCCTTACTTCCACTCAATCCTCCTACCTTGACATTCCCGTCAACGGCCCTTACAAGGCATCGCACTACAGGTACTAAGCGCCTGGTGTGGATTGACGGCCTCAACGTGCCCTTCCGAGGCGACAGGCCAATGGTGACCTGATCGTTTTATGATATTTTATAGAAGGGGGTCTTATCGCACTATGGCGGAGACCGAAAAGCTAGCTTGCATGTCAAGCTTCGAGCGCCAAGGGCGCTTCCGTGGAGCTGGGAGGCGGTGTTTATTGGTGGAGAGGGCCTCAACGAGCCCGTGATATGTAGCTATAGCACACCTTCATGACACGCAATGTTATTACGAGTGTTCACACTTTTGCAACGGCGAACGCGCGTCTACTTCAAGTACCTGAGATCAGAACACGCTACGACATAGGGAAGTGATGGTATCTCACGGCTACTCACCTTGTAACCCGCTCGGTGCCTGTCGGGACCTGTGGAGACACAGAGCGCTTAAAGCCCTTTGGTCCAAAAGCCATCGACGAGCGGTGCGTTGTCAAGACCTGCTCTTGGACCCCGTCGAACATGTCTAACATCTGCATCCTCAGCCCCGTTGACCCGTCGTCGCTTCCTGACCACGAGCAGGAGAAATCAGCGCCATGGATTGTTCGCAAACTCGTGGGGGTATGTCTTCCCAATACTAATCTATGGGTTCGTTGCCTAAACCTGTGATGTAGTCGATGACCGGGCGAATTGTGATGTCGTCCTATGAAACTTTACGAGCTGCGGGAACCAATGTCATTTGTCTCTCTCCGGTAAGCATTGCCCTTCTGTTCCGCTGCGTGCGGTCGTGGTGTTTCATTGACCCCTTCATATTTGCAGTGGGGTGACTCCTCTCCCCTGACGCTGCCATGCATCCGATTCCGAGATCTCGCGGTGCACGGCGTCGTGATGGCCACGGTATGTTCGTTCATTTATCTCGGGGCCGCACGACTAGCCGTTCGCGCGCCATAATCGCGCTGAATGGTGGCGGAACCTACGCATCTCCAAACCGTTCTTCTCCCCGTCTTGATCGCTCACCAGTTGGATCTGTACTTACCGCCTCTCGCGTACATGACATCAACAGGGCGGTGTCGCAGCAATCGCCGCGCCAGTGATGGGCCCCGTGTCCGAGGCCGTCTTCTCATCTGTCGGTGATTCCATCATTGTCGACGCGGCCGTGCACACAGGGGGTGAGCTTACCGCCAAAGCGGCCGACGACCTCCTGCTCGACGGTGCGATCAAGAAGGTCGTGCCGCTGCACTCGGCGCGGCTCGAGACGACGGGCGTCAAGACGCTTACCATCACGCTCAGGTACAAGCACACCATCACGGACGCGTCACTTGGATTCTATCGGAGCAGTCTGCACCAGTACGCTTTTTTTCGTCTTTCCGTGGATTACGGCCTGGTGAAATGTTGTCTTCACTTTGACACACAGGGACAACTCCTTGTTCACCACGGTGACAGAGTACTTCTCGACCAGCAAGGGCTGGTTCTCTCCTTATCTCTTCGCGAGCGGACGGAGGCCCGTGATACCACGCTCTGTGAGGCCTGATGTTGTCTTTTTCCACGGTCCTTTCTTGTCAGGTGCGAACCAGTTCCAACACTAGGGATTGCAGTGTTCATTATGCTGAATCGATGTGTTAGGCGATTATAACCTCGGTTCCACGCTTCTCAAGGAAAGTTCCTCCACCATCACCTTGTGCGAAGAGGTCCCGCAGCCCGAGCCTTCCTCGCCTCCCCCCAGCACGTCTTCGTCGCACTCGCACAAGTTCCTCTCCCTCCACGACCTTCCGAAGCTGAGCCACTTCCCGCGCTCCCGGACGCCGTCGCCTGAGCCGGCCCTGGCCCCGATCGCCCCGCCACCCGTGCCCCGCCGGCTGGCTATCTTCGTCCTCGGGCTGAAGCCGCACCGCAAGCTGTGGACGACGAGCGCGCGGCCGAGCGAGAGCGTGATCCAATACCAGCTCCTCAACGGCTGTCCCGCGATCGTCCTGCCCGCGAAGCTGGGGACGCCCCTAATCGCGTGGAACACGCTCGCGCTCGACGATCTGTGGAAGATCGTATTGCCCGCGGCTGACGAGCTCTCCCGCGACAGCACGGGTAAGAGCACGGCGTTCGAGGGCACGGTCAATGTGCTGTACGAGTACGTGGACCTGTGCGTCGAGTGGAAGCGCGTCGTTCTGCCCGAGGGCGCTGCAGACAAGTCGGAAGAGGCGAAGAAGAGCGCGGTGCGGGATGCGCTCGCGCTCGTTGTGGCGGCCGCGATTCGGACCGGATCGAGCAAGGAAGTGAAGAAGGAGGTGGACGAGGAGAGGTGCGGAATTGTGTTTTGGAGGATACCGTAGATCTATGTTGGGTGCGGGCGGAGGCATTTCATTCCATCTGTGAATTTACCTCCAATACTATTGAAGCGGGACCGGTCGGTCCCTTCTGAATCGAAGCCCGACTGTGGACGTCGCCCGCCCCGTCCCGTATATGTTAGAATGTTGTTGAAGGTTGAGGTGGAACTTTGCACACTGCGTAAAAGAGATTTACGTGAGTTTGGCGTCTGCTGTAGATCCGAAATGTATTGTGTGAGCCTAGGCCTTGTGCAGGTGAAGTAAGGTTGAGTGCGGGGAAGCTAGTGAAAGTTAGTGAAGATTCGGCAAAGACCGACTAGGAGGTGGCCGACACAAATGGCCTGGGGCCGCCTCACTTGAGATCTCCCAACGTTCCTTCCTCCGTCTCCAGACACACCCTCCTCCTCCTGCTCCTCCTTTTTCTGACTTGTTTATTGTCGTGCTCGGAAGGATATTCTCTCGAGATTTTGCCTGTGCTGTCGTATTTGCAGATCTCTCAGTTCCCGTCCACGTCGGTGTGGGCGCTATACGAGTCCAAGATACGATCGACGCCAATAAATGGTTTCATCGACCTCCGTCTCGTCCAAAATTGCCAACGTATCCTATGCAGAACGCGTAAAGCAGGCACTTGCTCCTCATTCCCCCACCAGCACGGGCCCAACCTATTCAGATTCCGCGTCGGCCACCTCACCTGTCCCCTTCCCGGAATTGTCAGCCTCCATATCCGCTGACTCTTCAACGCGTGTACAACCACGAGGGCGGAACAAGTCCCAGTCATTACACCATTCGTCTCCTTCTCACGTTCATGAGCCTCATCATGTCCACGCGCAGAACACACCCCAGCTCAATCATACCCCTCCACGTTCTGATGCTTCATCCTCCTCTGCGTCCCACCAATCACCCCCGGTAGTCAACGTTTGGGCAGCACGTATGAAGGGGCACCACCACCAGCAGAACAAGGATTATCCAACGCCAGAACCTGTCAAAGGTGACGACCGTACTCAGCCCCGCGCGCTTCCATCCTCATCTCCATCCCGGCTACACCATCACCAGAACCATCACCATACCAGTGACTCTAGTGTCTCGCCGCAGCCTTTCCCCTCGCTTCCTCATTCTCCCTCGCACACCGCTCAGTCTGCCCTGCCTCAAGGCATTGATGCCGCCGATCACGCGTCACGCGACGATGCCGTCCATGAGCACGATCCCTTCGTCGTCCGCCTGCCTCTCCACCTACGAAGATCGCCCACGGGTTCATTGTCGCCGCCAGAAGATCTGCGAAGCTGGCCAAAAATTGGTAATCCTCAAAACGCCCACAGGCCTCAAAATGGAGGCCAAGAGCTGAATGGATCCAGCGCCCACGGTTCCAGTGACAGCGGCGATCCAAACGCGTTTGTCAAGAGTACGTCGTTTTCCGTCCCTGCTTTCAACACCGCATTACCCCGAGATGGCCATCCATCCTCCCGCCTGTTTGTTGCTCCTATAAGAGACCAGGTGCTAACTTGATCGAACTATCACTTGCACCCCTGTCGCCAATGTTAGATGATTACCGCTCGCGAATACCCCCATCCCATGGACAACCACGGCCACGCGCACAATCGCAACAAGGACCCAGTTGGCAGTTCGGCTCCGCGTCAGGACGCCAATCATCTCACTCTAGAGGTTCGGGGCCCTCCAGACGAGGCAGCCGCAATGCCTCTACGCGAAACTCGTCTGCGTCGTACTCTGCCGCTCATTCACGCGTGTCCAGCCGTGCTGGTAGTACTCATTCGAGTCCTCGAATGAGGGCTATCAGCCGCGTCAGCTCTCAGCAAGAGCTGCGCTCCTATCACGACGTACCCAACTTTGTAGATCATCGCCGGTTAGCTGTCCATCGCCCAAAACTCGTGGCTTCCCCACCCGAAGGACCAATGCCGCTACCCGTGTCATACCTGTTTCCCCCAGCTGGTATGGACCCGTACCGTCCCCAGTCGCGAAGTCCGATGTCATCTCCCCTACAAGTGGATCAACAACAAGCCTCTCCGCACCGCTCGATGTCCAACTCTCCATCCCACTACTCTTTTGCTCTCCCCGCTCCCGCTCCTGGCGTCGGCACTCTGTCATATCCCTATTCGCATTCGCCGCACCACGGGAGCTCTGGCTCTGCGACACCGTACATGGCGTATGGTTATCCGTACCCCTATGGTTATCCATATCCTTATCCCTATTGGCCGTATGAGGGTGCTTACATTCCTCCACCCGACCTGCTCCAGCAGCAGTACCATCAGCCATCTCCTTCCTCGGATCCGAACACGCTCGGACACCAGATACCCGCCAATGGCACTTCAAGCTCTCAGAATCCGGAATCACACACAAATCAGCTGGAAACTGCGGCAACAGTATCAAACGGGCGAGCTGAGGCTGCGTCCCGACATCCTCCAGAACCAGTTGTTTTCGGTAGCGTAGAATCACCAGAGGATGGATTGACATCAACGCAGAAAGAATTCAAGGTTCAAGCAGACATGTCTGGCGTTACAGAACAAATTGCTTCGTTGGCAATTGGGTTTCATCCAGAGGAGGCCCCTCGAACTCGAAGTCGGGGCCGCTCAGTGAGGTCAACGTCCTCGCCACTTGACGAAATATCGCTTGGCGCACCTCGGCGCGTTCCGCACTCTACTGAAGCCAGGGATGCTCAGCCATCTGCCAATGCATCTTTAAGTACATCTCCCCAGACGGCGAAATGGAAGTTTGGCTCACTCACTCCGAAACCTCCGGAAGAGCCCGCGCCGACCGCGATTTCAGAACGATCCGTGTCTCAGGACCAGCGTCTAGAACGCGGATCATTGCATCAGCACGAAACGCCAGTATACCCCAGCATCGCCTCGAACACTCCTTATCGACCTTCTATCCCTCTCGAGCCCGCCATGACTAACGGCCATCACAACCATCATTCCTCGGCGACCGAAGCCCTTCCATCGCCAGAGACAAGTTCCAGCACCAGCGACGTCTGGGAAGTCAGAGACTTTGGCTACGGCTTCGGTGACGCAAGCGGCACCGGCCGTGCACCCGAGATCGCAAAAGAAGAACGCCTTGCGCGGCAGCGGCAGCGCGAGGACGAACGACGTGAGTTCGACAAGCGGCGGTGGCAGGACCCGGATGCATACGATGTTCTAGAGACCCGCTGGGAGCCTGAATATACCTCCAGGCCGTACGGCCGGCCGCGTCGTGGGTCGTGGACGGGCCCATCGAATTACGTCTATGATCGCGGGTACAACAACGATCGGGGAGGGCATGGTGAAAGGGGTGGGTACGGAGGGTATCGACGCGGTGGGGGGCGAGGTCACGAGCGCGGATATGGAGGGCGCGGTGGGTACGGGGCTCCCCGTAGTCGAGGGAACTACAGGCATTCGTTCTCGTCGTCGATGCCTTCAGGGCATTTCAGGGGGTCCGCATCGGTGGAACACACGAACGGGTACTACGGTGCGGTATATGGGCCGCGTCAGCGGCTGCCCTCGACGTCCGAAGCGCCAGTGTTGCCTGTGCCCCTGAACTCGGACATGCCGCAGACGGAGCTCGACCCGACGCGATACACCCTGCTTGTTCAGCTGGAGTATTATCTCAGCGCGGAGAATATGTCAAAGGACGTCTTTCTTCGCCAGCAGGTGAGACCCGTGATCTATTCTCGCTAAATTGTCCTACGCTCCTGACCTTCGGTTCTTGTGCACAAAGATGGACTCGGAAGGCTGGATATCTATCGCCCTCCTCGCGTCGTTCAACCGCGTCAAGCAGATGACGACCTCGGCCGGGCTCGTGGGCGAGTTGCTCGAGACATCGAGCAAGGTGGAGGTCAACGCCTCGGGCGACTACGTCCGCATGACGGACGGCGCGTGGCAGCCGTTCCTCGCGACACAGGATCCGCTGCGGAGTCCTGTGGATGCTTCCAAACCCAACGGGATCCACGCCGTGACGCAGCCTGAGGAGGAGCAGAAGCCAGCGTTCCCGCAAACGGTGCCGGATCCGCCACAACCGAGGGAGTCCGACTCGTCTTTGTCGTCTGAGGGCGATTTGGACGACGAATCCTATGACGACGAGGATGACGAGGACGACGTCGAGTTTGTCCTTTGAGGGGACGATGCAGCAACCTTCCCTCGGTTTTTTCCACACGTAACCTCCGGAGATGAATCACGCACCAACTATTCCAAACGACACACCACGACTATAGACACGCTTGCAGCTTTAATAAATACTCCAGCACGACGCCTATGCTCTCATTTTGCACCCTCCCTTATATCTCGCGGTCACATTCAAGTGTTTGTTCGTTTGTTCAAGGCTAATCGTACTTGCTCTGTTTATTCCGGGAATCCTTCTACGTACATACATAAATATCTTTGTTGTGTTTCATCTCTGGTTCAATGGTACATACGTGTACAACGACCACTAGTACTGTCGATACTGTTTTATATGGCAGCATGTTCATGTCTCGTTGCTGTGAATTCCGTGGGCAGGAACGCGACTGCGCCGGGATCCGTGCAAGGGCCGGCCTGCGCCGCAGTCCTGGTGACCGCGTCATAAACCATAAGCTGAGATTCAGTTCACTTCAACCCTTGCCTTCACTTGCACAACTCAGCTCAACCACACAATGCGCGGGTCCGACGTCCTCCTCATCCTTGTACGCTCCTTTAGAATATATGCGTATTAGAACTGACAGTTTATCCTTGTCTACAGGTTGCCATCATCTTCCCGCCTGCTGCTGCAGCGTTCGTCGCCGGCTGTAGCTGCGACCTCCTCATCAACGTCTGCCTGACCATGTTCGTCTATCTCTCTTCTTCCTTGTGTTATAACTCATTAATAACACTCTTCGCAGTCTTGGATACATTCCAGGCCACATCGTACGTTCTCTCATACCCTCTACCTCGTTAGTGCACCGTGCTCAATAGCGCCTGTCTACAGCATGCCTTCTGGTTGATCTACAAGAGGATGCAGGCCGAGGAGCGCTACGGCCGCGGCGGTTTTGTCTGTACGTATATTCTCGCAATGTGCCCTAATTTCTCTGCGAATGAGCTTGCTCACTGTCGTGTCGCGCAGATGTCGGCAACGGCGCTTACCAGCCGGTCAACAATGGCGGCGCCCCCGCCAGCTATGGTACAATCAACTAACCTCCCTCGCGGCATCCCTGTTCTCTGTGACATTTGGGGCCGTTTTGGATTTCTACTCTGATGCTCATATGGGGCAGAATGGTATTATACATGTATGTATGTTAAGAGGATGTAACGACGTTTGCAGAAACACCGATCGCTCTGAAGTTCAAATAAAGTGAGAGTGGTTCAGACCATCTTGGTCGCCACCATCATCCGCTCAAAGTCGGGTAGGTTCATGGATTTATCTGGCGACGACGAGAAGGCGTCTAGCATCTCTATGATCTGCAAACGCAATAGCGCCAGTCAGCGCACGCAGTGACGTTCCATAACCCCGTCCTACCTCTTCAGCTGTTAGCTTCTCTTTCAGAAGTTGAGCGACCCGAGCGATGTCTTTGATCATTATCCGTTGTGTGTCGACAGCATCATCCTCAACGTCAGGGAAGAACAGCCTGAACGCCATTCGAGCACCTTCCTTCTGCCGAGGAGTGATTGCCTTTGGTTTAGCGTCCTCTTCTTCGTCGCTTGACTCCTGAGCTTTTGTTATCCGAGATCGTCTACTTTTCTTGGCTGGAGCAGGAATCTTGGAAGGTCCCTCCATATAATCATCGTCGTCTTCCTCTAGTGAGCTAAGACTCGACGCACTAGACATGTGATAGTCGTCATCATCAGGCTCTGGTTCGCTTCCGACGATGTCTCGAGGTGGCGAGGAAGCACTAGTGGAAGGACCGGCGTCCCCACCGGCAGACCCTTCCTCATCGCCGTCTTGCTCCAGAAGCACGGCGCAGACGGACCTCCAGTCCTTCTTGCTGACGCCCTCCTCACTCGCTCCGTGCTCAGCGCCCCAGCCCGACGCAGCGTTACTGAAAACGGCGAGCACCTCTTCGTCGTCTGCAGGTAAGTCAAGAATCTGAAGTGCAGACGGAATCAAGGATAGAGGCAGATGTGAGGGCGTGACGTCCCCTGAGTCTGAGTCTGGTGTAGCATCCTCGTCATCATCATCGACGATGAAGCCACCAGGCGCGTCATCCTCGACAATAAACCCTCCAGGTGCGGGTTCATCAACTATAAATCCGCCACCTGTGTCCTCAGGTATGAAACCGCCAGGCTCAATATCTTGTGTAATCTTGCGGCGCTTGCGAGCGGGCTTGTCGTCCGCAAGGCTTGTGAGAGTCGTGTCGTACGCGCTGTCTATGCGGCGTTGCAGACTACGTGGAAGAGCAGTAAAGGCTGGATCGTGTTCAGACGCGTTTGGCATTGCTGGAGGACGAGAAAGAGAGTTGCAGTACAGGGGCTCTGAGTCAATTGATGGAGCCGACGCGTTGTTGGAAAATCGGGCCGGAAAGTAAACTCAGGCCTATTCCGTACAACCACCCACATAACTCAATCTTATCAGGCCATGGCTCGTGGAAAGGTAAGATTGTGCATATAATTACCATCGGTTTACTGACATACATATAACAGAGAAGAAGACAGACCAAGCCTTCGTCAGCACCCGACGATGATCGCCCCGACGTCCTCGAGAAAGCCGACATGTGGAACGAGCGGTTCAGCAAGTACTACAAGGCCCAAAATATCATTCCTGAAGAAGAGTGGGATAAGTTCATGGACAGACTCAGAGAACCCCTGCCCACTACTTTCCGTGTTGCTGGTAGCAGAGAGTACGTCCTCCATCGCGATTTTTAACACTCCTTGCTCACACCAATATCAAAGAATAGCGCACAGTCTCAACAGCACAATCGAGACCAACTACGTCTCCCAGCTCACTGGCGCGACGTTCGAGGGCGAGACTGTTCCCCCTCCCGCGAAGATTCCTTGGTAGGTATGTGTAGGTCATCACACGCCCTCGCTGTCTAAACACTCACTGCAGGTATCCCGATGGTCTCGCATGGCAGTTCAACGTCTCCAAGAAGGTTTTGCGCAAGCAGCCCGAGTTCAGAAAATTTCATTCGTTCTTGGTGTACGAGACTGAAGTGGTGAGTGGCATGATTCGTTCAATCTAGGGGAACTCAATAATTTCGTGCAGGGAAACATTTCACGTCAAGAAGCTGTTAGCATGATCCCGCCTCTACTACTCGACGTGGAGCCTCATCACAAGGTATGTATACAGTAGTCTATGCCTAGCACTGGTCAAATCCCTTTTCCAGGTTATCGACATGTGTGCTGCACCGGGCTCAAAAGTACGTTACCATCACCCCCTGTAATACTTCGCGGTCCTTACACCACATACTTTACTCTGTAATAGACCGCCCAGCTCCTCGAGGCCCTCCATGCACGCGACACCGCAACCGCAACCTCCACCCCGCCCGGCCTCCTCATCGCCAACGACAGCGAGAGCAAGCGCGCGCACCTGCTCATCCATCAGTCCGCGCGCCTGCCCAGCCCCGCGTTCATGGTCACGAACCTCGACGCGTCCATCTACCCGATCATGCGGCTTCCCAACTCGACGTCGACGACCAGGGGCAAGGTCAAGAACCAGCTGCTGTTCGACCGCATCCTGTGCGACGTGCCGTGCAGCGGCGACGGAACCCTGCGCAAGAATATCGGCATCTGGAAGAAGTGGCAACCTATGGATGGCAATGGGCTTCATGGGTGTGTTTTTAAGCCTTGGTTCGTGAAGATTGACCGCTGATACTTTTCATAGGCTTCAGATCCGTATTCTGCAGCGAGCGATGCGCATGCTCGAGGATGACGGCCGGATAGTCTACTCGACGTGCTCCCTCAATCCCGTAGAAAATGAAGCTGTTATTGCCGCGGCCCTCAACTCCAACCCAGGTTTGCGTTCCTAGCACGTTAATCAACTTCCGTGCTGACTTCGGCTTTCCTTAGAGTTCGAGCTCATCGATGTCTACGACCGCCTCCAGGAACTCGTAAGACGCCCTGGCATAGCAACTTGGAAGCCAACAGTCGACCGGAACATTGACACGTCTTTCGCTACCTGGGCTGATTATGTGGCTTCATTAGAAGGCAAACAACCCGCGGCAAAGATGGCCGAAACCCACTGGCCACCAGCGAATGCGGAGGAGCTTGGGCTGCCCAAATGGTGAGCAAATCGCTGACCGTGTCAAGTTGTAGATTTCTCGCTAATTCCCGAACAGTCTGCGCATATATCCGCATTTACAAGACACGGGTGGGTTTTTCGTCGCAGTTCTGCAGAAGAAGGGAACATCCAAGGCTTCCGCCGGTACATCGTGCGTTATCTGACACTGGCACTAGGATTTGTCTAAGGGAAACTTCTTGCAGAGAGCGGAAACGTCCTGCCGATGAAGTGGCCGATGCAAATCCAGAGAACGATGCCAAAAAGGCCAAATTCGATGGCGAGGGCGAGGACGATGCAACAGCGGCGGACGTCACCATGCTTGATTCGTCTGAGCAGACAAATGCAGACGGTGATGCTGCCGCTCAACCTGCTGCGCCCTCCAAATCGAATACGACAGCGCAACCAAGAAAGGTATTCGATACAGGGTTCAGAGAATCCCCGTACACTTTCCTTTCCCCCGATGACCCTGCGATCAAACAATGCATGTAAGCATGTTTCTCCCTTGTTGAAATATTTAGTCGTTGTCTCTAATAACACATTTAATACTCAGGGAACAGCTCTTCTTGGATCCCTCCTTCCCCTCCTCAAACGTCCTCGTCCGGAGCCCCTCTGGCGAGACCGTCCGCTCGCTCTACCTCACCAACGACATCGTGCACGCCGTCGTCGCCGCGAACGACTACACGCGCATACGCCTCCTCACATGCGGCACTAAAGCCATCACGCGGCAAGAGGCCAGCAAGGGGATTGCGGCGCAGTTTCGCATCCTCGGCGAGGGATTACCTGTCGTACTGCCGTACACGCGCCCGGACACCATCCTCGAGGCAGATGCGGCGGCGCTCAAGATCCTATTGTCGGTGTATTATCCGCTGTCTTCCTCGTTTGGAGAGCCGTTCAGGAGTGCGGTTGATGCCCGGGGTAGAGTCGTCACAAAAGTTAGCAGATTTATATGTATACTGATATGTACTCCAGAAACTGGAAGCCACATTGTGCGCTTCCCCGCCTCCTCTGAAATCAAGTACGTTTTTTTCCCTCCATGATATCGGTTTATTGGAAGCTCATGACCTTCTGCAGCTTGACGCACGACTTGCTCGTGCCGCTTTGGAAATCCAACGTATCCATATCGATGATGATTGACAAAAAAGCAAAAAGGTAAGCTTACTCGTTCTTTCGCTGTATCAATGTTGACTTATATTATAACCAGTGCATTGAGTTTACGTCTCTTCGGTGAAGACATCACCGTCGCTGCTCGCGAAGCAGCCCAAAAGAACCGCGGAGCTCGAGGAAATGTACCAGCAGCCGCAGAGCCCGCCCCCGAAGTCACTGCTGAACAAGCCGAAGTAGAGCCTGACGGCGAAGAGCAGACAAACGCAGACGATGATACTATTATTGACGACACTATTAACGACGAGCATAGCAAGCAAAACAGTTAGACACATTACTGGGTAAAGTGTACACTACGAAAACAAAGCAAAAGACAAGCATCCCGAGACCAGATCAGAGACTGGTCAACAGGGACTGAACCCATGGGTTCGCATCTATTCGCGGTCTGAATTCCTCAACGCATCGCTTGAGTTCCTCTAGTTGTTCTTCAGGCGTTGGATCATCCATCATGACATCCTCGCCATCTTGTTTTGATGAAGAGGCAAATTTGCGTAAAAGTTCCTCGACGAGTTCGACACCTTGTTGCGTGACCTCTTCTGAAAATTGTTGGTCTGTCCGTGCTGCAAACAGTCTAGTTAGGGAGCAAAAGAAATCGAAATAACATATCTGACGTACTGGTATTAAAATCCTCGAGCTCATCCGCCTTCCGTTTGGCCAGCTACAATGATGTCTCAGTCTTGGCTGTTGTTTTCGACAAGAGTGAAAGCACTGCACGGACCTTGACAACATTCTCCGGGAAATTTGCGAGCCGAGCAACGTGAATACCAAAACTCTGGTCCGAAACACCTGTGAAAGACTTCCTTTAGCTACATTTTAGCATAAGAAAATAAAATGATACAGACCTGGCTCGACTTTGTACAACAGGGTGATATCCTGGTCCTGTGTTGACGACTGCGCTTCCTGTGAAACGTGCGCGACGACGTGCAAATTCTTCACGTGCTTGAGCTCCTGGTCAAGCGCCGTAAGCTCGTGGAAATGCGTTGCAAACATGCAAAAGGCGCGAATTTCCGAGGCGATGTGTCTGCACGTATGCTGTAAGGATGAGAGAGTTCTCCTAGGACTTGTTGCGCTTACTCGGAGATCGCCCAGGCAAGTCCGAAACCATCGTATGTTGAGGTCCCTGGAAACATTAATTAGCACAACTCTTGGTGTTGTGAGGAATCGATTCATACCCCGCCCAAGTTCATCAATAATGATTAGTGAATCCTTCGATGCAGACTACAAACTAAAGTTAGCGTGCACCCTCACTTTCATTATAACACTGGCAACCTACCCTCAAAATCGACGCAGTCTCAAGCATCTCCGCCATGAACGTCGACACACCCTTGAGCTGGTTGTCGCCCGCGCCCACACGACACAATATCGAGTCAAAGATGGGCATCCTTGCCTCAGAGCACGGGACAAAACACCCGATTTGCGCCATCAGAGCGATGACTCCAACCTGTACATATACATTAGCTCCAATTACTAAAGTTTAGGATGAAGAATGGATGCGATACCTGACGGATATACGTGCTCTTGCCACCCATGTTTGGCCCAGCTAACGCTGGGAGTTAGTAGACGTTCTGGCTCGTAGAGTTCTTCCTTACTAATGATCAAGAACTCGCCCTCATCTGAGTAGAAATTCAGCTTATCAACTATCGGTGTATTGATGATCATACCTTTGGCCATCTCCACATCATTGGGAATAAAGCTGATATCATCTTGCACCTCAAGGCAAGGGTGCCGTGCATCCTTCAACACCAGGCCACTTGCACCTAATTTAATTCAATATGCGTAATATCGAGCACGTTGAAGAACAATAACATACCCTTTTCACTGACAATGGGCTTGACATACGGCTCCGGCGCATTCATGGATACGTGTGCAAACCTGTACATTAACAGAAATGTGAGCAGCAGCATCTGACAAGTCCTCACAATAGATACGCACGAAGTGATAACATCTAAATGAGCGAGGACCATGTCCAGCGACTCCAGCACAGGCGTGTACGTCGCTTGATTCGCACGCAAGTTAGGTATCTTCTGAAAGTATCCACGGTTTCCAACATAAATACACTTACAAGCAATGCTAACAACCTCTTTCACGAGCCCACTCTGTGCCCTCCCATATTCGGCCGTCGTCTCCTGAAAGTCGCCTGAGAACTCCTTGAGCTTCTTCGTCGTGAAGAACACGCCGCTCTTGATCGTTCCGAGCTCGATGTACTTCTTGTTCTTCATCATCACCTTCGCATCCTGTCCATACAATTTCAGCGACAAATACGAAAGCATGAAAGCAGGGGACGCACGTTCTTGGTGAGTCTGAAGCAGTATCCATACTGTTGCGAATTTTCAAGGTGCAGCTTCTTGTCGAGCTCGAGCCTGAGGTCATTACCGGCGTCACGATGCTGCTCATCGAGACCGTCACGAATCTATGAGAAATAACACAACGAAGTCAGCAAACAGTTTGTATGTATAGAACGAAAGACTGTGGTCCACCTCCATGAGTTTCTCAGCAAGCTCTTGCAGCCGTGGGTCATAATCGGGCCTAATCGCATAGTTGTGATTGTCCAGCTCGGAAAGATCAAGCGTCTGCTCGACCATCTCGCCGTACTTGGACAGGTTCTCATTGAATTGCTGGTCACGGGCGCCATATTAGCTTAAAACATGATGGGCAAAAATAGTACTTGCCTGGAGTGGACCCAGGTAAAGTTCTTTGATGAGTGCTTTGTACTCGTCGTCCTCAATATCTAGGGTTTCCAGGGTTTCCAAAAGGCCCGCCATCTACAAATGAGCGGAATTATTTCGCTTCAGCACTGTGCATTGACTTGGCACAAAAGAATCGAACCTTGAGCGTGACCTGATAGACACGCACGACATCCTCGAGCGAGGCGTTCGACTTCTTGAAGCGCTTGCTTATACGGTGCATGTCCGGCATGTACTTAAGGTATTCGTCCTGCACGCCCATGTCAGCGCTCTACACATAAGTTCAAGAAATGCAGAAACGAACCTGTAGAGTCCGTCGCCCATTCGCATCGTTAACGAATACTTCAACCAGATTCTGCCTCTGTCCTAAAATACTAAACATGAGCGTAACTCATAGACGCGAGGCACTAGTACACACGAATTTCATGCAAGTTCACAAGCGGCTGCTTCAGCCATGTTCCGAGCAACCTCGTCCCCTGAGCGGTCTTGCACTTGTTCAACAGACCCAAAAGCGTCGCGTTCTTATTAATGCTTCCCTATCCAATGCAACTGTCAGTCTGCTGCACATGAAAGGCGATCAAAAAGGTTTACCCCGCTCCCCGGAACCTCCGTCAGGTTCAGCGCTCTCAGCGCACTAGCATCAAGGCGCATATACCGTGCTAGATCGTGCGTGCGAAGTATGTACGCCCCTTCATTTGCAGGGTCGCTCGCCAATCCCAGGTAACTTATAAGCGCACCAAGCGCGGCACTGGCTCCTGGCGGTGTCTCCACTGTAGAATAGACGAGCTGTTTTAAGATTCCTTTCAGATGTACAAGGTGAATACAGACATACGCTGTTGTGGATCCGAGGATGAGTCGGCCGAAGGGGCTGGGAGGAGGCGCTGGAGGTGGTCTTCCACGTTCTTGCCTGTGAAGTCACCTGAATATGCACTGGTTAGACATATGCAATCAGAGCCGTAATTCAAGGTGAGTATTACTCGGTTTCCGCTCAGTCACAATCACACCACAGCGCTCAAAAACGGCCTTGAGCTTGTTGAGGTCCAGGTCGCGGTCTGTGTTTCCCGAAATAGTGCCCGTTGGTATAAGCGCTTCCTTCACGGACAATTGAATAATTAGAGACTGTTCACAGGTACGAAGTTAGCGCATACAGCCAAAATAAGCGGGTATACAAACGGACCTCGGTGTTCGAGAACAGATCATTATCCACAAAGTCGGCGACACCCAGTTCTCGAGTGCTTGTATCTGCATACGCGATACCTACACCTTTCGTCCGCGTTTTGTCAACTGCAGGTGTAGTCGACAGTCGGAGAGCCATGACAATCGGCGCAGAGAGCACGTCGGTATTGCCAAAGAGCAAATCTTCTACAGGCTGAAGATTTCCTGGAGATGCCTTCGCGCAACTGTCAGCCCCGTGTGCAAGCAGTCGTCAAGCAACAACCAACCTCCTTGTCTAACACGAACTTGGCCGCCTTCTTTCCCTGCCCAGGCGCAGGCACCCATATCTCTACCCTGAGCTGCCTTGCTGTGAGCGCTTCTCTCAGGAAAGCATGCGCAAGCGTGCGACTGAGCGTGACGCTGGCCAGACCGCCTCCCGCAGCCCGCGAGCCAAGATGCTTGATGACGGAATTGGTGCGGAAAACATTGGCGGCGACGAAGAGCGCGTCGGAGCCGTGGGTGGAGTAGAAATCACCACGGTCAAACAGGCGCACAGTGCCAGTCTCGGGCGACTTTTTGGGTAGCTTGGAGAAGAAAGAGACGAAGCCGGGGTCGGAAGCTTGTTCTTCGCGGACGCAAATGTCATTTTAGTGCCGTTTTCGACCGTCGCGAAGGGCGAGTAATAGATAGTCATACCTATTTCGTGCTCAGCATCCTTTTCTTTCCCATACATAAGTGCCATATTGACTTTAGAAAGGCAAGAAAGTGAAAAGACGATAAGATGGAAACTTCAGGATCGAAGACGCGTCTTTGACACGACACGCCTACTACCGTCGCGTCCAATTACGCGTGACGTCAAGAGGCAAATTTGTCTGATCTTCAATTTCGATCTCCGCTGTCTCCGCTTCAAACTTGCCTCTTGCAATGCTGCACGACATGCGCGTTCCTTCTCCATAGCTGACAAGATTTCTTCATCCTGAAAATTCTTTGCATCCGTTTGACTTGCCTGGTGTCCTATCATTTGCTCATATAATAGACAACCCAGATCACTTTTGCGATCGCACCATTTGTGTACAGGCGCCGCTCAATCTGTTGCAGCTCCTGAAGTGGCTTTTTTGGTGCAACATTGGCCTTCGCTTTGCGTCGGATGGACTTGGTCTTCATTCCACCTTGCCCCCGTTACTGGATGCACTCCGGATGCCTTCGGGTATCCATGGGGTCCAGCGTACATTCTATTCTTACTATACAATATTTGTACAGTCATTTTGTATCTCTGCAAAAACTACTTGCTACTGGCAAGCTCTTTGAACATGTCTTCGATTTTCTCACAATAAATGCAACATTTTCGTTCGACTATCGCTGGTATCAAAAGGCCGGCTTGGGATCGTTGGAGTGATGCCATTTGCTCCACAAGGGAATGGGCGCGCGTCTAGACCAGGGAGCCGTGGAGGAAGAGAGGGTATTTCTGTCCCGCAAGGAGCATCGTAGCTAGGCTCAACAGTAGCCAACGTTGTATACGTGCTTGCAACTGAAGTGGAGTCCAGTGCATACAAATAGAAACTACGCGCTTGTTGTACGACGTTATGGCAAGAGATGAGTTCATCTGGATGAGCTGTCAACTGCTGTCGAATGACCTTGGCGGGGGACAGATGCTCCAAATATAGATTCGCTTCTGAGGCGCTTGCATGCCGGCATGATGCCCAGCCTAAATATAGGTGGGGTGAATTCACCGGGGAGACCATCACGACCTATCGCAACCTTTCCACTTTACTTTGACCACGCTCCCGCCTCCCTCACCTCTCTCTACCTTTCGTCTTCTACCTGTTCCTTTGGAACCATGTTTACTCTCACCCTCGTCTCTCTTTTGCTCGCATCCTCCAACGCGCTCGTCAGCGCATCTCCCTGTGTGGCCTTCGACATCAACTGGAATCTCCTCGCTTTCGGCCTCGACGGCAAGGATTTCAATGCGGGAGCACAGTCCTCTTGGTCAAGCGGTAAGCGTTTTCCTACAGCACTAGATGCGGACTAACCATTTGTGTTCGTTTTGTAGGCAAGGCGTCTGAAATCACCACCTCGGGTCGCCCGTGAGCCACATCCCATCGTCGCTATTTATATATAGCTCACTACGTTTAATCTTGCAGGCCGTTTGATGGCACTAATACCACTTGCTACCTCTCTCAGGTACACTCGCCCCGCTTGCCTTCCCTCTAGCTATAGCACGCACTAAACTCTTTCCAGTATGAAAACGCCATCTACGTCATGAGCGCTGACTCGAAGAACCCCTCCGATGTCTATATTTACGACGCGACCGCCAAGTCCTGGTCCGCCCAGACGGTCACCACCAACGGCTTCGACCCTTCCAACTTTGCCGCTATCCTTGACCATGATACCAACGTTTTCTGTGCGTATAAATATTATGGCTTTGACTTCCTTGACTTTCCAAGGACGCCAAGGTCATGGTCTCTCGGCATTTAGAGTGTTTTGCTGATCCGTTCATCATCGTTTAATCCTGCCAGACGCCATGAGCGCAAACCAACTCTGGAATCTCGATATGAGCCAGCAGAAGGCTGCGACCGGCAGTGCTCTCTCCTGGAACAACGTCGGTAACACTCCCTACCCAAGCGGTTACAACCCCGTTATGGTCATCGCCAACAACCATATCCACTTCCTTGATGTTCCCAATCTCAGCCCTGGCCAGGAAGACATCTTCGTCATCCACTGTGAGATCGCCTTCCTGCACTAGGACAGGCTTCAGAATACTCAATTGTTGTGCAGACAGCTGGTATCAGCCTTCGCCCCAGGCATACCCTGTCTCTGGTGGTAACGGTGCAGTTCCCAACCAGTTTGGTCATGCGACTTCGTTCTTCATGGACGACAACACCGTATGAACTGCACACTGATCATATTCCTCACTGGCAACTCATGATTTCTCCAGGTTCAGCAAAACTTTGCCTTCGTCCCTCAGGATGGCTCTGCTACCTACGTTGTCAACGTCATGGTATATAAATCCTTACCACCGAGGATTTTTCGCTTACTCACACCTTCCCATAGTCCAACTCGACCACTCAGATGGCTGGTCCCTCTACTAAGGACCCCAAGGCGACTTACTTCGCCTCCTCCAACTCCCTCGTTCAGCTGACCTCGAGCGGTGCTGCTAACTACCTCCCCTTCAACCCTTCCGGTTCCAACTCGGACGCCAAGTGGGCCCCCATCCAAGCCCTTGCCGCCGCTGCCCCGCCCAGCTCAACCTCCGCATCGAGCGGCTCCTCTCCCACCGGTTCGTCGGGTTCCGGTAGCTCTGGTTCGTCCAGTTCTGGTTCTGGTTCTGGTTCTGCTTCCGGCTCCTCTTCCGGTTCCCCTTCCTCTGGTTCTCGTTTTGGTTTCCCTTCGTGTTCATAATTATACTCATGCCTTTGTCTGGCTCGTGTTCATCGGGCACAGGTTCATCCGGCTCTGGCTCTGGATCAGGCTCCAACGGTGCACTTGTCAGCGTTGCCGTCAGCGGTGGCCTCGTGGCCATCGCTGGCCTCGCGACGTTTGTGCTCGCGCTCTGAGCACCAGCTTGAGTATGCACGGGCGCCTTGAACGCTTGCTGATTGTGCTCTGACCTTGTTGTACTAACGGACTATGTACAGTTCAGCACCGCCGTCACATCAAGCGCCAGCGCGTCTTCTGATCCTCAATCCAAGGCTAATTTCCCGGATTTCCTTTCTTTTCACCGCAACCTTCGATACTGTCATTGACGATGTTTGACACCCATCTCGACTGCATTTCTTTTCATTTTTTCCTCTTCATTCTTGCATGAGGGCATACGACAGACGTATGCGCGGGGATTCGTTTTGTGGGCGCTGTGGACAATCTTATTACCGATACCTCTTCCGGTTCGACGCGGACGCCGTTTACTGGAGAATGATGATAGTAGTTGGTTTTTCTAGTTTACCTCCCATTCGATAAATTACGGCCAATGACATCGTAATATTGTCGACTCATAGGCGGTGTGATTCATCAACGGTCCAGTTCGTCTGAAGACCAATATATGTGTAATCCTACACACGAAGGTAGGTATAATTGAACCTGATCGAATTAGCTTAACGCTTTGATGCATGGAGATTTAGATTGGCGATATAGGCAAAAGGTCAGAAGTACTTATTGAGACGGTCCGCTTAGCACCTTGAAGTTCGTTCGCAGAGTGTCCTTTGGATGGCCGACGAGTTTCACCAAGTAAACATACTACTCAATTGCGCTATTGCGCAACGACTTTGAAGTTGGGTACGAGTGGTAATATTATATGGTGCGCTGTGTACACGTCCTTGATGAACTACGGGACCCTTCACTACATCTCTTCATCCTCCTCACTTCCACTGACCAGCTCGTTCATTGCCCTTCTGATTGCCTCCACGCTCTGTCTCGGTTCAAAGTTAACCTCGAACGGCGGCAGCCGCGATACCGGTCCGTCCGTCCACGAGTCCAAGTCCAGCTTGTACCCGGGCTTGGGCACGATGCGGAACGCCCAAAATATGAGTGCGAGGTTGATGTAGATGGAGCGGTTTGCGACGTGTTGGCCTGGGCAGACACTGCGGTGGGCAGAGTTAAGTTAAGCGATATTACGCAGAGGAACAAGGTAGATGCACATACCGTCTTCCGAAGCCGAACGAGAAGTACTTGATGTCTGTCCTCAGTTGGCCGTTTGCATCGAGCCATCGTTGCGGGTTGAAAGTGTCAGGGTTAGAAAACGCTTCGGGGTCGCGAGAAATTGCCCTAGCAATAAATACTCGTAAGTTTAAGTTCAAAAATGAGAACCCCCGAAGTTTGGCGTACCAGTGACTTCCGAGGATGATCGACCCGGTGGGGATCAGATAGCCCTCCTAGAGCAATGTTGAGCCCATCATCAATCTCTTGGTGATGCACTTACGTATACAATGTCTTTGTTCACCTTGTGGGGGAAACCTACAGACGACCAGGTCAGAATCTAGCACGAAAAGCTTAAAGGCAGTAGAAAATATACCAATGGGCGTAATCGGCCTGAACCTGAGCAGCTCCTGCGCCAATGCAAGCAGTTGAGGTAGATTATCATGGTCCTCAAACGTCGGAGCCCTATCGTACCCTACAACAGCATCAATCTCGGCCTGGACGCACGCTTGCTCCTCGGGAAAGGCCGCAGCGACCATGATCGCATGGATGAGGGCAAGTGCAGTCTAGGTGTACATATCTTTAGGAAATGCGGAGAACAAATGGGCTGCAGGGCAACTCACAGTATCGCTCCCGGCACCGAATAGGCCGTTGGAGAGCAACGCCATTGTGTCCTCTTCCAGTCCATGAACTTCCCGGTTCTCAATCATGTTCCTAGTAAACGATGGCCCTGCTATTCCGTCCTCCTGAAATGACAATTGATTACACCTCAATAACAAGCTCAATTAGAAGCAGATTAAAACTCTTACCATGTCCTTCTTCACCTTTGCCATCTGCCCCGCTGCTAGCTCCTCTTCTTCTCTCTTCCACTGCGCCATCTCATACCCGTATGCACCCAGGACGCGGCTCGCCCTCCTGAACCCCTTCTCCTCTAGTGCGTCGCAGATGTGTCGCATGCCTCCGAGCCGGTGGAACCACTTCAAAAACGGGAAGAGCTCAACGAGGTACGTTCCGGGAACGAAGGTCGACTGTATCCGTCCAAGGGTGAGATGTACCCGTTGTACCTCCGGCGAATGGAAGGAAGTAGGGGTGCGTTTGCCATACGTAACCTTGAGGATAACCGTAGAGGCATATCTGACAGAATATACGTCTTGACGTCAGAATTAAGCCTACGTGAAAGGTAAACATATATACCCTTTTATATGCTCTGCAAAATTATCAGGATCCCTCAATAAATCAAGGATAACGGCCCTTGCAGCGGCCGTCTGGATGGGCTGGTAGCTCTCTGTAGCCTTGGGTTGCAAAGCCATGTGCGCGGCCCTGCATTATTATCAGCTGAGTCACCAGTCGCTTGAAACAAGTACGAAGGCTTACTTTCGCATCCTGCGGAAACGGTCTCCCCCACTCTCCATAAGCAAGCGACCTGCTTGCGTGAGCAACTCATTAGCAACGATGTTGCGAGGACGATCAGCACTTGAAGCGCCGGACTTCTCCATGATGTCCATTGCTGGCTAACAAACTTCAGACTTCGGCAAAATACTATTGGCAAGGATGACCGCATCATACCTGCATTCGCCCAATGATAACGAACGCGTTTCGGCCTTGCTTGATGGTATATACAGCTCCATATCGTTCTGTCATATCTGACAAAGTGTGCGCGATACTGTGTGAAGAGTTGGCACCTTAGCAAGTGGAATCTCTCCTGAAGAGAAATGGAAGCTCACTTTCGCGGAGGAAACGGGGGCTGGAAGAACCATTTCGCAGGGGGACCAGGAGGTAGTGGAAGAGGATACTTTTGAGGAGCAACAGCCTTGCCGATAGCAAATAAGAGAAGAATTACAAGGACAGCAGAGCCAATTTTTACGACCGACGATGACGACTGCAGGTAAGCTTGAAGGTAAGGAGGTAGCAGCTCAGAGAGGCAGTCCATGTCCAGGGGTTTGTGTGAGTAGATCGTCAACCCGTTTGTTCATGGTTTATATAGGGAGCAGGTTGTCACTGGAAGAAAATAGCTTGGTGAAGTGTTGATTGCTGTTGTAACGGGTGGCGACCAGAGCGTTTATCCTGCGTAGGGAGGGGGGGGGGCGCCCGTCACTCACGGCAGGAAGCAAGTCTTCCGACGCGTTCGGTCAGAGAAGCGCGCACAAGGGAGGGCACCTGCTTTGATGTTGAGTTCTCGGTTCATATGACGAAACCCAGCTGACGTAGTCAGCTCTCTTCGTACGCGGTATACTAGTCGACAGGGCTGCTCCAGTTGTATGTTACTGAGCTTGAACGATATGATGGGATCACTTAAGTGTAGTGGAACGTAAGCGTTGAGCACTACACACAGGGAAAAGGCCAAGCGGAAGCATTTACCTCGTCGCCTACTCGTCCGTTGTAAGTTGTGAATGTACTACCGCCAATTTTCGCCCATACATGGAGCACACCTGAGCATAGACGAATCATGGCGAATAATTTGCAGCACCCGACAAGCGGTGGGGATGCGACGCTGACCGAGACCCATCACACGCTCTCTGGCGTAACCCACTTGGCAGCATAACCGCCAGAGCAGTTTCCCTGCTCCAGCAAACGCGGCAGCAAGATGCTGAGATTTAGTCAAGGAGTCATACATATTTGGACGTTACATTCGCTTATCATTATCATACATTCGATGCGACGCAAACTTGCGAGCGGGAATCTTCTCTTCGAACATTATGTCAATTCTGTAGGTCCGCAGTCAGTTCGGCGTTCCCTTCGATCAGCTTGAGTTGACACGGCTCACTCATCAACTGTGCGTCCTTTCGTCTCCGGTATGGCGAACCAAACCCACACACACGCAATAATGGTCAGGCCACCAAAGACGAAGCCAACGTAGCCACCGAGATTAGCTTCGTCGGGGTTGACTCTACGCTCTCATGTTAACGCTTAGTTCATGGAAATGAGAGAATGATATTTACAGATATGGGACGACAATGTTGAACACCAGCGTGAAGACCTGGTTCGTGACCACACCAAGGCCGACTGTTTTAGACCGCAGCCTGGCGGAGGGTACCTCAGCATAAATCACGTATGCCACAGGTCCACTATATGGTAGACGTGTCAGCACCAAACGGATACTTTGTAAACCTTAAATTACTAGCATTCCACATTGATAACAGAACATGTAGACGATGATCTATGAAAGCGAAAGTTGAGCCACTGAGTGTTAACATGCGAACACGCTATCGACTTACGAATGAAACGATAACGAGCCTGGTCGATTCATTGGTTGATATCGACAGGAAGCCTATGATCATGAGCACGATGGTGCACGACCATAGGCTCGCGTTAAACAACGTACGCCGCCCGAATCGGTTCAGGGTATAGAACGTGCAGAGATTCCCGAGGATCTACATAGCGGTGATGTCATAAGTATCGAAAGAACGAAAAGTTAGCTGCACTTACGCCTACGGAGGAGACTGCAAGGCCAAAATCATGCGACTTGTTATCAGAGAAGCCGGCGAGCTCGAAGAAATAAGAACTGAAGGCCACGACAAAATTTATGCCCGAGCCATGCTGCACTGCAAATACCATCGCAGCGATGATCGTTCGGCGCAGATTAGGACCTGAGCACGTTCCCTGTCAGCCGACCGCCATGAATCGTTTGAGAATTCCTTACCTTTAAACATATCTGCAAACTTCGAAGTACTTGAATAATAATCCTCGAGCTCGATGGTCTCCTGGATTTGACGAAGCAACAGCTGGGAGTTCGCATGTCCGCCACCGACGTGCTCGATGATCCTGCGGGCCTCTTCGAGTCTATTCTGACGCACTAGCCACCAAGGTGATTCGGGTGCAAAAGGTAGTCCGGCGAGAAGGATGACAGGAAAGATCCATTGAGTCGCGCTAGGGTACTGTCAGGTAAAAAAGAGGAAGGCGTTCGTGAAAATACCAACAATGGAATCCGGTACGCGTACTTGTCTAGACGTGCTCCTGATCCACGTATAGAAGCATTAGACAACCTGTAGATCCGTCATCTGTATGCAAGTCTCTGGCTGTTGCGATGGCAAACACATACAATTGGCCAACTGTTTCGAGACTGTCAGTCTGGGCCGCCTCATACCAGTAGCAGATGAAACATACGTGCAAACCAGAGATTCACGCTTGCCGTTGTGAACCCTCGCAAAGCCATGGGTGCCAATTCAGCACAGTACGTGCTAGCGACGGATATGTACATCCCCAAAGAGAGTCCGTTTACTAGCTTTCCAGCGACGAGCATCCCGTTGTTATGAGCAGGTGTAAAGAACTGGATGAGAATGGCTCCTATTGAGATCACATTGCAGAGCAAGATTGTCTTGCGAGTGCTGTAGACAAGACAAAGAGGTTTAATCAAGAGGTATGCGCTAGGTGATAGAAAGCTCACCCAAACCGCTCAATCACGAAACCGACGGACAGCCCACCAAACATACTTCCAATCGCGCTCGTAGCGTTGAAAGCGCTCTGCCATGACGCGGATATGATATACTGGCCACGACTCTCAAATCCAAAGTCACGTCGGAAAGCAGGCACGCTCAAGAGTCCACCGGTGACCTTTGATTAGTTGAGACAACAATTAATTGGACGGGAAGTCGAAGAGAACACAGCTCACTTGAAGGTCGTATCCAACCAGCATCGCGCCTACACACATGAACACACACCAAAGAAACGCGCGCCAGTAGAGCCGTATAGCACTCCATGAGCTGAGTGCATGTTCCGAGGCCGCTGCCTCCGCGAGCGCGTCGCCTGCTGGTAGATGGGGGATCGTTTCAGCCTGCTCCTGCACATCCTTGGGCTTCTCATCCAAATCCATGCTAGATACGTATTGCTAGCGCGTAGGAAGGTAAGTCCTGGTTACTTTATATCCCTCATACAACGACGCGTATAAATTGAGCATTTGGGTCAAGTGTGGGACAGGTGATTGATGATTTCGCAAACCTTGCGCCACTACTAGTCAGCAAGGGTCTCAGATTCATTTTCTTGTGTGATGTTCCAGGCACTGGCGCACATTTGAAGATGCGTCTATGGTTATTATATGAGTAAGTGTGGATGATGCCTATAGAGAGATGCGTCTTCCGTAGGAGCGGGGATTCAATGGAGCGTTCCGGACCATTGGGTTGTTCACGCGCAAGAATGGTCTCACACTTCTCTCACCTACCCCGCGAGCGAGCGAGCGACAGACAACCATCATGGGGTTACAACCTGTTACACTGTACACTGACTGAAGCTCTTCACTGCGCTCTGGGCTACTTTTGGGATGCACATTGCACTCGCAACTTCAACCGTTGAATGTTCAGCTGGCCAGGAGGTGAACATATCTGACCTCCTCTGACTCTCAAATGATATTCTGTGGAGGCCGCCAAGTTGTAGACGACAATTCACCCAAGCTCAATATTCTAACTTCTGTGATGACTAGCTCTGGGCCCAGATTTTGAAGGCCATCTCTGAGTCAGCGACCAGTTGTCTGACTCCCAAGGTCTTCTCACATTGGACCAGCGGAGATCTGTTACAGATGCCGAAGTATGACATCTACACTCTCCGAGACATGATGTCTATATTTTGTGATGCACCGCATCTCTGGCTCAAGGACTTGTACATGCTCACAAGCTTTGCTCTCATCCATATTGTTCTCATTCGATGGCAGCGAAACGTTCCTATATGTCTATTTACCGACAAATTTTGTCAGCCCATGCCAGGTCGATCTCCGTCACACAGAGCAAGTTTCGAAAAGCCTCCGTCATGTTGGTGACCGGTGACGTGGAGAGCCTGACTATTGGGAGCGCTCTGGATGTCAACTCGCTTCCTGTTCGCTTCCGTAAATAACCTCTGGGATGATAGGTTGTCAGTAAGTGCCCCAGGTTGAACTGCATTGTGCACATGAACGATATCATACAGCAGCTCCACTTGCTACGTCGGCCGTTCGAGGATGTTATTCCACGATGTCAAGCGCTAATCTGGGGGGCATTTAAGAACACGTCCACGTACTTCCTCAGAACCATTTCTTCTCGCAAACTCTTCTTACACCAGATTTGTCATGGCGTCGAGTGACACCACGAATTCTCTAGGAAATTCGTCCGCGACGGCAACAGTAAGTCCTTGATATTTCTCATAGTGGAATCTAGAGGTTTAGGCATTTCCTTTTCTCCGCCGTAAGCAACGAGGATGCCGATGTGCCAAGAGTAATCGAAACCTCATCGTTTGCATCGACGGCACGTCGCAAAAGTTCGGGGAGAAGGTGCACAGTATTCCGAATGTTTAACTTTCATGGCTCACATGCATTTCGTTCAGAACTCGAACGTCATCGCGCTCGTTGATCAGATTCGCAAGACAGACAGTGACATACCCCAGATAACGCACTATGTGACTGGCGTAGGCACGTCAGCGAAGCCATCCACACGCTCGCTTGCCTATTGGAAGAACCAGCTGGCGAGTAAAATTGATCTAGCCATCGCATGGTACGCCAAATATCTCCCCCTCTCAGCTAACCACTTAACCTATGAGCTCAGGGATGTGGAAGCTAATATCATTAATGCGTACCAGTGGCTATGCGAACAATACGAGAACGGAGACAAGATCTTTTTGTTCGGTGAAATTAGGGTTGGTCCTATCAAGGACTGCTATCTTATGTCTCTACAGGTTTCTCCAGAGGTGCCTATCAAGTCAGGGCGGTCGCAGGCATGATACGCAAGGCATGCTTGATCCTACCTACAGCTACCCTCTTCTATTTCAGCTGACAAGTCGTCCAGGTTGGATTGCTCATGCCTGGGCACATAGGGCAGACACCCTTGTAAGCTAGAGCCTGGGACCTTCACTGAGCCTGTCACTCATTTGTCCATGAATCACGATAGCGCATTTGAGCTCTACTCAGAGCACAACTATTCGACAACTGAGAAAGGCAAAGACAACTGGCGAGATAAAGCCGACATATTCAAACGTACCTTCAGTCACGATGACGTTCCAGTTCACTTCGTCGGCGTTTGGTACGATCTCTTTGGTAGCATGCACGTAAGGTCGCACTCAATGGCATGAACATATTACAGGGATACCGTTTCTTCTGTAGGCATCGTGCGCGAGACTCCATTACCGTTCACAACTTCTTGCGGGCACATTTGTTATTTTCGTCATGCATTGGCTCTAGACGAGCGACGCGTCAAGTTCCTCCCCGAGTACGTCTATGGAGGTATGGGAGATCGGCACAACCAGCACGGCGTCGAGGACGCTCCTTGGGAGAAGATGGTTGAGCACGAATCGCCTCCGGACAGCGACGACCTCGCGCACGTGAAGGAAGTCTGGTTCTCGGGAACCCATTCTGACGTGTCAGCCAGTTCCATGCTCTAAACCTTACTACCGCTAACTTACTTCTAGCGGGGGAGGAAATATGACCAACCACAACTTGGAGATGTCGGGAATTTCGCTTCTGTGGATGAGAAAGCAGGCCGAGATTGCTGGGCTGCAGTTCTTGCCCATGTCTTTTGCGAAGGACAGCTTGCTAAAGCAGGTGAACAAGAGGCCCACGGAATCTCTGACTCCCGCCTGGTGGTTTGCTGAGGTGCTGCCGATGAAGCGGCTTTCGTACACTTCTAGCAAAGCCGACGGCATTACTCGCCGGTCAGCTGGAAACTGAGCTATACTGTTTGATGTTTTATAAAGCTGACTTTTACTACAGGCCTCATTTTGGTGGCGAGCGCGTTATCGTTCCGGGACAAAAGATCCACGTCTCAGTCCTCTTGGGAGAAAACTATAGACCAAGAGCATCATTCCAGCATGAGTGGGAATCCTGGCCGGAGCAGCTTGACTGGAGTGATCCAGACGGCAACAAGCGTTTTAAAGAACTTGGATACGCTTGGGAGAAGGACTTAGTGCACCGGAGAGAGACGGAGGAACTGCTAAACGCCCTGTGTAATGATGATTTGTCCAACTTGAAGCGCGTCCTAGCACTGGTGGACCAGTTGGCATTTATGGCGAGATTTGGTGAGTGATCCTCCCATGATTCTTGCTCATGACTGATTTCTGTAGGACACGGGGAGTTGCTTACGGTCGTCACCTCGGACGGGTCGATGCCTCACAAAAAACTGACACAGCTCATGAGCTGCGACGACCCTCTGGTTCGTCTGAGCTCCGCCGTCGCACACTGTGAACTAGGTGAAACCATGAGATTCCAGCAGCTATGATGACGAAGTGCTCAACTTGAATGCAGGCTACCCTTTCGTGAATGAGGAGCAAGCTAGCAGAATAACAGACAAAGCCCTTGGGATGCTGTTCCTATCCGATGATCGGTACCAAAAGCGGGCGTGCACCTCTCTGCGTCCGCTCTGCATCCATCCCTCACTCCGCCAGAAGATCGTCAAAAAGGATGTCTTCGAAAGACTACTTCATTGTTCGGCATGTCTAAACTCTACCAATACCATCGCAGTTCGAGTATACAGCATGCAGGCCCTTGCCTTGCTACTGACACTTAGTACGTAGTTTCGAGAAGTTTCCTCAGGCTTATGTACGCTGACAGTTAAGCAGAGGGACCTGAGCCTGTATCTGAGTTTCTGAAGATCGACAACGCATTCCCTCGAGTGGTCGAACTACTGGATCCTAAAAGTACTGAATCACACATCCCTCTTCCCTTACGAAATCTGACGGATAACTTCCAAGACCAACTAATCATGGTCTCAGTTTTGCGCCTTATCACCTTTTTGAGTAAGACAAAAACAAAGGAGGGCTTGACAGTACTCGGTGCGTTTATTTCATGATTTAAAAATTAATCAACGTTCATCATCATTATAGATGAATTAAGCCGCTCAGATGATATGGAGCGTTTGGTGAGCTCGATTGAGAACCTCCTCTCAGCAAAAAAAGGGAGTCTGTATGTGCTATCTACCGCGATGGACACTATCCTGGAGTTGTCTAAGCGCTGTAAGTAACTACGGCTGCTTTATAGTACAGCGATTAACGATCTTCTTATCATGAAAGCTGACATCATGGACATGTTCGTTTCAAGACAGTTCCCTGCAAAACTGGTAGACATTCTTGTGAAAAGGCTCTTCACAGACCGGAGATGGGCTATAAGCTCGTTGATTAGTCTGATGCAAAATGGTCTGCCATAGTCCGTCAGCATGCCACCAAATCACTCGCTAACTTTCTACAGAAACTTTCGCCGTGAACATGATGAGAAGCAAATTCCTTCTCAAAATTATTAGGCTCCTCGGTTCGCAGACAGGATACATGGCAGCGACCGAGGCCATCCTCTCACTAAGCGACAAGAACGCCGGGCTTTGTCAACGTACGTCGTCTCGATTACAAACCTCTGTAAATGCTGACGTCCCAACAGAAGCTCGGGAACGTATGATGGGCCTCTGCATATGCATCATCAGCGCCGGCAAGCACAAGCCAGAGCTCTTGGGACAACTGAATCGTCTCAGCCTGAAGGAACTGCGCATGTCGAGCAAGGAATACGATGAGCTGTTTGGCAAGCTGTGGAAGAAGAAACCTCTGCAGGCAGTCTACTTCGTCTATAAAGCGATCGTGCGGGCGGATAACCTGACATTCAACTTTGCCGACACCTTACCAAAGTCGAATGCACCCGAGGTTGTCGCCAAGATGCTTCGAGAGGGTACTTTCGTCCTGCCCGCCGCTGAGAGAATGCAGGCAGAGTGGACGAGCGTACTCAGCAAGATGTTCGCACAGAGCAGTGAGAACCATTTCTCCCACTCTCCGAATCATGTCGCTCATACAACCATTACTAGAGGAATTCCGAGAGAGGGTATATCATGGCCCGGAATCGAAGGACCTTTTGAAGGACACCGTGAACATGATCAAAAACTCCAGCGATCGGAAGCAACGCGTCAAGGGACTGGCAAATCTCGACTTGATATCGAAACTAGGTTAGAGTGTCCGAAGCCCCGCAATACCGATAACTTGTTCTAATCAACTCCTTTCTAGACTCTCATCACATGAAGCTGTTGATAACCGACGGCGTCGTGGACGACTTGGTGGACCCGATGCTAGATAAGGTGACCAAGGACGGCGATCAAAACCTCATACTACCGCTCAGCACGATCGTGACGATAGGCAAGTTTTTCAGCCTGAGCTTTCTTCCGTAGTGTTCATGACATCGAATCCGACGGCAGGGCCTGTCAGGGCAAAGTTCTTGCCCAAGCTCGCGAGCATCTTGGATGAGATTCTCGCGGACGAGAACGCCATGCAGACAAAATACGACGTTTGCATGACTCTTCGCTTGCTGATCGCATTGGTGCCTCTGGGTACGGCATAATCTACTTCGCGGCCTATCTTTACTCAAATATACTCCTTCGCAGACGCTTGCTCGAATCTGTTTTACGAGCGGCCATTGTTTGGAAATCTGCTAGATAAGTGCGAGCGGCTCGATAAAGGTATGTATGTTGATCATCGCACAAATCCTGGCGTTCTGATTACCCGTACCACGACAGGGCACGACATCAGGGAGGAGACAATCAAACTCTGGAATAGGTACCAAGACCACCAAAGGGACCATCGCTCGCCGAAAAAGGAGTAACCTGACCGCCTTCTGCCTTAATAACATGAGCTTTGGCGCTATTATGCAAGCTAGCTTCAATTTTGTATGTACATCTATAATCATTCCCAGCCCCCAAGTAATAGTAGTAGGATTACATGGATGATATATGCACGAGGATGAAAGGGTCTGTAGTGTTCTGAATACATCAAGAAATAACATAGATCCTGTATAAATAACGTCGCCCGTTGCCCTTGCGACGTCTTTCTCTACTGCTACGACTATGCCATAGCCATGGTATCTATGAACCCAACGTCGAATATGCAACTGAAAATACAAGAAGAGCCACGAAATAGAAACACTAAAAAAACCAAGTCCGGTATGCTCTATTAGCAACTCCATGCACGCGCGACATGACGGTCCGAGCAAGAGACGGAGTAGACCTTTTCGAGCGAGCAGGATTCTGAGTGGCACGACACTTCGGTGGCGAGAAGGCGTTGTTGGTGCCCCAGGGAGTGACGGAGGTGCTCGTGGAGCTGGATGCGCTTCCTGAAGCGCCTGCAGCCGGGGATGAACTCACCGTGGTGGCGGTGGCAGTTGCTGGTGCTGAGCCGCTAGTGCCGGTCGCAGTTGGCACGGTGCTATTGCTGTACGCGCGGATGTAGGATATGTCGAAATACGCGTTGTCGTACCGCGGGCTGCCGGGGCCGACGACGCAGTCTTGGTACTTGGAAGAAAATGAGTCGTACGCGCAACAGACGTGAGGTAGAGAGACATACACAATTTCCTGTAGGGCCCGAGTTTCCGCACGTTGAACTATAGAATTGGCTGAGACCAGCCCTAGATGCAGGATCCCTTTAGTTCGCGAATTTTAAAAATAAATCTGCCAGGCGTACCAGTCACCACAAAGTGTGATGTCCAAGACCAAATTTTGCGGACTGAAGTACTGTTCAATATTACATGTGCTGGATGAATAGTTCGCATGGGGAGTTCCCCAACTAGATGGATCGATGGACGATGTTGACGTCGCTCCCGTTATGGACGAGGGTACATTTGAGCGCTAGTGGTCAAGGGTCAGTAACGATCAAGTAAGGACAAGCCATGTATACCCACGCTCCAAAACCAAATGCTGGAAGGAGGGGACCAAGGGGATGAGACGCTGAAACCATGAAAATTTCGTTCAAACTCACAAGATACCTGAGCTATCGAATTGTGTTGCCCATACGCCACCCTCAAAGTTACTTCCGTAGCTGCTATTCGATGTCTCCGTCACCGTGCAGCCTGCAGCTGACGAGCAGTCCGTCACATCGGTCGTGCCTAGTTGCGTTGCTGTGGAGCTCAGCGTACAGCCCGAAGTCGTGTGGAGTGCCATCTGGTTGCTCGACATGAGGTTGATCCCCTCGATGATGTCTATCTCGCCGTCTTCCGGCCAATTCGGACCTAGATCATAGAAAAGGTTGAATAACGAGTGACTCCGAGGTGGGAATGCAAGCACTAACCAAAAGTCCAGAAAGCAGGCCATACCTGCGAGAAGTCAGTTATGGAGTGTATGCGCGCTGTGGAGCCACGTACCGAGCACCCGTATGGTATGTGATCAAGATCGATGATCCATAGACTCCCGAGTGCATAGGTGTCCTGGGATGTGATCCGGATCTGATAGGCTGTGTTATATTTAAGGAGGGGTCATGGAACGCTCGACTGACGGAGTTGCGCCGTCCTCCAGACGGGACGTTAGTGGTGTTGTCGACCTTGAGGATAGCGTGCCCATTGTTGTTGACGTATGCCAGGTCCTGGCTCGCGGCCACAGACTGAGATACCCATGTAACGTTGCCTGCTGAAAGAGTTAAGACTGTGGGCAGAGCGACAGTAACAGAACACTTGCCCTGCGTCAGGTTATCCCAAGACCCGTAAAAATCCCAACCGTTGAAGAAGTTCTGTCCTGAATACTCTCGGACAAGTTGCCAAGCGTTTGCAACACTAATGAAGAGGGAGTAGAGGAGAATGATCTGGAGCATTATCCAGCGTCAAGGTTGTTGGAGAGATGAGAAGGTCGGAGTGTTGGACTAGCTGTTGACTAAATGGCTGCTTTTGTATTCGGGATGACGAAATGGGGTCATATTTTTGAGGCGCTGTCTAGCCGGGACAACCGGTGGACAACGAGGATTAAGCCCAGAAGGCAGCTGTCGAAGAAGCCGTGTTTCCTGCATTGGACAAGCACAACGTGTTGGGCAGCGAACAAGGATGAATGGGAGATGAACGTGGTGCTGCCGTTGGTAAGTTTATGCAAGTGCACGAGGCCTCCCTTGCAAGCCCCTGAGGGCTGTGCAAGCACGTCAGGACGCGGTCACGTGCATGGCATTTTCTGTCACGGCTTCTACCGAAACATATTTCGCGATGCTGTGAAGTTGTTGCTGTGTTGCTTTTTCTCTTACACCCTCAATCTCAGACGAGGTGAGGATTAAGTACTAACGGACCAACGTTTACGCAGGCGAGAACAGCAGACGTTGTCCGTTCACTAATAGTACGTGTACTATGTAGACCTTGAACGCCGGTCGCGAGTGCAGTTCGGAAACCTCCTTCAGCCCGCCGAAGGCCCGCTCTCATTTCACAACTCGAAGCTGATGGGGCCACATTGCGCTCGTGATCCACGCCTGCTACTACGGGGACACTGATTGCCCATCTCGTGATCTCTTTCCATGCACACATTGAACAATCAACAAGTATTGTCCAGCTTTGCCATGCATCTGTACGGATTGATGCCTCAAGAGACGGTACCGCAAGCTTCAGGCTACCCCGACAAGACAACAGCACTACACGCTTCTCTGAGCTTTAGTGTTCAGAACGACTCTTCGGCAAACTGACATCTACCGGAGTACATGCCAGGTACACAATCTCTAGACACTGAAGTACTGACACCTAGCGCTGCTCCGCCTTGGCCACAGCATCCGAAGTTCGTATCATGATGCGGCGAACAGGTTGGCTACAAGTATGGCTCACTTCATCATCCAAGACGATCAACAACCTTGCTGTGGGTATTCCTTTTAGCCCATCCAATCCGATGCTCCCATCCTGAGAGCACTGCGACCGAAAATAGTCCCAGCCCATCACAGGACTGGCATGAACCTACACTCGCATAGCCTCTCAGTACCTCGCATCGAAGCTTGCTCTTGTGCGCAATCTTGGACAGTGGCGGACGGCGATGCCCGCGATGCTAGTCCGCTCGATGACTGAAGCCCTTTATATACGGGTTCCCACTCGGAGCAGGAGCCATCAGTACTCTCCCTACACCCCACTCGTATACCCTAAACCCTCCTCCGGTTGAGCCTTGATACCACACGCCCAAAATCTGCAGCATGGCAACTCTCGATCGCAATGCCACATCCATTATCGACCAGCTACAGAGCGCAACCGCACGCCAACGCAAGGTTATACAACAAATGCACGCCGAGCAAGCCAAGCTCCTCGCCGATCTCGTCGAGGTGCGACGCGAGCGCGACGCTTTTCGTAACGAGGCAGCCGGCTTTCGCAGGGACCTAGCAGAGATGCACAATCGCTACGACGAAGTCGTGACCGAGTATCTCGACATCAAACGAGAGCGTCTACAGCTCCTTTGCTCAAGGAGCACCTCTGAGTCCAACGATAAATATAATGGTCACGCGGACAATGGGACTCGAACTCCGGATCGGGCCTCAGGGACGCTGAAGAGGCAAAGAAGTGGGACCAAGGTGATTATCCTATCCCTGGCGTGGTGAGCTGCCTCTGATTATGTGCAGTTGTTCAATCCATTGTCAGTTGTCATTGAAGATAGCAAGCTTGGGCATTTGACGGGGGGAGAGTGTACGGTGAGCATATCATCAGACCCGGCTGTCAAGCCCAATGCAAGTTCTTATCTAAATCTATCTTAGGATAAACCACGGAGTACCAACTCTTCTCCGTTCTCTAAACGCGAGGTCCGCGAGTTGCCAGAGCCGCCGGTCGATTCACCTGCTCGAAAGGACGAACAGGCGCGATATCAGTTTCCACAGCCGCCGCCTCATCACGGCAACAGGCCGTCATTTCTTATCGAGTCATAGCGCGGGAGAAGTGAGTGATGCAAGGTTCAGTGAACTACCACGATAGAGAATCTTGAGGTGTGGTATTTATCGATCGCAGTGTTTCCCACTGTTGCATCGCCTTGGACAGTCTATGATCCCTCATGTACGGAGTGCTCGTGTAATGAATTGCTCGATGACTTAGCGGCTGTCCATACTCGCTGGGTAGCTTACAAACGGCTCTGCAGAGGCATTGCATCCACCTTTCGTTCATCCCTCCCCAGATACCATTCCGACGCAGCTATAATCTCCCGCACCATCTCTTTTACGTCTTGTTCCGCGAAAACGTTCTCGTCAATGAATGCGAAGAATTCCAGCCTTTGGTGGAGTGTTGCCGCACCGAAGTAAAGCGAGAGGGGCCGTGCATGGAGGTGAGTTCGCCAATAGTCTACGAACAAGTTAGGCGCCGGGTGCTTTTCGTGGTCCGGAACGAATTGTTCGAGTGAAGGCGGATAACCAGCTCTAATTGGACTTGGATTGGGAGACAGAGGTGAAAGAGGATGTGTCGAAGGCAGAGGATATTTACGCGGGATGAGGAAATCCATCTGCTCGTTTCAGCATCGTTCTCAACACAGAAGCTATTAGCACAACTCACATCCCCCAGACTTGATCCGCTTTGTGCACAGACATGATCACCGTCTCGGAGCCTCTCCGGTCTTACCTCCTCCGCATCCTTGCGTATGCCCTCTCCCTCCTTCAGCCACTCCAGCGCTGCCTTTTTCGACGCTGCAGCTCTGCCCGCGTGCGAGGCTACCGCCACATCAACGAACCTGGGATGCCTGAACATCTTGTCCGCCTGATCGCCAAGAAGCGCACAGCGATGAAAGAACCGCTTCCGGCCCATCAGCGCCTCGAACGGAGGCGCACCGTCCGCCAACGGACCCGTGTACTCCCCCGGACTGCGCACGCGCGCGAGCGGGCCCAGCGGCATGTGCGGGAGCACCCACTCGTACCAGCTGATGTGCATGCCCATATCGCCCATGCCCGTCCCGCCCTCGGGCTGCTCGAGGTACGGCCGGAGGTTCAGCGGGCCGTAGAAGAACATGGGCTCCCGCGTGCGGTACGTCCACTCGGCGGCGGACATTTCGCCTGCTAGATACCGCCGCGCGAGGACCCGCGCAAGCGCGACCTGGCCGAGAACGTAATATGCCGCGTTGAGTGTCGTGCGTGCGCGTCTGCAGCTCGCGATGATGCGGTCGGATTCCCCACGCGTGAAGGTGTGCACGAGGAGTCGCGAGCGGGCGGGCGTTGACGCGGAGCGGGTTGTTAATTTCCAGGGGAGCGTATGGCCGCCCTGGTGGTGTCAGTAAGCAAACACGATACCTGTGTGTGAGGCTATTGAACGAAGACGGGAACGCACCTTGATGCTTCTCTTCCGTACAGAATGGATTGCCCACCCGATTGCTCTTCTCCATCGCCGTTGGGCCATGCTCAGGTCCCCGTACGACACCTTCTCCTCTAGCGGTCTGTACAAGCCCAGCCTCGCCTCCAGAGGCAGATACGGGTGCTCCCTTTTCGACGCCAGCGTGTCAAAGAACGACCGTAGAACCGTGCTAGTGCCCAAGCTGTCTGTGATGCAGTGCGCCAACACGAACACCACGTGCAATTCGGTGCCCGCGGGACAATCGGCCCTGTGCAAGATGTGCATTCGCGAGATGGCATTTCTGGATATGTACCGTGGGCCGTCCTGGATCGCCTGTATGAACGCGTCGACTTCCTCTGGGTCCCCTACGCTTCCAAAGGACAATGTTTCGCATACTTTCTCCTGGATGTCAGCTTCATGCAGCACGAAGTGGGGTGTGTGTTCCTGCGCCTCGAGATCGGTACTGGGAGAAGGACTGCGGCGCTCCTCGATACGCGTGCAGAGGAGTGGTAATCGTTGACGAACTGAGCTCCATGCGCGGCGCACATTCTCTGGTGAGAACATGCTCAAAGACGGGTCGGTGGTGCGCAGATGGACGTTCATGGACGTGGTAGCGGTGCCATTCAACATATGGTCGTAGTAGAAAGCGCTCTCGGTCAACCCGAGGGGGCGCGACCAGACGCGCCTGCCGGGCTCTGCGTTCTCCGTCGCCCATCCCAGTGCGTTCTGCATGTTGGAGAGGATAGAGTGCCGAAAGAGGGGTCGTGTGTGAAATGCCAGTCAATATTGAAACTCTTGGGATTGAGCTATAAATGCGTTCTAGGAAGTGTATTGTGAGCATGATATCCAAGGCGCGGAGGCCGTTTGAACTTTGACACACCCTCAGTATTCAATTGCTTCGGCGGGTTCTTTCGTATGTGGATTGGTTAAATACCGTTACATGTTGACGTCAGGAAGTGGATTCGTGGGCTAGCAACGAGTCAAAGAACCATCCTGTGATCATTGCAGTTTGAGGCCAGTTCATAGCGGCCCATCGGAAAACGGCGGGCTTCAGGACCTCATCGTCAAATCAAGGATAATCGCCGTTCGTCCAGGTTGCTGCGGAGGTGTATCAAGGGAAGTCGCGCTCTCCTTGATGCCCAGAGTAAAACTGTGGGCGTATTCCTGGTCACCAGCGTCACGAACCAGCGGGCGTGGTTCCATTCTAAAGAGAAAGAATTGAAAGAAGCACCGTGTTCTCAAGATCGCGGAGAGAGAAGGGGGCGCAGTCCCCGACTTTGGATGGTGTGTCAACTCGCGTGGTCCGGTAACTGTCAATTACAGACCGCCGAAGCGTCGGGGTGCCAATGGGGATGCGGTCGCACGTGGACGACGCTGGGAATACTCACGAGCTTGATGAAGCCAGGGTCGCGCTGGACTCTCAGGAAACCAAAACGCCAGCGTTTTGAATGGAGTGCTTGATTGTCCTTCAAGCATCTGTGTGACATTCATTGATGGTCGTGGATACACCGTAATACAATATTCAAGCTGTCTCCAAAATTCTCAGACTCGCAGCCGCGCACAATCCGCGGACGACGTACCTTACAACCTACTTTGCGTCATCTTGCTTTCTACTTCTCGCACCCCTCTTTCGGCGCCCAAGTAAGATTGAGTCGTAAGTACGACTTCGTCCAGCCACTCTTGGACGACCCCTGCCTCGTACACGTTTTCGTCATAGAACACGAAGAGCTCTATCCGCTCGTGACGCATCACCGAGCCGATATAGAGTTCGACGGGACGAGCGTGCAGGTGGGTGCGCCAATAGTCAACAATCAGGCTCGGCTCGGTGTCGTTATGTTCGTTGGATGGCGGTGAAGGTGATGTCGAGTATCCAGCGCGCACCGGGTGTGATATACGAGAACGGGGTGATAGCGGATGGGTAGAAGGAAGAGGGTACGCGCGGGGAATCTGGAGGTCCATCTGCACTCGTGAGCATGATCTCGGGGCCGCATGCCGATGTCACTCACATCGCCCAGACTAGAGCCTGCAATCGAAAGCACGACTTGTCCTTGTGGGACGTCGTCAGGCCTTACCGTTCTAGGCCTCTCATCGTCATTCCTGATCTGCCGCTCGTTACGTATCCACTGTTCTGCCTGCATCCTCGATACATCTGCTGGCTCTTTGTGACCTGCACAGACGATATCTACAAACCTATGATGTCCGAACAACTTCTCCACTTGCTGTCCCAGCAGCGTAGAGCGGTGAAAGAACCGTTCCTTGCTCAATAGCGCGACTGGTGGCGGCGCGCCCCTGAACAGCGGACCACTGTATTGGCTGGGTGTCTCCACGCCCGCGAGCACCCCGAGCGGCATGTGCGGCATGACATGGCTGTACCAGCTGATGTTGAAGCCGACGTCACCCGCGCCCCCGCCCTCGTACCCAGCCCCGCCGAACTCGAGATATGGACGCAGGTTGAGCGGGCCGAAGATGAACATGGGTTCCTTTGCTCTCCACGCCCATTCTTCAGGCGACATTGCACCAGACAAGAAACGGCGAGCCAAGACGCGGGCGAGTGCGACTTGCTCGAGTACAAAACATGCCGAGTTAAACGTCGTGCCCGCTCGTCGGCAGCTCGCTAAGAAGCGAGATGACTCGGTTCGCGTGAAGGTGTGGACCAACAGGCGGGAACGAGCTGGCGTTGAGATTGAGTGTGTGGTCAGGTTCCGGGGCAGAGTGTGACCTCCCTGAGTCAGGCCGGCATCAGATATGCTCTGAGACTGCTGTAATGAAACTCCTAGACACGCACCGTCCACCCTCTCCTCCTCACAGAATGCAGCGCCCATCCTATCGCCCTTCTCCACCTGCGTCCCGCCTGACTCAGTCCCGCTGGATATCTCAGCGTCTGCTCCAGCGGACGATACATCTCGAGCCTCTCCTCGATTGGCGCGTGCAGGAAGTCTTCCTTCGACGCAAGGGTATCAAAGAACACTCGCAGCACGGTGCTCGTGGAGGCACTATCGGTGATACAGTGCGCAATCACAAAGATGACATGCGCCTCCGCGCCCGCGGGTCGGTCCTGCCGCCAAAGGACATGCATACGCGTAATCATATGCGGGGAAAGATGTGCAGACCCGTCGGCGATTGCTTGAACAAAACGTTCAGCATCAGAGAAAGATGCGACAGTTCCGAGTGAAAGCGTGTTCTCTGCCTGCTCCTGGATGTCAGCCTCGCGGATCACGAAGTGGGGCCGGGGCTCGCGTGCGTCCAGGGTCGACGTCGAGGACGAGTGGGGAGGGAGTTGTTCCTCGATGCGTGCACAGATGAGTGGAAAGCGTCTTCGAACAGATGACCATGCTCGGAGGACGTTGTCGGGCGAGAAGAGGCCTGCACTTGGGTCGATGGTTCGGAGATGAACGTGCATGACGGTGTCTGCAGTACTGTTGAAGAGCAAGTCATGGTAGAATCCTACCTCAGTCAGCCCGAGGAGACGCGTCCAAACACGCCTGTCAGGATGAGAGCCCGTTGTTGCCCAGCCTTTCGGTGCATTCATTGGCGATGGCGATAGCTGCTTTCGCGAGGAGAAATGGTGATGACAACGGCAGAGGAGGATTTATAAAGGCATATGAAATGGCGGTCCTTATGTACCCCAGCATTTCAGGACACAAAATAAAGTTGACAGTGCGCTGACATCCCATCATTGGTATCTGTCAGAATATAACTGCGTCTGGAAGGCCTTTCTGAAGACGACGTATGTTTGTAAATGGGATATTGGGCCCTTGGGGAGGTTTAGCGGCTTTGGGACCCTACTTTCCTTCGTAAGGTTAGGTACCCCGATGAGGTGCAAAGACGCACTGACGATTGATGCATGTATGAAAGTCCAAGACCTGTGCAATGGATACGATGGGTATACAAGTTCGACATCAACAAGTCGTTGTAGGATGCGGACGCGGTCCAGAGCGGATAGACATAACTCCGGATTGTGGTAACCACCCAAGCTTTTCAGAATGTCAAGGACACGTACTTGTTAGGTCCAGCGCCGGTGATTGCCAGAGTGTGGAGACCACATGCTGACAATAAGCAGCCCCGGTGAAACGTTCAGGCAACTCACCGCCTGGTGGCTGAGCTGATAGTCCATGTTCTGATCAGAACATCACCAGACGGTAATCCAACCAAGTGGCGTTGCAGTGACTGCACAAATCCGGAATGACGACGCGACACTAGGGTGGACTGAGGATGTCGTCAAGACTTCGAGGCTTTAGTCTCTCCTATGACGAAGGGCCATACTAGTTCAGAGCCCAGCTGCTTCATGTGGAGACAAGGGGCATTTGGCAGTTAGAGGGAGTAAGAAGTGTAATCACGAGTTTTGGTGTGCATATAGGAACATGCAAACTTTTGCAGTCGTAGCTAGTCGTAGCGTCGGTCAGCATCGGCGATGGCTTACGGTCCGTGAGTTGGCCACGGCCCGGTGTTGGATTGCTGCTGATCATGCGCGTGGACGATGTTGAAGAGTTGTTGAAGTCGACCAACAAGAGGAGGAAGATTTGAGTTATGGACGAGGAGGCGCGTCATGTAGCCGAGCCAATGACAGGACGAGGATTGCCATGGCGAAGACGATGACATGACGAAAGGCACAATCAATACGCCCCGGAACTCGGCTTGCTTCCGAGCAATTCCTGGCCTCCTCCTCCTGCTACACCGACTACAGCCTTCAACGTTCAACTGCTGTAGCTTGTACTCATTGCCGACGCCTGGGGCCATTACAGCTAGTCGCAGTATCCGCAACGTTCTGCACTTCATCCTGTATCGGTAGAAGCCGATATAACTTGCATCAAAACACGTCTCGTGTTTCCGCCGCACCTGCAGCCCCCCCTACCACGGCAAACCTCTCTGCAATAACCCGTCCTAGCGTGTCTAATTCCAAGCAATTAGTCGTCAAAGCGTTTTATCTGTCTTGAACAATGGAAGCAGCACCCGATGCAATTCCCTGGACGCCAGATGACCACCCCGGCTCCTCCAATGCCATGCGTGCAGTCAAGGACATTACTTTTGGCAGCGTACGTCCGAGCTTTCACTCTAACTCTGAATTGCCAACATAAGTAACCAGATCGCAGGAATGGTCTCAAAAGTGTTTGAGCATCCCTTTGACCTGACCAAGGTTCGCCTGCAATCACAAGTTCTCGACACATCAGCACGCTTCAACGGACCAGTTGACTGTCTTGTCAAGACGTGGAAGAATGAAGGTATCAGAGGGTTGTATAGGGTACGTCCATGTTGTCGCACCTTCCTGAAAGCGTGGTCAGGGTCACATATCCGCGTGCACAGGGCTTGCCCGCACCCGTAGTGGGAGCTATGGCGGAGAACGCCTCGCTGTTCTTGGTGTATAGCGAACTGCAAAACCTCATACGCTGGGTTACTGCACGTCCAATGTCGCAGGACCCGACTCTCGCACAACTCTCTCTGGCTGGAGCTGGCGCCGGTGCCTTCACCTCCTTCGTCCTGTGCGTTCAATGTTGACAACAGCAATGTGTTTCATGACTCACTGTTCCCGCGTGCAGCACCCCTATAGAACTCATCAAATGCAAGATGCAAGTCCAGATGCTAGCACCCTCCACCTCTCCTGCCGGACCCGGCAGCGCTGCAGCCACGGCTACCCTCGGTGTCCCCACCCGGCGCGTCCTCCCGGGCCCAATATCCGTCTTCATGTCGGTTCTCCGTCAAGAAGGCCTTCGGGGCCTCTGGCTCGGGCAGACCGGCACGCTCATCCGCGAGACGGGCGGCTGTGCAAGTTGGTTCGCGTGCAAAGAGTACGTAGGCCTCAAGCTCATCCAGCGGCGCGCCCGCAAGTCGTCTTCCCCCGTCGAGCTCGGCCGGAAAGACATCTTGCCCTGGGAGTCGGCCGTCAGCGGCGCGTGTGCGGGCGCAGTGTTCAACCTGTCGCTCTTCCCCGCGGATTCGGTGAAGAGCGCGATGCAGACGGAAGAGGAGCTGCGGCCCCGCGCCCCTGGCGTGCCACGGCCGACGTTCTTGGGCACGGCGAAGGATATGTGGCGCGCGCAGGGCATCCGTGGGCTGTATGCGGGCTGTGGGATCACTGTTGCGCGGTCCATTCCAAGCAGCGCAGTCATCTTCCTCATTTACGATGGGCTGAACAGACAATTCCCGTAAATGACAGAGATCAGCTTGCTCACATAGAATGATTGTAGACCGCCATCACGTCTACTATAGATTACAGTTAACTTTACCCACATAATATGGAACACAAGGTAGTACTTGCATGGTGCAGCAGGTTGCTTTCAGGGGCTATTGTGCCGCCTAAGGAAGACCGCCTTCTACATTAGGCAATCAGCTGACCGTGTCGTTGAGGGCGCGTTTTTCTCTCACACCGCCGCATCCATGCTCGGGGCCGTCAGGCTGTCCTTTTTTACCTCATGGTTTCTTTATACCAGCGTCAAATCTGTTTTTCCAGTAGAAAACGGCTCTGACACTCTTGGGTCTCGGCGAAAAACTTGGCTAGTCAGCTGTCCTTCTCCGTCTCCGTCAGCAGCTCTTGCGCTCGACTTAGCGCGCCCAAATGCTATGAATAGCCCTTCCGCCGCTACAGGCCCTGCCCTGCGTCTCATGACCCCCTTGACGTACATCTTATCCGGAGAAATGTGGTCTATATGTCTTGCGTGATAATTCTAGACCCCGTATAAGCCCCACCGCGAACTGAGAGTTGGATAGGTCCCCACGAGCTCGACTCCGCCATGGCTGCCGATGAACGCAAGAAAAGGAGAGAGACGTCGATGTCAGATGTCAAGGAGGCTGTAGAGAACATCGAAGAGATCGGGCGCGGCACATCCTCACCTGCCGTTCCTGCGCTTGGAGCGCTGGCGAAGGCAGCGGCAACAGACCGTGCGCTCTCGCCGCTGCAGGCCATCCGGCTGTATTGGCGGGCCTTCTTCTGGTGTCTGTTCATGTGCATCGGTGCTCTTCTTGCAGGGTACGACGTTCAGGTGCGTGTGTCTTCAAGTTCCCTGTGTATTGGATCTATGTATTCGAGGCAGCAACTGAAGGCCGCGACGCGCAGATTACGGGAGGATTGCTGAGTGTGCCTTCGTTCCGCCGTGACTTTGGGTTCGAGTCGGGCGGGCAGTACATTCTTGCTGCATCCTGGCAGAGTGCGTTCAACAGTGCAAGCTCGGTCGGGTGCATGCTTGGTGGTCTGTCCGTCGGTATCATATCCGACAAACTCGGGTGAGCTCATGGCTGTCGTGTTTATGATGATGAACGCTTTCGAGCTCATGGTCTCGGTGCGCCTGTAACTAGACGTCGCGGGACCGTGGGGATCTGTGGCATCATCTCTCTCGTCGGCATCTTCATCCAGTTCTTCACCCCGGCGCATAACAATGGGATGCTCGTGGCGGGCAAATTCATCAACGGCATATCGTTGGGTAAGTACATGTAAGCCAGGGCTGCTTGTATTGAAGTTGACGGAATCGACACGTGCTATAGGGATCTACGTCGCAACGTCTAGCTCGTACTGCGTCGAGCTCTCCCCGACTGCACTGCGCGGGATCACGACGGCAGCCGTCAACCTCTGGGTCGCATGTAAGTAGTCCATCCCCGATCATGCATCTGGGAGCACCGATTCTGATCGAAACATGTGAAGTTGGTCAGCTGTAAGTGAACTCCCACTTGCAACGCTCCGCACACTAGACGTTACTCCAAGACTCTCGAACGCGGCCATTCGAGGCGCAGGCGCTCGCACGGATGCGTATGCCTACCGCATACCGTTGTAAGTTTCATCTCGTTGAACATCTCCGTCGCCGAGCGCTCCGCATACTCATTACCGCAGCGCCACCCAATTCATCTTCCCCGTCATCCTCCTGCTTGGCCTCCCCTTCGCACCCGAGTCGCCGTGGTGGCTCGTGCGCAAGCACCGGATGGAGGACGCACACAGGGTCATTGCGTGGGTCGGAGGCGCGAACGCGCAGGCAGTCGCGGATACCGATACGGACGTCGACCTGCAGCTGAGGCAGATCCGGGAGACGATCGAGCTGGAGGATTATTACGCCCGGACATCGCGGTTGTGGGACCTGTTTCGCGGTGAGCATTCTTTCGCGCTGCGCTTCACAATATCTCCTCTTATGACTATTACTGTTACGAATGATGGCAACAGGTGCTAACCGCAGACGGACTGCGATCTCGTGCATGGTGTTTGTCGTGCAGCAGTCGTCCGGAGTGACGTTCGTCATCGGATTCAGCTCGTACTTTTTCGAGCTCGCGGGATTCTCCGATAACGCCTCGTTTGATCTTGGTCTCGTTGTCACCGCTGTCGGCGTAAGCGTCTTGCTTTGGCATAGCGCAGAGAATGTGATAAACTTCACCATGCGTTTTTGACACAGGTGGCAGGCAACCTGCTCGTGCTGTATACGCTAAATCGGTTCGGCCGTCGCACGATATGGAACGCAAGCCTGTACGGATGCGCATTTGTGAACCTCCTGATCGGCTTCTTGTCAATACGCACCACAGAGGGAACGAGGCTTGGTGTCGTTGCGTTTGTCAGCCCGATCCCTCCGCGTGTTGCGTCTTGCACACGAGCACATGTTGACATGGTTTGTTGCAGGTCATCATCTACCTGTTTATTTACCAGGCCGGGCTGTACGTGTATCACAGGCCATCGTCATGACATGCTCCTGATGAAGACTTGACGGCAGGGGACCCCTCGGATACACCATATACGCTGAGGTCCCGTCTTCCAAACTGCGATCGAAGGCAGTCGGCATGGGTATCCTGACAAACCAGTGCTGTACCATGATTGTAAACATCGTTGTGCCGTATCTGTGAGCGCCTTTCCCTGATATCACCAGCAACAAGGACACTGACATGGGGCACTCTTATCAGCGTGAATCCTGACGAAGCAAACCTGAACGGATACGTCGGGTTCATTTTTGGAGGCTTTGCTGTTCTCGGAAGCATATGGTCCTGGTTTTACATCCCAGAGACTAAGGATCGTACGATCGATGAGTGAGTAGTCATTGGCGTTCACGTTTCTGCGTGTGCTAACCTTGGGTGTACCTAAGACTTGATGTAATGTTCGAGGAAAGAGTGCCAGCGAGAAAATTTGCTTCTTATACGTTTAAGAAAGCTGATTTATGAGTGTCAATTACGCTATTCAACTAGCAATAACGGCGACCAAAAAAGAGGTCTATTAGACTGTCTTGCAGAGTCACAAACAATGAGGATGCGGAAATGAAGCTTTGAAACTTGAAGAGCGAACGTAGTTGACCGGTCGACCGTAAGCAAGTGTCACTTCTCGGGAGATTCCGGTTCGGTGATCCCAACGAAGTTCATAATCCTGCGCGACATGGCTTCAACTTTGCTATACCAGTACTCATGTCTCCGAACTCATGGCACTACTAGTCCGCATTCACATATCCTCTCTGTTTCATCTTGATCGTTCCAGATTCAGAGTCCCGGATACTTGATGCTCAGCTTAGTGATAGGCCTCAGAGATGGCAGCTTCGTAGAAGGGACTCAAAGAGTGATGTGCATGTATCCCCTCAAATAGCTTACGCCTTGCATGGACGATCCTTTGAGCTCTGTGACATGGGTGGATGCCCCTCTGGCCTACGAGTTGATGTTCTCACTGCGCTGTGAAGGGGTTTCAACCCGGACGGACGCATCACTTGGCGGCCTCTACCCCGGCCAGCCTCCATCGCCATTCGCATGTCGTCTTTGCTTTCACCACATCCTCTCTACTACATAATATGTTCTCCGACGCCGCTTTGGACATCCTCCTGTCCGTCTTTGCCTTCACGCTCTTTTGGGCCATGCCCGCTTCCGCTCTAGCTCTCCTCCTGCTCCTCAGTCTGCGTACTCGCCCCTCTTCGGCAGTCCGACGTATACATTCTGATTCAGACTCCATTGGAGACCGCCTTCAAGTCAAGCTCCGCCTCGCTGAAACCAAGGAACGTCTTCTTGCCGTCGAACTTGGAGGTACCAAAGCACACCGAGACGTACTCCAGACAGAAAACGCCGCGCTGAAAAAAGGCTTCGAAGCATACAGGCAGGTCACAAGAACTCGCATGCAGAAGATCGACACGGACAACGAGGTTCTTCGAGAAGAAGCGTACGAGGCGAAGACGAAGCTCCGGACCAGCGAGCGGACCGCTGCTCAGGCCAGCAAGGAACTCGACCTGTCTTTATCGGCGCAGGCGCAGGCTGAGCGACAGGCGGATGCGAATCTTGTTCGGGCCGAAAGGGCTGAACAAGAGAACGCAATCCTAAAGCTCGCCCTCCCCTTCGCCGAGGACCGTTGCGGTGCAGTCTCCAAATCCTCTGACCCGGCAACCCCGGCCGTGGACGCGGTCGACGCTCTCAAGAAAGACCTCGAGCGGGAACGGGAGCGTGTGGCCACTGCCCTTCGGCGTGCGGAGCATAACGCCCACCTCGCAGACTCCAATGCCCGACTCGCAGTGCAGAACGGGGAGAACTCTGCCAAGGCCGAGCGCGCTCTCCGGTCGATGCATGCGCTGGTCGAGATGGCAAGTGAGCGCGAGGAGAAGATTGCGCGCGAGTTGTCCTCGGTCGAGTTCGCGCTTGCGTGCGAGCGGGACGAACGGCGGACGGTGGATGCGGAGGTGCGTCGCCTGCAAGGCGTGCTCCGGAGGTGCATGTGTGGATGCCGACGGGGGCCACCGCGTCCGCAGGTGGACACGGCTGTGCGGCTGCGCGAGTTGGTCAGGCTGAAAGAGGCTAAGCAAGTTTTGGATGAGGAGAACATGAGGCTGGTTACTCTGAATCGGGGGCTGGAGACGGAGCTCACATCACGCGTTGGTCAGAACAAGTCCCTGATATGCGCAGCCTATGACCACAAGACGGAGGCAGAGATGTATCAGGCCAGGGTGGAGATCCTGGAAGGGATCATACACAGGCATGCAGGTGCAAAACAGGAGCTCGCGGATCTCGATGCCTCCAGTGAGTTTTTTCGTCCTTCTCAGGCTTTGGGCAACCAACTCACAATCACTGTCCAGTAAAACACGACCGCTCAACCCATGTGGATGTAGTCCTGACCACACCCGATCATTTGGACATCTCCGGACACGATGCCGTCTCTGGAATTGGGGTGACGAAGCTTTCCGAGGAAGGTCTGTTTTTATCCGCTAAAATAACTACGAGTAAAGTTGGCTGACTTCTGCCCAGCTGTCCCTGTGCCTGTCTTCGCTAACCTTGCGCACCCCGAGAGTATCCACCTGCCAGTTAGTCAACTTCCTATGCCATCTTCCCCTGTACGAGTGGATCGGCGCTCCGGACTGGGCTTGAGCCCCGTACATGATTCGGAGGAGAGTTCTATTATTGAAGACGAGGAATCCGGCGATGAGGATCCTATTGAAAGATTGACTTCGCCGTCGCTCTCTCTCTTGGCTGGCGACGAAGGAACAGACTCCTCTTCGAGCTGCTCTTCACCTCCCAGCACGGAAGCAAGCAGCGTCGCTAGCAACTGTAGTTCACCAACCTCCTTGGCCGAGGACGATCTTTGCGAGCTGGATACAAGCCCGTGTCCTTCTGCGGAAGGCCCAGGAAACGTTTCAGAGCCGAAGGAAGACATTTAGCCATTCTTGGGTTCTCAACGTGCTCCCATTAATTATTATACATGCCCCGCCACCTCCGCCACCCTTTCCACCAGCACGAACACCGATACCATGTTCTAGATATGTTGCATCCTGTAGCACGCCTGTCCCGCACTTTTACCGCAGGTTCTCAGTATTATATGCTATACCATGCTTGCATTATGTATACCTCAAGGTCAACCCGATTAACGCTAGCAGTGGATTATAATCCCTGTGCACGGCAAGGCGTCGCTTTAAATGGTTTACTCGAAGTAAGCGCTCTGAGCCATCCGGCAGAGCAGATGAATCATGCACGTTCCGAGGGAGGATCCCAGATCTGTGCCGATATAGAGGTTATAATTTAGATGTGGCACCGAGACTGGCTTCTCAGGGCTTCTCCCGTGCAGCCAGATCTGACGAGATTGCCTCGATCCCGAGGGTGACAACCATCCAGCCACTAGTACTAGCACGGCAGCTGTCAGGAACTGGGGAAACGCCGGGCGAGTTCAAATGAACTGTTTATTCGATCGTCTGCTGTATCTGAGGATCAAATCTGCGTTTGCGTTTGACGTTTGGAGTGGATCGTAGAGAACAGTATGATTCGCGAGGCACTTGCAAGTTATCCTTCATATACGCGATCCTGAAGGCCGACGGCGTAAAGGTAGTCACTAAAGGTGGAGTTTTACTTTGGACTCGTTGACTCTCCTTTTTTGCTGAAGTACTGGTGGTTCGCCGGGAAATTTTTCGGGCAAGTAACAACTAGAGCAATGAAATTCAACTCGATCTCGATCTCGATAACTTCGGCGCTCGTAATGCGCAACGGGGCACAATTAAAGAAGCTTGATTCTGGGGCCGAGCTGGGGCTCGTAGGACTCGTCCGACTCACCCGATGAGCGCGATGGAATCGTGAGAAAAACAATGATAGACGAGCGCCATCCCGAATCGTCTGAGGGCGATACATACGTTCATGACGTTATTCGACGACTTCGCGGAATCAGGTTCGACCGCTTCCAGCTGCTTCTGTGCCTCTTTGGGCTGACCGACTACCCCGAACGGAAGCGCGCGGAATGAAAGGCCTCGGGCAGTCGGCGTCGGAGGCGGTGATTGCGTCCATTGCGTCCGTGTGCTCCCCCGCCGCCTGTTCTCCCGTCTTCCACCGTTTGTCCGACTTTGGGCTCCTTGAGCCTCCGACGCTGAGCCAGGCAGGTCTATTGCCTGAAGCGATTGAATTTTACACTTTTGGTAGTGGCCAGATCCGACACTGATCTCGGGGCATGCACTCGGAGCTCGCAATCATGGAATTCGATCGAGACGGCGATCCTTTGCCTAGCCGCCGTGTGGCTTCGTCTGCTCCGACTCGGAGTGGGCACTGTATTCTTCGATTCTTCGAATTCTCCTACCTCGCTCGTGGACTTTTCACTCAAATACTGGGGTGGCCAAACTCTCGGGCCTTGCTCCCTGGTTTTCACCTAGCTCCCAACTCTCGTCTGCCACCAGCCTCCCCTTGCATTTGCAGTCGCTTATTTGTTTCTATCGACACTATATTGACATCCTTGATCGCTTTCATAAATGCCTCCCCTCGGAAGATTTCCTTCGGGTTACAGTCAGTCATCCGACGGCAGTACCTTTGGCCCACAGGGCAACTCACACTCGCACATCGATTTCGCTACCGGCTCCTCGCCTCCATCGAGCAGCGGCGACATAGACCAAAGAATCTTGCCAAACGGGACAAACACATTCCCGACGTCACCCTACTATTGGTCTGAATCAGGTGGCAGCCCGTCCAGCAGCGGCACACTCTCAAGCGACGAGTCAAAGCTGCCGCTCCCATTTCGCAGCCCTGCCGCACCCGTCGGCTCGACCCGCGCCGATCGACTCAGCTTTGCACACCCGTATGCTCGGTTAGATGCTAGAAAGGACAGATCTGAGAGACACCGCAAGATCTGGAACCACGTTCATGAGAAGCGTATTTTCAGTCCGGAGGATATGTATGCGTTTTCCCTATTTTCCTATGACATCTCCTCGCATGTATGCTCATGTTCTCGCCTTGAATACAGCTTGTCAATAAGCACCCCCGATCGGCGCGTTATTTACTTCGCCAGCCTTGAGGCACACGTCGACCGTGTCCATAATCGGATGCTCGAACTCGGTTATTTTCCTGTACTGCCCAAGCGTTTGGAGCCATATAGCGGTATCAACGACAAAATAGTAAAGGTGACCTTGCTCTCTTCTTGTCATTTATATGCCGCTGAAGGACGACTCGTAGGGCATGGTGGCTGGTCTGCAATACGAAGCCTATCAGATGAGTCTTAAGATCCGAGAACTAGACAGATCCGTGAGTTCTACTCTGCCGGCTCTTGTTTTACCGTGCTGATCGTCTTAACAGATGGATCAATTGGACCAGATATTGGAGGGCGATGTCGATTCAACGACGGCCAGGAAGGCATATCTTTGAAAGGAGGGCGCATCTGGAGCCGATTTATTGATGCAATATTGGCGGGCGTCCGTGATTCGAATTGTTGTATTTACTTGTATTCTATGCTGCTATCCCCAAGTCATCCCCACCGGATAACCATAATAGTTGCGAGCTACGCTGTAATTTTCAAACATGTGTTTATCTTTGGCTCAATACGTATAATCCCAGTATATTATAATGACCGTGTTTCATTTCAGTGTGCTCCTTGCAATTGCATAAATAGAATCCTGACTGTGCCTGATACAATGATTTTGTCAGATACCTACAGGTGACTAGACTACTTTTTTTCTTTCTGATGCATGCCAGTCTGTCGGGTATAACACGTTTGACTAAGGTTGTATCATCGGTGTCGTAGCGATACATGGCGTAGACGAGTCAGCGACCACCTTTCTGGCCGTCCAAGCCTAAAACGTTAACGATCATCGAAGATAGGATTAATGAGAGTCGGCAACTCTCCAGACCAGTCTCTCGCCACTGACTTCTTTCCTTCTCATCATGTCCAAAGCCTTCTGTGCTCTTTCCAACAGAGTCTTGCCTTCAACAAGCTTGAGCTTCGTAGGCCGAATTGCTCCCTCTTGCAGCAGAGTCGGCATGATCTCCGGTTGCAGCTTCTCAGCGTGCAGCGCATTCTAATACAAATGTCAGTAACTCCGAGTCTCATTGAACCAACAAAAGCATTCACGTCGAGATAATGGTGCGTCCGTACACCCCTCACAGCGACCCCGTCCTCCCACTGCGCAGCCTGCTGCACATCCATCGCATACTCAGGCGCCTCCGTCTCCGACGCGTCCCTGACCACAACAGGCAGAAGAATCGCAACAACCGCGCCCCGCTTCGCGATCCTCGAGATCGGTGCGATGCTCCCCCGCGCGCTGCCGATGCAGTCCACGACGTGCGAGACGCCGCCGGCAGCTCGAACGCGCTCGACAACGTCCGGCGCGCGGTAGTCGAACACCTCGCGCGCGCCCGCGTCTCGGAGCGCGGCGTGGTGTGCGGGCGAGGCTGTCGCCAGCACGCGCGTGTACCCCGCCCACTTGAGGAGCTGCACGACGAACTGCCCCGCGGAGGAGCTCGCGCCCCAGACGAGGATGCATGTGTCGTCCGCATTGGGCGGGACGTAGCCTGGCTGGGGCTTGGGCCACGGGAGGGGAAGCCCGAGGTCGGTGACAATGGTGTGCCACGCGGTAACAAACGGGTCCGGGACGGTCGCTAGGCGCTGCAGGCCCTCGTCGCCCGCGAACTCGGACGTAGAGGGGACGCGTGCGAGGAGGTAAGTCGGGAGGACGGCGTACAGCTGGTACGCTTTTTCTTCTTTGGTGCGCCATGCAAAGCCAAAGACGCGGTCCCCTACGCTGAGGGATGGTGAAGATGTGCCGTCTGACGGGCCGACCTCGACAACAGTGCCCGCGACGGTGTCGCCGAGGATCTGCGGAGGCGTGACAAGCAGGTGGCCGTCGTTCTGGTGCAGGTCTAGGGGCGTCGAGGCGGTCCATTCGACGCGCACGCGGACTTCACCAGCTTTCGGAGAGAGCGTCGGGACCTCGAGGACCTCGAGCTTGCCTCGGGGCGTAACAGTGACGACTGCTGGGTGGGTGGCCATAGCGATGCTAGTGCGAAAGAGACGGACGAGTTCGAGTGCTGGTCGTCCATACGGATGAGTTCCTAGGTTAAGTACTCCTCTGATGCACTGGCGGTGGCATTGCAACCCTGATTACGCTTACCAACACACTTTGCACTGAGTTCCTTACCAAGCAAATCAGAGTGCTTATTAATACCGACGTCGTCCCCGAAACGGTGGGTGGGTCGAACATGGCAGACGAAGGGAGAACAACGGGGCAATTTGAATCCCAGCGAATGAAGAAAAGAACCGACACGTTCGAAGGCAGAACCTGTGTTATAAGCATACGCCCATTAAGACAGTAGCAAGATAGCAGATAGATACGATATACTAAGTGGCGGTGGAACATCATACAAGAGATGCGGTCAGGCGCTTCCGCAGGGCACTACGCCTTCTCTTCGTAGATCGTGTATGACTCAAACGCCCGTGCCGGAAGCCGCTTCTCAAACATCACGTCCAGCCTGCATACCCGCGTTAGACAAAGGTGCGCAGAAAAGGAATGGTATGACGACGCACTCGTCCACGGTCCGGTTCTTGGTCTCAGGGATGTAAAACCAGACCCAGATGGAGCCGAACACAGATAGACCACCAAAGATAAAGCCGACGTAACCGCCCAGGTTGGCTTCGTCGGGATTGACGCTGAAAGATAAGCGCTCAGTGAGGGCGCAGGGGCTTTGGGTGGTGCTAGGATCGTTACGTACAGGTACGACATGACGATGTTGGCGACCAACGCGCAGAGTGAATTGACGCAGATGCTCAGGCCGACTGTTTTGGAGCGAAGCTTGGCGGATGAGACTTCGGCGAAAATGACGTATCCAAGAGGGCCACTGAGAAGTTGATGAGAACAAATCAGATCGTGCTGCAGATGGTACAATCAGGATGAAGCGCTTACATGCTAGTCTGGTAGATGAAGTTGTAGATCAAGGTCTTAAGAAGTACAGTCAGTGCGTCAGCAGTGACACGCGTATACGCATGTAATTTTAGCGTACGAAAGCTGCAGTGGCCCACTTGGCCGCTTGTGAAGACGAGATGGTGAGGAAGCCAATCAGGAGAAGCACTGTTGTGCACGCAATCATGCCCCACTTGAAGATAAACCGCCGTCCGAAGCGGTTCACGGTGTAGAATGTGATCGAGTTGCCGACAATCTAAAACGATGCATAAGGCCCCCATCAGTCGACCGACGCACATAGCTCAGAGAAGACACTCACGCCAATGGCTGTCACGCCAACACCGAGGTCAAACGCGTTGCTGTCGTCGAACCCAGCAAGCTCAAAGAAGTACGTGCTGTATCCCAAAACGAACGTCACACCTGACCCGAATACAATCCAATATGAGCGTCTACTTTCCAGGTACGCGCCTATATGCACATGCACGCATCCACTCACCAGCCATCTGCTGCAGAACAAACACGCTAACTGCGATAAGCGTCCTGCGCCCGTCCGAGCCACGGAACATGTCGCCATACGTCGACGTCGCTGCGAAATGGTCCTCTAGCGCTATGGTCTCCTCAATCTGCTGCAGCTGGAGCTGGGCGTCTGCATCTGACCCGGAGGAGAGACGCTCGATGACCTTGAGCGCGTCTGCGTTGCGGTTCCTGCGCACGAGAAACCAGGGTGATTCCGGGGCGAAGGAGAGACCGAGGAGCAGGATGACGGGGAAGATCCATTGCAGGGCGCTGCGGGCGAGCACTTAGAGAAGTATGGAATTCTTGATAGAGAAGATGGACGTACAAGGGAATTCGATAAGCATATGCGTCAGTCCGTTCGCCGACGCCGCGGATGATGCCATTTGACATGCTAAAGATAGGTCGCCTGGATTAGGGGCTGGAATACGACTACAAAGTTCAACAACACTCACAGTTGTCCCACTGGGTGATCGGATCAACGTCAGCCATGAGGAACAAGTAACATGTGGTTGAGCAAGATTGGACGCACAATCGATCCAGAGATTCACAGAGGCTGTGGTGATACCACGAAGGGCGAGGGGCGAGACTTCTGCGCAGTAAGATCCGGCGACGGAGACAAACATTCCTGCGAGGCTTGATTAGTGCGAATGTGAAATTACACAACTTGCAGGCTTACCTAGGGAGTAGCCGTTGATCAGCTTTCCTGCCAGGAGCATCCCGTTGTTGTGCGCAGGCGCGAAGAACTGGATGAGGACCGCCCCGAGCGAGATGACAGAGGCCAACGCGACAGCGCCGCGACGACTAACGCACTCATGTCAGCGCATACATGCACACATGCGCTAAGCACCGACGTACCCTAGCCTGTCCGATACAGCACCCAGACTCAGCCCACCAAAGATACCACCCACAGAGCTGACGCTGTTGAACGCGCTCTGCCAGCGTGCAGCGAGGACAGGCTGACCTTCGTATATACTACCAAAGTCGCGCCGGAAACTAGGCACACTGAGGAGACCACCTCCGACCTGGGCGTCGTAGCCCCAGAGGAGCGCGCCCATGCAGATGAAGATGCACCACATGAACGCGCTGAAGTGCGTGCGGATGGCGTCCGAAGCGCTAGCGGCGTGCTCGTTCGACGCGGCAGCCGCGAGGGCGCGGTGGTCGAGGTCGATGGCGCCCAGGTCCGCGTCGACTTTGGACCCGGGCGCGTTTTCTTGCTTGGTTATTTGGATTTCATCCTTTGCTGGCAGAGGACTCGGCGAGGACTTCTCGAGCTTCTCAGTGGACATGACCAGGTGGTGGGTGCCCTCAGACGGAGGACGAGGGATATCCTGGGATTTAATATGGGCCCAAACTGACGCTGAACAGAGAAGGTTTTGGCCGTCTCGGGAAGGATGGACAGGTGACACAAGGGCGAGAACAGGGTATCATATTTAAGTGGCAAAATACGGTTTGGTGCGAATGATGGTGCAATCCTCTGTGCAACCACTGACCGGCGATAGTAGGAGATGCGGAAGTATCCGTTATCCAGTTCTCTTGTGTGTTGGCCGTAATGAATGCATGAGTAGGCTCTAGCAAGGCAAGGTATGTTCAATGATATCTATCATGAAAGACCGGGAAGAAGAAGAGTACGATCCCGAAGTAGTTTGGACGGAGCGGAGAAGAGCAACCGTGTGGGGACGGGGAATCGGAAGATGCCGCCGGGACGGAGGCTTTATATATCTTCCCACGTTATATTACTCTCAGACAAACAAGAGCATCCCGATGCGCCCGCTTTAGATCTCCGTTCCTTAAACCATAGTACTTGCTGTCAAAGATTTCCTCTGATGTTTTCCAATGACCATCTCCTGGTGTTACACTAGCAATTTTGTCTCTCACCATTCGCTTCGACCTCTGATCACTCAGATATTCAGCACTCAGTCCTCGACTCGACGTCTTGGCATAGCAATAGCAGAATGCAATAGCGGCCCACGGCAACCCAAATGTTCTGCCAGGAATCTGCATATACCAGAGTCGCAGATGACGTTCTCCACGTCAGCATAGCGATGATCAGCACCATAAGTCCAGCTTGATATTGAGCGCGGCTGCTAACCTTTACTCACGGATTCGTCAAGTATTATCAAGCAAGGTACCAGTACTGAGTAAGCGCGAAGCAGGCGCCCCACGTCCTACATAGGCATCGCGTTTGAGCACGTTATATCTTGCTCAGGTGCCCTGAACGTTAGCCCAACCTCCAAACGCGTCCCTCAATATCTTCATTCCTTCATCCCCTCTACACTACACCATGCCCACCCATCCAGCTGTCGTCACCGTCACGCCCCGCGGCAAGCTCGAGATCCTCGAAGTTCCGACACTCACTCCCAAGGAGAACCAGGTCAAGATCCGCGTCGACTGGATCGCGTCCACGCCCCTGAACCTGCACCAGGCCGACGGCCACCTCCTCGTCACGCCGCCCCAGATCCTCGGCGGCGGCCTCGCAGGCACCGTGCTATCGCTCGGCCCCGACGTGAAACGCCTGCGCGTCGGCGACCGCGTCTTCGGGTTTGCGTGGCGCAGCAACGAGGAGAAGCCGCACCAGGTCTACGTCGTCGTGCCGGAGAACCTGCTCGCGCGCGTCCCTGAGACGGAGGAGTACGCGGGGGAACAGGGGATGCGCAGGGCGGCTACGGTCAGCGACTCGTTCGTGACGGCGTGGCATTCGCTCGTGACGTATCTTGGGCTGGAGCTGCCGTGGCCGAAGAGGGAGGGGTACGAGCCGCCGAAGAGGGACGAGAGGGTGCTGGTGTGGGGCGCGAGCTCATCGAGCGGGTCGTACACTGTGCAAGTGCTCAAGTGGGCGGGCTACAAGAACATTCTGGCGACGGCGTCTCCGAAGCACCACGCTGCGCTCAAGGAGATGGGAGCAGCGGAGGTGTACGACTACAGGGACCCGGCCGTTGTGGAGAACATACTAAAGGGCGGGGAGGTCCGATACGTCCTCGACAGCATAGGCAGTGTCGATGGCAGCGTGACGCCGATATCAAAGATTGTCAGGAGGGGAGCGATCGTTGCAGTGCTGCTGCCAGTGATCATCAAGGACGCGTCGGAAGAAGAAGCCCCTATCTACACTTTCGATGTTACTGGTTCAGTCAATTGGGAGGAGGGCGTCACTGCACTGGGCGTTCGGACGCACAGCTACCTCGATGTAAGTTGCCGTTATTATCGGACGCCTAACACACGTTGACGGTGAACAGAATGAACTCCATGCCGAAAAGCTTCAACCAGAGATTATGCCCACATTACTCCAGGAGGGTGCGATTCGACCCACCAATCAGAAGATCATTGAGGGGAACACGTTGCTGGAGCGGGCTCAGAACGCACTGGATACGCTAAGGAGAAAAGAGGTCAGCGGTGAGCGACTTGTGTGGAGGATTGCCGAGGCGCAATGATGTAGTGAGTCAGATGGCTGTTCCTTGTTACCTTCTGTACGTCGTAGCTGGGCCTTTCTATCATGTGAGACTTTGGAACACTCAGGTAATGGCTATTGTCCGTAAAGCTTATTTCACCTTTGCTTCTGTCTGGTAGGCAGCACCAATGTCTGCTGGTATATATGAGCTCAAGGTCACTCCCATCAGTCTGGTTGACATTGGTGTCTCATGCACATGTATCAGTGAGTACAAGGCAGCCGCGCTCCGCTGCGGCACTTAGGGCGCTCGTCCCACCATTTTGCTCAGTGAGGATCGCAATTGCATTGTACTGGAAAGGAAAACCCGAACACGAGTGGACCCACTGCCTGTCAATGTCTGCCGTGCAATCTAGAGCCCTACATCGTATATACAAATACCGAGCACTAACGTCAAAACGAGAGATATACCACAGCCACAAAGCCAAACATGTACAATGCCAAGCCGGGCATAATTTTGAATACTGTAGTTTTTCGACCTTAGGTTCGCGGTAGCGTGGGAAGTCGGAGCTTTAACGCGCCTTCCATAACCGTCTGTCCCCCCCTATAGGTTCGGGGGGTCAAACCGAGGGTGGACAGCTAGTTCGTGCCTGTTTGTGCTCATACTTCAGCTTCAGACATTGGGACGGGGTCCTCGACACTAGCTAAGACAATAATATTATCTCTGAGGACTTATGGGATACTCGACATCAGCATTAATCTCGGCGGCGGCCCAACACCTATCCACAAAGGCCAATGGACTCATGGCCCCTCCAGAACTCCGCATACTTGCTTACTGAGACTGCCCATTATCAATGTCAATCCAGCTGTCGATATTCATCTCGCGGGTGACATGATCAAGTGCGTGTATACATCATCCTGACTATGTTAGTCTCTCCTCTCTCCCACTTAGGTTTAGGCCTGTACCTGTGAGTTCTGCACTCGACATAAGAGTTTGGCCTTGAGGTTGGCATGTCCCTGTTGTTGTCACTAGTATCTCACTCCACATATCTGCATTGTATTTTTTGAAAATCACCTGCCGCAAAGTGTCCGAGTCTTACAGAAGATAATGTGGTTGCTTAGAAGATTTTCGAGTTTTAGCATTTTTGGTTTTATTGGCAAATTTTAAGGGGATTTTTCAACATTTTACAGTGTGTCCCCCCATCTAAGTTCGAAGGCCTGACTTTGGGGGGACTGTCCACCCCCGTAAGTTCGGTTCGTGAGGGGGGGTGGACAGGGGACCGAACCTAAGGTCGAAAAAGTACAGTATACGAGTAACTAGTGAGTCATGCACTGTCAGCAATAATTTCCGAATGCATGCGAAGTCACAATCCTGATTGACCCATACATGTTCTGGCATAGAAATATACTATTAGGGAG